AAGATTACATGACAAGACATTTGAAGAAGCACAAAGAACTTTCTCCTGGAGAGCTACAGCGATATTTCAAATTATTACGAACCATGAATCTTGTACCTTAAATCTTTTGTTGATGTAAAGATGGAGATGTAAAGATGTAAAGAAATAAAAAGCAACTAAGTAATTTATTAAATATTCTAATATTTTAATCTCGTTTGGTTTACTATAACAAATTTTTTAAGCAATTCAACTCATAACACAATTTTAACTTATATAACAATAAAGATATATTTTTATTCGATTAAATAATTTGCTATCGCCTTTGATAAGTATTTTAATGTTTTAAATTAATACCTGATTAATTCCTAGGTAATTATTTGATAGCAGAGCTAATAGGTACTTAGTTGAAACTTAAGCGAAGAATTAGGTAGGACTCATAATCTGAATAAATTTTGAATTGTTAATCACATTGATACGCATAGAAAAAAAAGAACAAGAGACTATCATTGCAATATTTGTAAAAGTTCTTACCTCACTAGGATAGGATTAAGACAGCCTATATCTCGATATCATGTAGAAAATAAGAATTCATCTTCATCGTGTGGAAAAACGTTAAAAACGGAGAAAACTCTGAAACATCATTTTTGTATTTTTATTTATTTGAAAGAGTTAAATGAACGTCATAGCGTGGACTCAAGTAAGCATGATCCTTGAGATACGTAAGAAACATTACTTTAACGTGCATTTTAATGTTAACATTTTCAATGTGATATTTGTGGCCACAGATTTGGTCAAAATATGTACCAACATAAAAATATCGAACAAAAGATTGATTGTATTAATTCGATTATGTATAATGATGATTCAACATAAATTCTTACCTTATTTAACTACACTTTGTGCCGGATATGACTGAAGTCTTTAACCTTCCCGTAAAATAATCAAACTCTTATTAATAAAACAATAAAGAAATATTTTTATTCGATTAAATAATTTCCTATCGTCTTTGATAAGTATCTAAAAGTTGTTTTTAAATCAATCACAGATTAATTTTTAATTATTAGGTGGTGGAGCTAACGGCTGACACATTATTGAAGAACTAGTAACGATTGGCGATGACTCATCTTTGCTGCTGCCTGTTTGTGACAAATGTCTAATGATGTCAACCCAATCCCATCCACGTTGTCTTTGCCCTTTATTGTCCGTTCGTTCCCACATTCTACGCTTCTGAGATTTTGTTAATTGTTCCTTTTTTCCAGCGATTGGAGTCTCCTTTGTCGACGTTGTTGTTATGATCGGACACAAATTGATCCTATCTAAATTTTCAGACATTTTATTCAACTCATTATTCTTTATTTCGTTTTCTAATTCAGTTAAGAGTTCGGCAAGTTGCTCTTTCAAGCATTCGAACAACGTGTACGTCATTCCACATCCAATCCAATTTTCACCTTCAGTTTTAAGAATATCAATGATTTTGAGTTTGAAACTTGATGATCTGTAAACAATACCAATGAGGAAATTAATAAATCTTGAGAGGGTTTTAAGTTATTTTACATATTCCGATTAAAGTATGAATCCATTGATATCTTCGGTAATTCATTCGGATATGAATCTCCTGAAATAAAATATAACTTTTAATATTTCTGTCTAGCTTCTGAGAAACATGATTTCACATACCCCAAATTATTTCTACTATAAAACCTTTTCCATTTTCCTCCTCGCCATACTAAACAAAAGAAAATCTTCGAGTGAAATTAATTTTTAAAAACTTAAATTTAAATCTTACCTTATACTGGAAAGTAGTCTTATTTAATTGCTTATAGAATGTGTCACCTTCATAAATCGAAGTTAAAGCTTCTATTTCTTCGGCTTGCTGCTCTTCTTCAGACATTGCAAATTTAATTTTTATTTCTATCTAAAATATTTGAGGGGTACAAAGCTTATGTAAACATGAAAGAAGAGAGCGGAAAAGCATGAAAGCATTTCCTTCGCTCTATTCCTTTCATTGCTGTTTTTAAGTTTCAAAAATAAGGAGATGTTGAAGTCAGTTTCATTAAATTCTACAAAAATAGATTGGTGCCATATGAAATATTTATTAATTTCAAATATTAAATTTTTGTTCGTCGAAGTGTCTGACATTTTATTAATATCATAACTTATAACACGTAGATTATTGATTGTCATTAATGAAAATATATTTTTAAAGCAAACTTAAATAGATTTTCTTTATTGAATGGAATAATATTCATAAGACAAAAATTTAATTCAATTTTAAGAAGCACGCTTCAACATTAAAATTCAGTTAAAACTTCCAATATCTTGATATGGCTGTTTGTTGCTGATTTTTAAGCTCCATAGGTCGATTAAATGTTATCGCATATTCGCGCACCTTCTTAGATATTTCTTGATCAAAAAGCTGTAAAAATGTCAAATATGAATTTGTTTCTTATTAGAATAAAGAAGAATTTATATGCTTACATCGTCTTCCTTCAATTCAAGGAAGTTTGAAAGATCCCATTCTTGATTAGGAAGTGGTTGTGTGACAATATTCTTTGCCACTTGAGCTACATTAGGTAAGACATGATTTCTTAGCATTTGAATCTCCCAAAGAGAACTTTTTAAAGCGTTCGCTTTGTTAGGATCAGCTTCATCCATAATAAATGGATCTTCAGCAATCTCCTGAGTTCCATCACTATTCTGATCACAGATTAATCTTTTCAATCCCGGATGACGAATGATGAGATTCCCAATGAAGTATAAAATGATGATAATGTCTTGTGGAGGGGCGATAAGTGATAAACGAGCCAGTCGTTTGATGAAGGCAGCTACAAGTGTCTCAGGTAGATAACTTGAAGTAAGGAAGATGTCAGCGAGATGAAATAAGCGTGGTTTAAATTTCATGTGGAATATCTCTGGTTCAAACATCATGTAAAGCTTCTCGTAAATATTTGGATAAGCCATGTTGTACTTGTGGATAAGAATGAAAATTCCCTGAAGTGCTAATAAAGAGATTTGACCACCGACATCCAGTGAATCCATCAAATAATCTGTGAGCATTGTTGGCTTGTCGAGATAAATAAGAACTTTCTCCAAAAGAAGCACAAGAAGTTGTCGTTGTGTTGCATCGGTGTGAGGCCATTGAACAATAACATTCCACACTTTATTTACATTCTTCCGAAGTACGTTGATCTCCAATTTCATATTTTTACACATGAACTTTCGATCATCGTCATCATCAACTTGAGCTTCTCGTGTATTTACTGTTGGTTGGGTAGGAATTAAAATATTTAAGAGTTCAATAAAGTTTTGAATGAAGTTGGAAGTCAAATCATTTTTGTTCGCTGGAATTAAATTCTTCATGATGAGCTTCCACAAATAAAAGCAAAAGTCTTCGTAAATTGAATAGTCTGATAATCTGATGATCATGTTCTTCATAGAATGCTCAGATAGTAAGAGTTTGCTGATGATTTTATTCAACTTAAGAATTGGAAATGGTTGTTCATTAAGTTGATCGTCAAGAGGATTCAATCCTTCATTCATCAGAATTTTAAAACATGTATTTAATGCCTCTTGAGCTTCTGATGGCTTTTCACTTTCAACACAGTCTAAAATCAATTCGAAAGCTTCTTCATAACGGTCTCGAATCCAAATTTTGTGATTATCGTCAGCTGTAAGTTCTGATTAAAGTTTTTATCATCAAATTATTAATTCCATTAACAAATTAACAAAACTTACCTCGAGGCTCTAATGGAACAACAGCAATATTCATTATTGACGTTTTCAAAAGGTCGATGCATATTAATTCTAAGCTTAGAATGTACGCAGTTGTTGGTAATTGTTTGTCCTTTGACTCCTTCAAATTTATCAAATGAAAAATATAAAAAACGTGATTTTCATTTATCATATGAATTCTACAAAATATCCTTACTTTGAAATGTTGAATGATAGCTTGAAGTGCATCTTTATTATATTTATTACTAAGAAATTCATTAGTTTTACTTTTTATGAAGTTTTTCGACATTTTAAAATGAATTAGATTTTGGACTGAAAATTTTTTTTCTTTGTCTGACTGAACGCACAACTTCACTGTTCATAAAATAAATTTACATCGTTTGGAAAGCAGTTGACTTGATCGTCTTTACAAGTAAAGTAAACAAGTTATTTTTTTACGTACAATTTTCGTAAACAAAATTTTGTATGCAAGAACTTTTATTGGAAGTAAAAGCGTACAAGCTTATTGTATCAACTGCTCGCTTGTACTGGCAAACCAAGTATTTGCATGCAAAGTTTTGGACACAAAACTTGTTCATACAAAAAGAACTTGTTGGCAATAGAAGTTATTGCATACAAATTTTTGGATAAAAAACTTCTGAAAGTAAAACGAACTTATATAATTCACTTTTACAAAATATTTGTACAAAAATACTTCACAACATTTCGAACGCAAGTTTTCGAATAAAATTAATCCGAAAGTGGGGATTGTGTATGTACACATATTTCAATAGTGTTGATATATTTTAAAAATTTATGAAAAATTAACGGTTACAGCATAGTTCTCATAAATTCTGAATTATTTATTTGTCTCTACATATATGCATAGATATCTACATTGTATTGACACTGGATAAAATAAAGAAAAGTAAATTAAGTTCTTCATTTCAGCCTTCTACTCTTCTTTTGATATTTTTAACATTTTCATGATTCATAAAGGAATAGAAGATAAAGAAGATAGAGCAAAGGTTATTTGTTTGACACTGCTTGACACACATTCTTAATACTAAAAGGCGTATTAAAGTTTGTTAAAGAAGAATTTGTAAGAGATGAAAAAAAAGTGCTTCATAATGTAAGCAACAATGCTGTTGAAATTCACAATTGAATAAAATTGTTGGTTTGATATGATACAGAGAGTACCTAAAGAAGAGAAGAAGAAAAAAAGAATCTTACAAAATATTATATTTACATCACTAATATGGGGTTTAACCAGGAGAAATGGATGAATGAAAGCTTTAAGAAATTATTCATATCTTTAATACACGAGTTGAGTCTTAGTCGATCAATAAAAGCAAAGAGAAGAAGAAATAGGTTTGATTATTTCATTTGACAGAAATAGTAATCCCAGCAACAATGAAATAACTCAAATGTTTAACATCTCATCCAATTGATGAGCATCCCAACTGTACCAACTGGGATCAAACTTAAACTTTTCCTTCCTCGACTATTCTCTTGAATACCAAACCATAATTCAGCAGAATGGGCTGAGATTCCTCTTTTTCAGTATCAGAAAAACGAACGATGCCTTCTTTATTTGATTTATTGTTGACAAAAAGAAATCGATAATGGTTTTCATGGGCAAATGTTTCGATAAAGGAAAGAAAAAAGAATCGAAGTTCCTTTGCTTGAATAGCGCAGGAGATTTCTTCGATTTTTCTAATTTAATTAATTGATTGAGAGTTGGGGTGAAAGCTTTAAAGTTTTCTTTCCTCTTCATTTGGAAAAGGGTTTCGTGATTTCATTTCTTTTTTAAGCTCTACAGTGCAAACATGAAACAAGAGAAAAGTTTTCTTTTTCTACCTTTGCAAAGCTTTGATTGAAATTAAAAGTCAAAGCTTATTTCATTTTTGTGAACGATGCTGTTCTGAATTCTTCATCTGACGAAGGAGATTTCATGACATTTCCTGATCAAAACATGGACATATTTCTTGTTAACACAAACCTCTAGTTGTGGAACAAAAGTTTTGTGAGTGTCGATAGACCTTTAACACTTTAAACCGAAAATTCATGATATCTGTTCATGAAAAAGAAGAAGGCGCTCTGACGGTATTTTGTGCTTGGTCATGGAGAGAAGAAATTGTTATTCATGTTTTTCGCTATGGCATTTTTTTATTACTTTTCTCTTTCTCTCCTTTAGAGTGACATCAGCACAAAATGAATATATTTAGAAATGTTAAACTTGAACCTCAGACCGTGTTTTGCTAGCGAAACGCCGCTTTACAATAACTCTCTGTAGTGCGATAAATGAATGTGACCCTAAATGCATATTGTTGAGTAAAATTTGCGTCATGAGAGAAGAAAAAAGAAATTGAATCGTGGATTTCATCTTTCTTTTCTTATTTAATCATCGTCGTTTGAAGAAAAGTGTAACTGATACATTCACAAATCTCTGCTTGTTAGCGAAGATTTTGTTGGTTTCACTCCAAATGACAAACAATGTCTCCATCATTTAACCGTAATGAATTGAAGTTAAAAGGATTCTATCTAACCTTCAACCTTTGAAATAACCAAAAAAAGAGCTTTTCACTCAAATATTTAGGCTTCAAGTTGCCATGACTTTCTCTTCTATTCGAGCTGCGGATGAATCAACATAAATATTAAATTCCCCGCTCTCATGGGAAGAGTGTCACATTTTACCGTAAAAAATGTCTGTGCACAGAAAATATATTTGTTTGGTGAGTTAAACTTTTTTTTTGCATATTTTCCTTCAAAATTGTGACCATGGAAATAAACAAATTATCTATTTAAATAGATGAGAATATTTTTTTGTTTGTACAAGCATCATCTATAGAGCTTTTGATTAAAATGTTCTGCTTTTATCATTTATGAATAAACAGACGTCCAAGCAAACATGACAGTTTCCCAAGTGGATTAAGTGCAAACTAAATTAAGAGTTTATGCAATCGAGCATGAACACAATGTTTGCTTTATGGATTTGGTTTTCATTTTGAGAGCTTTTGATAAATTTTTCTTGTGTCTAATGAAAAGTAAATGTTGAATTATTCTTGTTTTGATAGTGTCGGAAGATTTGAATTATTGATGTAAATATGAGATTAGCTCAGTTTTAGATACTTAGAATTCATGAAGTGTAAACTGCTGAACTCTGCCAGTCTTTAATATTTATCATTCAACCGACACCATAGTTGCATAAATATTTTAAGAACTACCAGAAATTACAATCAATCGGCAAAGCCTATGAAAAGCTTCACATCTGACGTCAGTCAGGTGCTTCATCTGCCACATTTTGATTTATCTTTTACCAAAACCATTTTTCTACCTTAAATAGAAATTTAATTATAACACCAGAGGTAGATTTGATTAATTTCAATTTAATGAAAATCAATTCAGCAGAAAATAAATTTCATGAATTCTTTTTTATTGCTTTCTCATCGACCAAGCCATTCTAGCAACTAGCAATGAACTTTACACGAACAGCACATGAAGGTAAATGAAAAAAGTTCCATCGCGTGCTAGAAAACTATTTTTTTCCTTCTCCATTCTTTGATTTCTTTTTTTGTTTTGGTTTCCATCGCAATTTCCCTTATGATTACCAAGTAAATTTCATTCCTTTCGGAAACTCGGAAACGAGCCTTTAAATGGGGAAAAGCCAATGCTTTAAGAAAAATTAAATAATTTGTCATTTCTAAGTATTCATTTTATCTTTTTAATGTCGCTTTCTTTGTTTTATTTTTAGAATGTCATTAAATTCCGATGCGACAAAATTGTGAAAGAATTGAAAAAGTTTTTTGATCTTTCTAATTAAAAATATCAGTCATTAGAGAGCAATGTGACGAAAATTGAAGATTTTCCTTTTGTCCTAGGAATTTTAATTGAAATTCGAGTGAAACTTTTTTCCGTTTTCTTATTGAATTGTTTGCAATGATATTTGTTGAGACGGTCTAATGATACATGAGAGGAAATTCCAAAGAATTGGAGCTATGTTTAAAGCAGAAGGTATCTAATATTATTTAAGTATGTAGCATCATCAATCTTAATCGATTGTAAAATTCTCATCTTTAGCTTCTTTATTAATAATAATAAAATCGAACTTCGTGATTTCCTTCACACATTTCTCAATGCTTTTGCTGCTTAAGATGTTGCTTAGAGTTTCAAAGAAATTCAGCTCACTTCTGCTGGTCCATTAGAAGAGAAAACGAAGCTTCGATTTGAAAACTTTGATAAGAGTTCACCAGTCTTATTTAGGTCAATATGCTTTGAATCACAAGCCTATATTTTATGTTTCATGTTATTATTTTTATTACACCATACGATATGTATTTACAATCTTTTTAGTTCACATACGAAGCAATGGAACGCAAATGCGAGAGAGAGAGAGGGAGAGAAGCGTATTCAATTGAAATTCAAACGAAGAAGATTGATTCTATCTGATTAAGTGTAAACTTCTCGGAACAGTATGAACAATCGAATATTTATTCAATCAACTTACATGCATAGTTGCATCGATTCATGATGAATTGAATTTTTAATATGCTTTTAACTAATTCATTTCCACTCCCAAAACACGATCACTTTTGAATGAGAAATGCAGTTCTTTACCTTCTTATCTATTTATTTAGATATCTTAGAGAAGTCATTGAATGCAGCATTCATTCAATTTATTCCTTGAATTATCATACTCGTCCGACCATAACTCGATCGTTATCTTTTCTCAATCTCGGTTCAATAAAAGGAAGAAAAATAAATAAATAAATACGAATAAGAATTTCCTATCAACAAATTTGTCTAAATAATATCCCATTTAAGCTTCTTCTCACCATTTCAATGGAGCATTGAGCATTGAGAATCTTTTTTTTTATTCCTTATTCTTTATTTTGCCATTCTTTCACTTCAACGCAACGCAACGCAAGGCAAGGCAACAAAGCAAAGCAAGGCAAAATACTTGAAATCGTTTCTCAATGATTACCATGTTATTGTGTTCTATGCTTCACTTTGTGTATATTTAATTTTATAATGGAGATGAGCGAAACTGAAAACGAAAAACTGTTTCATTCTTTTCAAGTTGGGGGGATATAAATATTTAGCGAAAGGAATTTTCATTCGGTAAGCGATAGTCATTTCATTTTAATTCGATTAATGAGATGTCGTAAAATAATATTACGTAATTTAAGTAAGTTCATTTGGCATTTAATGATTATCAATGTCGAAGAGATAAGCAGCTAAAGTTAATAAAATCCTTTTGAATTCAATTGTATTACAACTAAGTGGCCTTCTTCATTTCTTTAAAGATTGTTTCTTTCCTTTTTATAAATAATTCGCTAAATAAAGTTGACAATGAATGAATAAAACAGAAAGATTTGCGGCTATTATTTAAGCATAACTAGGGATTTTGAATTCAATAATTTAATGGATAACGAAACGAGCTAAACAATAAAGATTTTTATGGCTAGAATTCTTTAATTGTGCAAAGATAAATGGCTTTAAGTTTCCACATCGTTGAAAAAGATTAAAAATCATGCGAGCCTTTCGAAGCGATAATAATAATTCTTCACAACTCAAAAAATCTTAAATAACTAAACAAACATAAAACAAATGTTTGGTTGTGTCGAAAGCCCATCTCTTGAATATCACCATTAATTAAAAGTTGGCAAACAAGTAGCAAAGTTTATTACACCATCACCAAACAAAGTTATAATTACTCGTATATGTTACATGCAGATAAGGAAATTCATTCGTTTACCACTGAATGCTGTTTCTGTTTTTCATGCTCAAATAGGAAAAATATGGAAAACGTTTATGCTTTGTGAAAATGGAAGCGGAGAAAATTTAAATTTTACCCTTGCACATTAAATATTTCAGTTTTACCTTCCACAAATATTACAAACATTAACTTTGTGATGTCTTCTGTGTGATGCTTTTAAAACTTTTTCCTTAAGAAGTTGAAATCTTTAAACTCAATCATGCGAATGTTGCTTTGTTTTCTTATTCTCCAACATAATGTTCGAAGACAGAAGAAACGAATAGTAAATGGCAATGGTTGTTAATGATTTTCGTTTCAACTAAATCTAAATGCCTAACATTAACATCTATGAATGAGCGTAAAGAGTTTTTAGACACCGCAGAAAGCAGAAAATATGTAATAAAGATAACAAAACGCTCATTAAATTTATAAGTTTGTGCTCAATAGACATGTATTGAGAGTTGAAATTGAAAATAAATCGAGACGAAACCCCAATTGTGTGTTAAATTTGGTCATAAACATGCACAACCCAAATTAACCGCATTTCTTTGACTAAAGTAATAGTTGAAGTCATTTGAGTCTGTTCTTTGCTTGAATCACTTGAAATGTGAGGTGAAATGGCAAAGATTCCAATGAATATATTTATGACTCTTGTAAATCTTCTTAATATGTTGAAAGCGTTGTTAAATTAATTGGAAGCTTAATAATTTTCAAAATCATAAATTCACTTTTCAGCACAACGTCATTCAAGCATTTTAACCACGAAATTATGACCAAGATTGCTTGGTTTGAAATTTATGTTTGAAACTTTTTTTATTGTTTATTCTAGGCTACATACTGCTTGCCAATGTTATCATTATCATTAAAGTTTCGAAGAGTTTAAAGATTTGTTGATGACCATTTACCAACCTCAATAAAGTTTATGAAGTGTTTTTTAAATGCGTCAGTCTGAGCTGACTATTTCAGATAAGAAACGAAGTCATTGTATGTAAATAAATTTTGTTTTAGTGAAGCTTGAAGTTCATTTACACCTAAAGACTAAAGAAAAGTTGAATGTTATTTGATGAATGAAGCGTCTGCAAAAAACAAACAATTTTCATTGTTTTTATTTCATCCAATTCATCATTATTCAGTCTGGAATGTTAGCACATTACTTATATTTAAATTATTCCATCCTAAAATTATTTTCCTCAGTTCATCCCTTTCACTTTCTCAATCCAATTTCACTCATCTCTAACCTTTTTTCTTTTTCTCTCGTCTTTGCAATTTCACACAAGCATTGTTTGTCTATCGTGCTTACTCTTCCATTTATCCATGAATGAAATAATCATTTCGCACGAAAAATTTTCGAGTGAAAATAAGAACATCATTGGCACATCAATTTTCATTATGAAACAGCATAGCATAGGAAAGAAAAATGTAAGAAGAAGACGAAAGCCTCCCGGAATTATTTTTATCTCAATTTTTACGTTTTCGCTGCTACCTTCGAACATATTTGCCGCTGCTCTACCGTGCCGTTACCTCCTTGCGGGTAAAAAGGTTGAATTGGCAGCACATTCGTTTGTTCATTTATTCGAAGTAGCTTTTATTGCTGAAGAACTTTTATTATCTTGTTATTAGGTTCGTATTATTAGGAGTATTGCAGACACACAACATTATGATAATTTTATTTCGAGTTGTTCTTCCTTCCTCTGCCGCCTTCGCCTCTTGTGTGTCTTGTGTACCTGTTCGTTCGTTCGTTCATTCGTTCATTCGTGTATGTTCACTTAATGCGAAGTACAATGTAATCAGGATGGGTTATAGATGAGAGAGATACTTTTATGTTTTATCAATCGAAATAGAAATTGAAATCGCCCCTTCAGGTGAAATGTGTTTTCGCGCAATCAGTTCGATCTGAGCATTACAATATCATTATTGGGTTAAAGAACAAGCACTTAAATAAATTACCATCGACATTTATCGAAAGTAGGAAGAAAAATATTTATATCGAAAGGGAGATGGAAAAGAAAAGAATGTGGGAGTAAATATTTAAGAGATGATTGAAGAATACGAAAAAAATTTCATCGCATCGTATCGAAAACATTCCAATTTTTTACGAGCTTATATCCGTGCGTCTTTTGCCTCCTGAAAATGTCAAATATTTGAAAAGTCATAAAATATAACATTGAAAAGAAGAAGCAGCAGCAGCAGCATCACTAGAATTCTTCATTTCGTTGACATCAGACATTTCCAATTTACGTCTTCTGACTTCACTGCTGTTAAAGCTGATGCAATGAAGTGGAAGCACGATGAGATATCTTCATGATAGATAATGCAAATTTTTCCAATCATTTCCCTCACCCTCAACACTTTAACTCCATGAAACTTATATTCTTATTGTAAATAAAGTGCAAATGCTTTTTAGTTGTTTAAAAATGCAAATAGTTTTGTGAGAGAAGCAAAAAAAAAACTTAATGGAAACTCATGTTATCATCCAATCCAATTTCCTTATTTTCTATGGTGCAAGTAATAAAAGATTTGGGAGTGGATATCAACAGCTCCATGAGTTTTTCGGCACATATCAATAGGATAATCTCCAGCGCGATGAGAGTTTTTGGATTCATCAGAAGATTTTCCAGAGACTTCAAAGACAATAATGTTTTGAAAATTTTATATTGTGCACTTGTTAGACCTCATCTAGAATATTGCAACATCATCTGGTCTCCATTTACAGATGATGCCATAAAAAGAGTTGAGATGGTTCAAAGAAAATTTTCCAAACTTGCATGCAAGAGAATGATTCCTCAAAGAGAACTCACATACGATGAAAGATGCAAGTACTTGAATCTAGAAACTTTAGAAAATAGAAGGAAAAACGCTGGTCATTTGTTTTTGGCAGGAATACTTGATGGATCAGTGGAAAGCAGCGAGTTCTTAGCTTCTCTCAACTTCAATACAAACATGTTAAAAGCAAGGAGCGCTCCATTATTCAAATCTGTATCTCAACATAAAACTGACTATGGAAGAAACAACCCATTGGAGAGACTGATACGGGAATTCAAGCAAATTCAACATGAATTCGACTTTCACTTAACGAAAAATAACTTTAAAACAAATCTAGTCAAAAATCGAAATTGATCTAATCAACTGAAAAATTATATTTTTATCAATATGTCTTGTTAAATTTGCCTATGCTTGTCTTGTTGACTGAAAGTTTCCTTTTGTTTGTTTTGAAGAGCTGCGTGATGTATTTTTATTTTTATTGCTGTACAAAATTGACGTTCTTTTGGGCTGACTAGAGCCTGTTGAATAAACTATTACTATTACTATTACTATTTCTTTTTCTTCCCCTCTCTCTCTCTCACTTTCTCCCTCTAGATTTTCATTTTCAATACATGAAGTGTGCAATAGAAATTTGAGATTTTTTCTTATCTCATCTCATTCGTTCTTTATTTATTTTAACTTCGATGACAACTGTTCATGTAATTTCTTTCTACATGTATGTTGTTGTTGTCTCATAGAGAATTGTCTCCTTGTTTTGGCATTGATTAAATTTGCTATTCCATTTGCACGATCAACGTATTCTCTCTGTTTTATTGGAATTGATGAAAGAGTTTTGTTGGAAATTTCATATTATCTACCCTTACAAACTTGTACTATTATTGTCAGTTCTGTTTATGATGCTTTGAATGCATATTTTCGTTTCCATCCTCTGAGAACTTTAAATAACATGTTCGAGATTTTATTTTTGATTGAATATGGCAAACAAAGAGAATAATAAATGATTGTTGTTGCGATAAGAGTGACAACATTAGATGTGCATTAAAAACATTCGGTTTTCCATGTCACGTATAAGAAGAGAACAGCTGAAAGGATTTTTAACGACACACAAAAAGTTATGATGTGATTCTCTGGTGAATATAACGTTACCTTGCTTTCTGTTGATTGCTTCTGAAGTTTCTACTTTTACGATGTTAAACAGAAGATCAGAAGAGAATCGAGTGACGTATTCATTACGCGAGAAACGAAAGAATGAGAAATGAAGACGAGCACAAGAAAATTATTATCGTCTTCTCCTTTTGTATCTTTTTAAAGAAATGCCATCCATTTATCACTTGACAGGGCATCAAACACAAACAAAAAAATATATCCGAGGCAATAAAAAGATTGCGGAACGAATAATTTTCAAACGAAAAATAAAAAAGAAACAACAACGACAATTGAGGAAGATGGAATAGTTTTAAATCGCACCTTAATCGCTTCGCATTCAGATTTCTCGGCTTTTCACTTCACCTTCCTACATATGTGTGTCTGATGTGCTTGCAAAAAATATTTTTTTGTTGCTTCTCTCGTTGACATTTCAATTTTTCATTTGACAATATAATTGGAGTTAAAGGAGTGACATCAGAATTGGAAGGAAAACTGTGCGAAATTCATCTATCAGAAGCAGAAAGCAGATAAGAGTAAATAAATGATTGTTTAAGAAATTGTCATTAATTTACTTTTCCGATACAATCACCTTTAAAATGTCAAAAGATTGCGGTGAAAATGATTGAAATTGAAGAAATTTCTCCCTTCCAAGAAAAGCCTCGTTTTATGTTTTGTATTTCCGAGTATTCTCATGAATTCTGATCTCGGAATCATCAAAAACATTTATTCTTGAATTCAGCGTTAGTAAAGCTCCAAAGGCTTTCAAAGAAATCTTGTTACGTAACGTAACTGGCAGCAATGCGATAACACAAAAGTTGAAAAACATTTCTCATAAACATTCTTATTCTCCTCCAACCCTCGCGGATAATTTGATGTGAAGAAGTTTTTTTCTCATCATGATGTCGTACCGTGCGTAGCTTTTAAAGCCTCGAGCTCTACATGTACGACAGTAAATAAGAGAATAATGATTCTCTTGTCTTTTAATTAGGTTTAATGATGATAAAGAATACATTTTCAACTTTGAAAACGTAAAGTAGATTTTCTTTTGCTGTGCTGAAAAGCAAGAAAAACGCTTCTTTTAATGTTTTTTATATTTTATAAAATGGAAACCTAAGAAGTGGAATAAAATATCGCAAACAAAGTTAATGCTCAGAATAATCCTTGTTGTTTATTTTAAACCTACTCGCCTCGTTTGCACGTTGAATGAGAAGAGTGGAAAAGTATTAAATAGCTTAAACTGATACTAATCAGTTTTAAACGTGCTCATTCTACGCTAAATTGATTTTTAACTCCAATAAAAAATGTAAAAACAGGAAATAAACTTCATCCAATTTCATTACGGTGATATTTACTCACATTTTAGCATGTGATCGCATACTAAGAAGAAGCATCTTGATGGGGAAAATTTAAATTATTAACAGTGAACGGTGCGATGTAAGAACATTTAAGAGCTTACCGCTTAAACGAAGCGTGTTTAATAAACTACGCACTCAAATGTATCGATGGGTGCATGGAGTGGAAACAAGAAAAGCAATATTTAGACAAGTAAACGTGATTAGCGTCTATTTCTAAACAGATTTTCTTATCAAACATTCTTGATAATATAAAGTAGAAGCAATTTACTACACTCTGAAGCTTTCTTTACTTGTTTAGAAGAAAATCTAATGTCAACAATGGAAAAGTTTTTTCCCATCTCAAATGACAATAGAAAATATTTTCCCAATTTTTCTTGCTTCCTAATATCCTCTGAGAAAAATGTGAAAAGAAATTGAAAAAAACAATCACGTTGCAATGTAGGTTTGTTTGAAAACAATAAAAAAAAAAGATCTTTAAATAATACTTGGTAATCTATAGACACATGTCAAAACATGGAATGTCTGTGAGTGACTTGAGTATCGTTCATGTGATACCATGACATCTTACATGTCAAGTTAAATTCAACAATCATTGCGACTGTAGCATTACGTTTCTTATTTTATTTCGTACATAGAACAATAATTAATAAGATTGAATGTTAGACAAGAGAAAAATTAATAAAAAAAACTATTTTCGTTGAAATTTTTCCTTTCCATGTTTCATTAAGTTGAATAAAAATATTCTGCAGATATCTGCAAAGATAAAAACAAAGATGCTTCATTTCTAGTATTCAAAAAGAAATTCCAGTGGGTGAGTTATTAAAAAAGTTTCAAGTGTACAATAGAAATAAAATTTCTTTAAGTGAAATTTTTCGCAGAAAATTTCATTTGCTTGATTCAGAAAGAGAAGAATTTCCACTTGAGAATTGAAAAGAAAATAAAAGAAACAAGTTAACTTATTCAATATCTGACTTCTTTTTTTTCTCTTATTTTTATTAAAAAACTTCGTTCCATTACTTTGTCAAGTGTATTTGATTTCTATATTTCCACGAGGTCGTGTGGCGATGAGTGCTACTGAAGATGAGATAAAAGTTTTGCCATTTAATTTCATACTGAAGGACATTACTCAGAGTTCTCTCCTTAATATTTTTTATAGTTAAACTCACAACATCAAATGAAGCCAAATTACCTTTAAAAGTCCTTCAACATAACTTGCGGTTGCTACTTAGCTTGCCATCTTGAACTTAATATCCAAAGACAATTAATTTTGGAAAAGATAACAATGAAAAATTGGCAAATAAAATATCAGAAAAACAATTTCAAAAAACATTCCTGACAAAGCTTTGTTTACGATTTCTTATCCTAAACAAGAAGCTCTTAATATCTCTTTCTTCTTCAGGATTAATGATTCTTTATGTCCTAGTTTTGTTTGAGATTCTTATGTAGCAAATTTTCTTCTTATTCTCGTCATTGGAAATCCTTATTTTATGTATAAGAAGACGGCAGTAGAAGTCATTAATCTGACGTTATTTAACTAATTCCCTCAAATCTTCATTAACAATAGAATTCTAGTGCCAGAACACAACGAAACAGAGAAAGCGAAGAGAAGCTTTAGGAAATAGAAATGAAATTTATCTATTCGAACACAAATTTCTCGAGATTTTCTATTTAATCACGAAAATTAATGACCGAGTATCATCATCTCTCTGTTGTCAATCTTTACTTTTCTACAAAGTATTTCCTGTTTTAGACGCCGAAAATCCTGAAAAATCCTCGGTAATTTCTTTTCAAATACTTATTAAGTTTTCATAGACATATCGAACTTGTTAAAATTTCAGATTAAAAAAATATTCCAAGATGTCTGAATCTATAAAAAACTTCTGCATGGTTTGCCTGATGCAGTGGACGTAAAATTTTCAAACATTACATTCACTTTATTTGATTTATGCTTTATAAATAATTTATGCTATGACACCGATGTCACAGGAGTTTCTTCTGAAAACAGAAAGACGCCAAATGCACCCCAAACGTGAGCGATTCGCTTACATTTCACATATTGTATTAAATTTTTACATTGTGAAAAATTTTATTAAGGAAATTTTCTTCATGCACAACATAAACAACAAGCATGGTGTCATAAAAAGAAGGGGATCATCAAAATCTCATTAAACAAATGTATGTGTGTGAGAGTTTCTTCAAACAGAATGCAAAAGATTCGAGTCAAAAGTTTAGAAGAGAATTTTTTTGACTTTCTGATTATAAATTCCATTATTGAAAAGTTCTTCAAATATTTACGGATCCCTAGACGTATTATGTTTACGCATAAAATATTGATTCTTGACATTTTCATAGATAAAACATTCTCAAGAAAACTTTCACAGAACTTAGGGATTAAATGTTGTGTCTGTGAAAAACATTCAAAAAGTCTAAAAAAAAGTAAACAAAAACTTCATTAATTTTTTTCTTCTTTACTTTGGATGGTGGATGTCAGTTTGCAATGTTTGGATTATTATTCTTTCTCGAGCAGAAAGTGACACTGGAAAAATAATAAAAAATATCTTTAGTTTAAAGCTTTTCCCTTGACGATATAAAAATATCAATTTAAATGTGTTTCAAATAGAAAGTTGTAGGAACGTCATCGAGGGTTAAAATGATGAAAAATCGCTTAACATCGAACGCAATTTGGAGTTGACGATGGAGAAAAGAGAAACAGAAGTTCTTCAACCCCTTTTCATGAACATCGTTATCAAGGCTCCTTTGTAGCGATTCTACTAATGCCGTATTATTTTCTTTTATCTCTCGTCGATTCTTATCGTTTGATTTCTTTCACGGAGGGTACAACAACATCAATATCCATTTTTTATGCGAAAAGCAAATGAAGGAAATAAAAAATGTAAGTAGAAAATATCACAAAACATGTCTAGTTATTTATTTCTTTCAACTTGTACGAGTGTGTGGGATGATTTCATCAATTTTGTGACAATAATTTCGTTGGTTAATTTAATTTTCTGCTTCATACAACATCATCATCATGTGAAAGAGTTTCCTTGTAACCTCTCCTAACTTTTATTTTATGTATTTTGGTGAAAATATCCTTAAGCTTCATTTTACTGTGGGGTAAGTGATAGATGAAAAAACACAATGCAATATTTTTTGTTCATTTTTCAATGTTGATGTGTGCCATAGATTGATGAAAACTTTTTTCGCTTCATACAAATATCTCAGTCCTCGTTATTTTGGCGAGTAGAAAATTTTCCACTTTCTCATGTCATGTATCGCATAATGTGTTAGTTCGCTTCTTCCTTCTATCTGAAATGCGACTTGGTCGACTAAAACATATGTTTCGACGTAATGTGACTCATTTGTAAATGTCTAGTTTCGTTATTTAAAAATAAAATATCTTTGCCTCCATCCGTTTTTGTTGGTCGATATTTCATTTCATGTTGTTGGCCTTGTACGAGAAAATGAAACCATTTGCGATAGATGTGCTGCAATAACGGAATAATCATTGAAGATGAAAATTTTTGATAGGAATTTATTTATTTTTGAAACATTTTTCATAACTGCTTTATGCACCCTTTGGCAGTCAAATCAAGAATTCTGCAAGATACTACCGAAAAGTGAAATAATGAAAGGAAATTTGTAGACTGCGGAAGTGTTTTGTTATGCCATGAAAACAGCATCTTGCAGACAATGCAAACATTTCAAAATAATTGTAGATGTAAGAAAGAAATTACAAATTTCCATATAATCAAATAATCTTGATTTAACTGAATTTTTTCGCTACAGATATCAATACCTACTATCTTCAAACAAATAAATTAGTTTCGAAAAATTCGTTGCAGATGTTTCTTATCCTCAGGCCTTCATCACCATCACCACAAGATAAAGAAAAGAATATGCTTCCAGAAAACTGAATTTGTTTGATTAAATTTCATTTCATTTGGAGAGCTCTTGTTCTTTTTCTATCGACATTTAATACAATTTTTGATCCTTTCTTACTATTCCCCCGTTTGCTTTTACTCGACGATATCAGATTGACGTGAAACGAGTTTTCTTGGACAAATTTCCCTCGTTCAGGAAAACTGTAATTGAATGTTCATCAGTCGATCTATGTTCATTCAGTGGCTAGAAAGAAAAACTAAAATAGAATACGTAAGATTGAAGATACATAAAACATATATCTATGTAATAGCAAATTGGATATATGCTTGAGAAGATGATATCGTTCTCGTTTCATTAGCTTTTGTTACACGTTCGAAAATCACCCACATTTCTCGATAAACCACAAAACTTGAAAGTTCAAAAGTTTTAGTTTGTATAAAGAGAAATTCTCATCTTGTAACAAGTTTGTAATTACTCCTGATTTAATCTACATCGGCTTTCGCTTCTTCAAACAGCTTACAAATTTGCAGATCCTTAATAAATCAACTTGTTCTTCCCTCTATATCTAAAGTTTCACCTATTTTACGGTCTCAAGTCGACTTTACAACAAGAAAAGCACCTTGTTCAAAAACAATTTTCAAGTGAAAACTTTATAACAATGTTTAAAGTTTTAATGATAATATGAAAGCACGACATGAAATATATTTTGTTTTGTTCTTAGTCATAGTTACCTTTTGTAAAGTAATAACTAGAAAATATAAGTGTGAGAAAATATTTGTTATCGACTAAAGTAGGAGACGAATATGAAAGATAAACAAGAAAATTTGTTGTTTGATCAATAATAGTCTAGGGAAGTTTTAAATTTTTGGTTTTCCACTCACATTGAATGTAAATTATCAAACTAATGAATGTTGTTGTTAAAAGTTTTAACAAAGTTAATTAAACATGTTTAATAATTTTTGCAAATTATAGTCAAAGTTTTAAAATTGAAGTTAACACGCTTGTTGACTCGTAAATATCATAACTTTCCATATAATTGTCAATTTGGCTTTCATGGTTAGTTATTATATGATCTTAAAATTCAAGCCATGTTCTCTATTAATATTGGATTAGTTTCAGCAAGTAAACTTTTTTTTCACTTTACCATCTGCGGCATTCGCAGTTCTTCAATTGTAATGTTGCTTTCCCATGCGCTTACATAGCAATGTCCTTCTTTCTCTCTTTTTATATCATACTACACAGGAAAGGTGAGTGAATGAAGTTAATTAACTAAACAGACGAATAGGGGAGAAGAAAGGTCATAAATTTCATCCGACAAAAACCTCCCGCAAATGTAATGATTCTATTATGAATTCAGATCACAAATGGCATACCAACAAGTTAATAATGATTCTTCTTTACTTTTTTTCTCTCTCTCTACTCGTATTGCCTGAATGCTTGCGAATTGCGATAATTTTTTCCTTCTGCTCTTTTTATGTTGTGGGGAAAGCATCATCAGAAAATAATTAGATCTCAACATTGACTTTTCATTGCAGTCTTTATCGTACAGGAAACTCAAATTGAAGTAACTCTCACTTCAAGATTACATTTTATTACGGTCTCTAAATAATAAAATCTTTGGGGAATTATAAATCTACATAATTGAGGTTTTTGATGTTCAAAGGTACATATCTTAATGTTCCTTTTAGGGAAAAATCAAAGAGGTTTCATTATCAACCAATATTACTCATAAATATTCATTTTATTTTTATTAGAAATTTTTCCTGTGAAAACCTTAAATATTTTTTTGAAACCTATGAAACATTTTTATGGCATCTTGAAGGAAAAAAGAAAAGCATAAATAAAGCAATCAATTGGAAATTCCCTCGACTCTTTTTCAACCTTTTCATTACATTGACTTTTCGAAAGAGAAAGGGAAAAAATTGAAACATTTTTTTGGGGTACAATGTTCTACTCGTTTCACTAATTTCGCATTGAAAAAAATAAATAACTTTTATTTGATTTATTACGCATTTGCGGTAAGGCCGAAAAGAATCCTTTCTTATTAAATTTTTTCTTTAGCAAACCGTTGGAAAATTCGATATCAAGGTAAAGCATAAAAATTATAATTTATGGCAAAAAATCTTTTACCCTTCTGTATAAAAACGGAGATGAAAAAACATTTTTTTTACAGAAGCAAAGAATAAATCAACGCATTTCTACTCATAAGACTTGAAATTACAAAGAGATTTCCGGTTAACTTGACTGTGAATAAATAGAGCGTAAAAATTCCTTGCAACTAATTAAAAAATCAAACATTGAGTTATGAGTTTTTAAAGCACTCAATGAATATCAACAACCGCCTTTAAAATTTTGTGCGTAATCTGGAACTAATTTTCAGTTTCTGACTCTTTTCTACATTCCTAAATGAAACATGGAAGTTCTGGAGGCAGTTTTAAGATTTTTAAATTGTTAAACAGAAGAATTTTCTTCTCTTTCTTCTTTTTCTGTCTTGTATAACCATCAAAGCATCTCGTTTTTGTGATGACTGTTGTGGGCGTATAACAAGAGTAGATAATATAATAATTCATCATCATTGTCTCTAAAGCGTTTCATAAGTCGTACATTTACTTCCTTATTAGCATCTTTCTTCATTATTATTGTTTCTTTTATGAGTCCGACCGACTTTGAATCCGACAACGAAACGGCAAACTGCGACATCATCCCTCATTAAGCTTGGAAAATGTAACGAAAAAAAAGTTTGATTTATGCTAGAAAATTTTTAAATTAAATGTCATCATGCTCGCTTCCAACATTTATTTCCATGCGCTCGAAAGTGCGACATGAAAACTGAATTAAACTTCAATTTATCATTCATTTTCTTGCTGAATTTTAAAAAATTCTTAAGCACTGCTAAAAAATTAACAACTTTATGATGTTCTTAATTGCTCTTATATTTTTAGCTCGTTAATTGTAATGAATACAAAATATTTATTAAGCTCTAACTTTAATGGCTTTTGACTTTGTCACTGTTTCCCTCAAATAAACAGACATTAAATGTTTTTACCCCCTTCGGACTGATAAGAACTCAAAAGAATTTTAACATAGTTTTGATAATCCCGAACAAAGCTTAGTAGATTAAAAGTTTCAAATGTTAATTTGATAAGATTAAAATTTAATGATAAGATTGTATGGCACGGGTCATAGATTTCATCGGCTATAAAATCGCTTTGATTTCAGTAATTTGACTTCAGTTTTGTTTACGAATCAGTGGAAAAAAAATGTTAAAATTGTGTCTCTTGCTGTCACTCTTTGTAGCTGTGTATGGACAGTCACGTCCCATTGTTACAACAACTGGTGGACAAGTTCAAGGAATGGAATTATCAACTGGATTGCTTCAACCGAATTTTTTCGCGTTTAAAGGAATTCCATTTGCAGAACCACCAGTAGGAAACTTAAGGTTTAGAAATCCAGTTCCACATCGAGGTTGGTCTGGAGTTCTTGATGGTGCCGAACATCGTCCAATCTGTCCCAGCACAGGTTGGTTTGGATTGGAAATCGGTGGTGAAGAAGATTGTCTCTTCTTAAATGTATACACTCCGAGTTTAAGTGGCAATAGAGCTGTGATGGTTTGGATTCATGGGGGATCTTTTACTGGCGGCAGTGGTGACAGTTGGATTTATGGCCCCGATTTCTTAGTCAACGATGGAGTTGTAGTTGTGACCTTCAATTATCGATTAGGTGTTTTAGGATTCCTAGCCACAGGTGACACAGCGGCACAAGGAAATTATGCAATGAAAGATATGGTTGAAGCACTGCGATGGGTAAGAAACAACATTGCCAGATTCGGTGGAAATCCAAACGCAATTACAGTCTTTGGTGAAAGTGCCGGTGGGGTCGCTGTACGTAAATATAATTAAAGAATGAGTTTTGCTGTGAGGAACGACAAAATAATGTCTAATTTTAGGTCCATTATCTGATGTTATCGCAAATGGGCTTGAATGTGAGTTGAGCTTTTAATTCTTCTTCTTTGAGATTACATTTTAATCAATTGACGTATTGTTTACAGCTTTTCCAACGAGCTATTTCACAAAGTGGGACTGCTTTAAATCCTTGGGCTTTCCAACCTAATCCGAGGGCACAAGCAGAGAATCTTGGACGAAAACTTGGCATTTCTTGGTCATCAACACAAAATTTAGTTGATCAATTACGTGCCCGTCCATTCCAACAACTTGTTGACGCTCAATCGGGATGGCTTGATTTGGAAGTGCCAAGGGGACTTACCTCATTTGAATGGGCACCTAATGTTGAACCAGCGAATAGTTTAGAACCGAGATTCTTGACAAATGATCCCGAAACTCTTATGAGAAGTGGAAACTTCTTACAACTTCCTGCTATTATTGGTTACACTGACGTAAGATTTTTATCTTCAATGTCTGAAAATTTCATTAATCATTTTTACATCTCAAAATAAGGCTGAAAGTTTATTCATGGCACACGAAGACAGAATTGATAATACTGCCATGGGTCAATTTGCTACTAATCCATATTTCTACGTTCCACGTTCTTTCAATTTAAATCCTCTAACACAACAAGCTCAAGTTAATCAAGTAGCACAAACATTCCGAAGTATTTACTTCAATGGTCAACACCCACATCAAGGTATCGTGTTTAACTACACTCAGTTCATGACAGATCACCATTTCACATTTGGAATTGATCGTACGGTCAGATATCATGCTCCACGTCAAACACAGCCTATTTATTATTACAAATTCAGCATGGATGGATCCTTAAACATGATCAAGCGTTTGTTGCTTTTATCTGCTTTTCCAGGAGCAGTTCATGCTGATGTAAGATTAAACTCTATTATGACGTATTTATGTTAATAATTTTTATGACTTTTCAGGATATTTTCCATTTATTCCAAGTGGCTTCCTTCCCTGTGCCAATTCTTCCAGGAAACATCGCTTTAACTGTTCGCCGTCGAATGGTTCGAATGTGGGTAAACTTTGCTTTAACTGGAAACCCAACACCAGTCACGGATTCTTTGATCACTGCTAGATGGGAACGTTATACAAATGCAAACCAAGAGTTCATGGATATCGGTGAAAATCTCATACCAAGCAGAGTTCCACACGGTGGCCGTTTAGAGCCGTGGCATAATTTCCAAAACCAATTCGCTCCTTGGTGAATAAGGAAAAGGAAATTGTGTTTTTGATTCAAGTTTTTACTGAATTTTAAATAAATTCTTAATCAATGATAAAAAATTAACAACTTTATGATGTTCTTAATTGGTCTTATAATTTTTAGCTCGTTAATTGTAATGAATACAGAATAATTATGGCTTTTGATTTTGTCACTGTTTCCCTCAAATAAACAGACATTAAATGTTTTCATCCTCTTCCGACTGATAAGAACTCACAATTTATTAAAAAAATTTAAACAAAATTTGGATAGTCCCGATAAACAAAATTAAGTAGATTAAAAGTTTCAAATGTTAATTTGATAAGATTGTATGGCACGGGTCATAGATTTCATCGGCTATAAAATCGCTTTGATTTCAGTAATTTGACTTCAGTTTTGTTTACGAATCAGTGAAAAAAAAAATGTTAAAATTGTGTCTCTTGCTGTCACTCTTTGTAGCTGTGTATGGACAGTCACGTCCCATTGTTACAACAACTGGTGGACAAGTTCAAGGAATGGAATTATCAACTGGATTGCTTCAACCGAATTTTTTCGCGTTTAAAGGAATTCCATTTGCAGAACCACCAGTAGGAAACTTGAGGTTTAGAAATCCAGTTCCACATCGAGGTTGGTCTGGAGTTCTTGATGGTGCCGAACATCGTCCAATCTGTCCCAGCACAGGTTGGTTTGGATTGGAAATCGGTGGTGAAGAAGATTGTCTGTTCTTAAATGTATACACTCCGAGTTTAAGTGGCAATAGAGCTGTGATGGTTTGGATTCATGGGGGAGCTTTTACTGGCGGCAGTGGTGACAGTTGGATTTATGGCCCCGATTTCTTAGTCAACGATGGAGTTGTAGTTGTGACCTTCAATTATCGATTAGGTGTTTTAGGATTCCTAGCCACAGGTGACACAGCGGCACAAGGAAATTATGCAATGAAAGATATGGTTGAAGCACTGCGATGGGTAAGAAACAACATTGCCAGATTCGGTGGAAATCCAAACGCAATTACAGTCTTTGGTGAAAGTGCCGGTGGGGTCGCTGTACGTAAATATAATTAAAGAATGAGTTTTGCTGTGAGCAACGACAAAATAATGTCTAATTTTAGGTCCATTATCTGATGTTATCGCAAATGGGCTTGAATGTGAGTTGAGCTTTTAATTCTTCTTCTTTAAGATTACATTTTAATCAATTGATGTATTGTTCACAGCTTTTCCAACGAGCTATTTCACAAAGTGGGACTGCTTTAAATCCTTGGGCTTTCCAACCTAATCCGAGGGCACAAGCAGAGAATCTTGGACGAAAACTTGGCATTTCTTGGTCATCAACACAAAATTTAGTTGATCAATTACGTGCCCGTCCATTCCAACAACTTGTTGACGCTCAATCAGGTTGGGCTGATTTGGAAGTGCCGAGAGGACTTACCTCATTTGAATGGGCACCTAATGTTGAACCAGCGAATAGTTTAGAACCGAGATTCTTGACAAATGATCCCGCAACCCTTATGAGAAGTGGAAACTTCTTACAACTTCCTGCTATTATTGGTTACACTGACGTAAGATTTTTATCTTCAATGTTTGAAAATTTCATTAATCATTTTTCAATAAGGTTGAAAGTTTATTCATGGTACACGAAGACAGAATTGATAATACTGCCATGGGTCAATTTGCTACTAATCCATATTTCTACGTTCCACGTTCTTTCAATTTAAATCCTCTTACACAACAAACTCAAGTCAATCAAGTAGCACAAACGTTCCGAAGTATTTACTTCAATGGTCAACACCCACATCAAGGTATCGTGTTTAATTACACTCAGTTCATGACAGATCACCATTTCACATTTGGAATTGATCGTACGGTCAGATATCATGCTCCACGTCAAACACAGCCTATTTATTATTACAAATTCAGCATGGATGGATCCTTAAACATGATCAAACGTTTGTTGTTTTTACCTGATTTTCCAGGAGCAGTTCATGCTGATGTAAGATTAAACTCTATTATGACGTATTTATGTAATTCATTTATATGACTTTTCAGGACCTTTTCCATTTATTCCAAGTGGCTTCCTTCCCTGTGCCAATTCTTCCAGGAAACATCGCTTTAACTGTTCGTCGTCGAATGGTTCGAATGTGGGTGAACTTTGCTTTAACAGGAAACCCAACACCAGTTACGGATTCCTTAATCACTGCTAGATGGGAACGTTACACAAATGCAAACCAAGAATTCATGGATATCGGCGAAAATCTCATACCAAGCAGAGTTCCACACGGTGGCCGTTTAGAGCCGTGGCATAATTTTCAAAACCAATTCGCTCCTTGGTAAATAAGGAAAAGGAAATTGTGTTTTTAATTCAAGTAAAAAACTTACAAACATTTATGAATAGTAAATAAATAAAGATACAAATGCATGCGACGCAACAAGACTCTACAGATATTTTTCTTTCTAAGTTATTGACCTGTTGATATTCTCAGAAACAGACGAAGCACTTCATAACGTGTAATTAATAAACATTGGCATAGTTTCACGATTATGAATGAAAGTTCCTTACAGCAATCAACGCTTAATCATCGCTTTCAGCTTGTTTATATGCAACCAATTGAAATATTTTTTATTGCTATTCCTGCAGACATTTTATTCCACATTGACGTCAATAGACAATTTCGCAAGCAAGCAAAAGAATAATTAGAAGTTCTGAATGATATCATTTGTTAAAGTTTACAATTTGCCGGCAAATCATCATTTTTCAAAGTTTGTTTGACTTTTGTCGGCATTTGTGTAGCTAAATGAGTAACAAATTGCATGCTTTGTCATCACTCAGCAATGCTCAAATGAGAACAACACAAACAACACACTTGCGATACTTTATAAGATGAAGTAATTTAAGTTCGGTAGATTTCATAATTAAAATGAAAAATTTCTTACGCTCATTTCAAATTTTCGGTGATGAGAAGGAAGAATTTCTCATTAAGCTGAGAACATTAAACGATGAAGCAAACTTATGTCTGCAAAATATGTTTCACACTTTATTTCATTTTGTTATCCATTTCGTTGATATTAAGTTAGGGTAGTTGGCTAGTAGTGACACCACCCCCGAAAACGCGTCCAGTAGTGACACCACTCTATTAGTTTAATTTTAACAGCTCTTAGAGCTTACCGGAGGAATGTGTTAATACATAACGGTAGAGGAAGGTTCAAGGATAAATAATTAACAAATCGCCTTTTCCGGTAAGCCCTAATCGCAGATAAAATTAAATCGAAATAAAGTGGTGTCACTACTGGACGCGTTTTCGGGTGGTGTCACTACTAGCCAACTACCCTAATTATTTTCATCATTGTACTCGCATTACATCTCAATTGTTCTTTTTCAATCATTTTAAAATACATCGATTTACACAGACCAGCTACAACCATCCTCAGAATCGAATTTTGTTATTTTTTATTCAGAATTGCGCACATGCAAAACGAATTCAGTACCGATATCACATTTTCCCCGCGGTTGTTTTTCATTTCCTTTCCTTTCCTCCCGCACACCGATTCACTGTAATATATCGAAAAATGTTTATCAATGGGGAAATTAAAAGTAACAAAGTTCTCTAATATTGAATAATGTTATTTCGGTAGCTGTGTGTTTGCCTTTTTGTTATCTTTATACCTCGCGGATAAACTGGGGGTTGACTCTTACCATCAATCGCACCACTTTACATCGCAATACCATTCATGCTGTAATAAACACATCGAATGGATGTGAGAATGATGAATGTTGAAGAAACTTATTTGATTTTATTCGATGTTTGTTTGTTTTTCAACGCAACATTGCATGCAACTTTCAATGAAGTATGAACGTCAGAGATTCTGCAATATTCAATATTTAAATTTTCGATTGTATGTATAAATTTTGCAACAATATTAAATGAGTTCGAAATCATCCACAACCGCTTTCAAATTAGATCCAATAAATTTGTTACGCCCTTTACGTCTTTTGGCAATTTTTCTCATCGAATCTCACCCCAATTGGAATTTTTAATTGGAAAAGTTTGTTAAAGTGTGATTCAATTAAATTGGGAACAATAATTTATCGAATGGCAAATCTTTCGCCTTCGCGCAGCTTGTGTAGCGTTTAATTATATGCAACATTGACTCAATAGTCATTAATTCTCAGTGGAAAAGTTTCTGTGCAATTCAAAGTTTTAATGTTTTAAGAATTTTAAACAAAGAGAATGAAAATATTTATCCGCGAAGGTTGCTAACGAACTTTTAAAGTCAAAAGAACACATTTACATTTCATTCTGCTTTTTGCTTCTTCATATCCTGTCATGTTACCAAAAAAAGAGAGAAAAAGAACAAATGATTTTCCGCAGGCCTCAAAAACACGCATGTCATTCGATTCAATTGAATTTTTATGCCAAATATCCGAGTTTTCACCCAAATCACCCGGCACATGTCATCGAGAAAACAGCAACTTTTCTTTTTCGTTTTCCTTTTTCCACACTCGCTTGGATAGAAAATTTGCGAAATGATTTATGAGATCTTTTTTCAATGATAATAGAAGTTTGGTGTAACTTTTTGCTCCATGTGAGTCAGTGAAACGTGGATGGGGAGAGAAAAAAGAAAGAAAGAAAATAAAACTTCAAATTTTCCAAGTGATTACTTATTGAATTTTTAAACCACATTTAAAACACATAAATTTCAATGACTGTTGGGAAAGTAATTCTTCGATGAAAAGAAGGAAGGGAAGCGGAAAACTTAATCAATCAAAATGATGTTCTAGAGAAACATGTGAGAGAATTCGCACGAGTGAAATATTATGGAAAAGAGATGGTTTAAGTATCAAAGTACATACACACAAATTGGTAAAACCTTCCTGCTATATCTAGGAAGTGATGGCAACACACGGTTTTTCATCCAAGGTATTTCATAAATCAAATTCTATCTGTATATGACAGTGTTTCAAAACTTTCGAGTCGTGATACAAGACCCGTGACATTATTAAAAGGGTTGAATTTAATGAAGAGTTCTAAAGGGATCAAGATTTACTTCCAACAGGCGTGTAAGTCTCGTTTTTATTCCCTTTTTTCTGAATTCCGAAAATTCTACGAAATTTACATAATATTTTTGTCAACTTTCATGCGTGGTTGATTCTCTTAGGCATGTCAAAGGTAATGGTGCATGAATAAAGCCATCCGTAAATATGGAAGTGAGAAAAGTGTTACTTCGCTTCACTTTATTAAAATATGTTCCATAACATGCCAATGGTAATTTCTTATATATTTTTTCTTCAATATTATTAAATTATTATGAGGTTTAGTGAAAAAGTTTTTCCTCTGCTAGGTTTCCATAACGATGGATGTTAAATCGAGTGAAAGTATGAGAAAGCTTACCCCCCAAACTTCATTGATTAATTATTGTTGCTTCCTCTGAAAATATGATTCTGTGAAAATCTTTTGTAGATCGAACTTTATTAGGGTTAAGACAGTTTTCATTATCTTGCGGTTTCTTTCACTTTGTTCATTTCCCAGCTTTATCATTATGCAAAGGCTTTAATTAACATGATGCGCTGTCTTAGATAAATTCGTAATTTATTATATTCATACTTCGGAAAATAAACTGAATAAGCAGAAACCTTTCTCTGTTATCATGAAAAACTTATTAACAATGTTTACGTAATCTTAAACTTTCATGGAGGTTTGTCTGCGTTCGAGATTAGCTATTCTTGTTAATTTTGAAAGGGATGCTCTTTAAGAAATTTTCTCTTCGTATCGGTTACTTACAAAAGAAAGAGCTGTGAACTCGTCAATCATTTATTATATGGATCTGCTATGAAAAATGTTAGTTAATTGCTAAACAATAAATCATAACCATGTTGAAGCATGCATGAATGTTATGTTGAACATTGAAGCAATATCAACCATTGAATGTCGATGAGAAATAAAAAATTTAATGCATTTTCTATTATAGCATCTGATGTAATAAGAATTTAGTGTAAGTTGCTTCTTGTCATCAACATTTATTCATGTTGCCTCCATTTTCAAATTACTGATTCTATTTGAATTGTACATTTGCAGCGCCTGCTCTAATGAAAATTCATTGCCTTAATTAGCTAACATAAATTTGTGATGGTATAATGATTTTATACGACTGGTCATTCACTACCAGTAATGAATAAATTTCAGAATGTGAACGCATTTTCAATTTAACGCTTCACTTATTGTCATCATTATACAATGGAATTCCCATTTGGGAATTTTGGTGACAGAAGTGTTTTCGTATTTCTCTTTTATTTATTTGCAAATTGACAGCAAATCTTTTTTTAGTCTTCAGCGTGTCGAAATAAAGTGTGGGGTGGTTTAGACATGGCGAATCTAACTTTGACAAGAACAAAAAGATAAAAAGCTTCGTTTCTTCCACTATCATGACAAAAACAAAAGAAAAAAGTTTCATGTTGCATTAAAGTTACTTCATTTCATGTGGGTTAATAATTTGATACTATCTACGATGATATCCCCAAAAAATTCTTCTCATGTCTAGCGATTCTTATACATACATCCAAATTTTGTTCATGTGTCGCATTAATGCTCTAATGCATCAAACCAGCAGAAACCATCAAAAGTCCCAAGAGACAAACAAAAGAGGAGGAAAGAGGAAAGCATCAAAAATGATTTCCAGACCTTTTATTCATGCTGTGAGTCCATGTCTGTACCTTTGTTTTCCATTATTTTCACAAACTTTGACAAGGTCTTTGGGGAAATGCTCAAGTTACGTATGTATAAATAGAAGAAAGCGAATGGTGAATAATGCAGTTTATATCTTGTTTACTTCCAAATTGAAATAACGTTTTATGTCAAAATATTCTGCAGTATTTAGATTGAGAAGCAGATAATAAAATATGATGCCTTTGGGTTGGATTTGCAATTCGTTTTCCAACAAGAGTGATATATTGTTTTCTGGAGGAAAAACTGAGGGAATAAAAAGAGTTTTTTTTATCATTTAAATCGCTTCTTCTTTTTTGGCTTTTCTTTAAACCTTAAAACCACAAAGATTAAGGACTCAAAAGCTACCAGTCGACATTTTTATAAATAAATCTTCGTCACATCTAAGGTTGGATACTTTGCATAAACATAAGCTTCATGTGATACAAACGTATTAATCATTCGTGATTCCCTTTACAACGACTAAAAGCTCAAAATGATTTCAAGCGATTGACTTTTTTCTTTACCGTTAACACGAAATATGTTCCCTCATTTTATCGAGAAAGAAGAAAAATGGTTTCTTGTGTTTGCCCTTCACTTAAGTATAAATGTTGTCATCTCTCAAGTGTTTTTTTTTATTCTTTTCTTCTCTTTTTTCTTGTCCTAAATCTCAGAATGCACAAATGCTTGACATCACGTTGCTTTGAACATCACGTAATGTTTATTCTATGTTAAACATGACTTTCGTCATTTTCTTTGCTTATTTTTAAAACAGTTTCGCACTAAGCCGTTGGTGATTAATTGAATTTTGAACTCTTACGCTATTTTTAGCTTATTTAACTCTGAATTGAAGCCTCTAACAATTCCGGCCTATGTAATTATTTTTAAACAACAGAAATAATATGTTAGCATTTTTTAAGAGTTCTTCATGTAATCAATGTAATCCGAAATCGCTTGGATATCATTTGGAAGAATGATTTCGATCGGAAATAACATTCATTCTCTTGAAAAAACCTTGGAATTTGAAAGCAGACTCAAATCAATGTTTTCCTGTAAAGAAAGAAACTTTTTCACGAATTGAGAATTTTCTGGGTACATGATTTTAATTAATGGTTATTTCATCTCATCCTACATTAAATCTACAATTTCTCTCACGCGGAAACAGCAAAAAAAAGAAAGAAAAGTTGTGAGAAAATCTAGAGAAGAAGAAGAATTCAAAAAGGATTAATTCTAGGGATTGCAAAAACAAATTGGCAATTGAAGACGAGAAAAAGGCAAAGCACAAAAAAAAATAAGGATAAATCTCGTTAATGATTACAGTTTCTGTTCATCTTGACGCTAAATTAATTGACTTCACTTTAATGAAATAGCGGGGTGGAGTTAAAAGGAGAAAAAAGGAAAAGTGTACTAATGATTTGTTAAGGAATCTGCTCAATCTCACCAATTAGTAAATATCTAAACATGGGAATAAATAAAGATTTTCATCAATTTTTTAATTAAACTTCAACTAAAAAAAGTATCGTGATTCGTTTGGATTTTTTTTTATTAATCTGTCAATGCAATAACAAATTTCACGCGTACATTAAAAATGTTTCTCAACAAATATTTATAATTACATATTTTGATAGAAAAAGAAAGTTTTATGAAACGATCAACCGAATATTTTCATTCCCCCAACAATAACGTCAATCTCAATCATATAATCATTCATACATCACACATCCCCATTACATTGAGCTTTGTTTGCTATGTAACTCAACTCACAATATAGAAGCGAGACAACATATCATCATAGATTGCATAACAATAAAGCGATACACAAGCATAAATGGTAAAGCCATCTAGGGTAAGAAACAGAAAAATCAAATATTAATGGATAAACAATCTCAGATGTTTGCAGTTAATAACAACTTTGTTTGCTTCACCGGAGATGAATGATGGAAGGATGAAAAGGGCAAAGAAGCGCAAAAAATATTAGAAATGCTTCGTAATGTTGTTTTTTGAGCAAAATGAATCTCACAACAAGCAATAGCTTCACTATCAACTCAATTATGACTTATTAGTTCTTAATACTTGCCAAAATGTGTAGTGGGTGGAAGGGGAAAATTAAAGTTGCATCAAAAACTCATTAACACTATCAGCTGTCAACAGGAAGTCATTGTCGCTGACTCAACGTTAATCAATTGTTGGCCCATTTTCGAAATTATGTTCATTTAATTTTGCGATTATGTCATCTGAGATCTAAAGTTCATTCACCTTCATTTGCTTATTTATAAGTTATAAATTGTCAAACGCAAAAAAATATCAGCTTTGAGCGACTTAAAAACATGAAACAAACTTGTAGTAATTCTTATGTTATAAACATCGCATTTCAATTAATTTCCTTTCCGTTCGTCAGTGTTTGTGCCATTCATTTTTATTGCTGAAGATTTAATTATAATCTTCTGACAGAGAATACTTTAATGAAACCTGTTTATAATTTTTGTTTCAATTGAATTTTAATGTCTTGTAGGTTTTACCAGCTGAAGCTTGAACTGAATGGCATGCCGAAGAAACGCTTTAAGGAAGAAGAAAAAGAAGCCTTTTCATCCACCTTGAGTAACTTGAGAGTAATTGTAGTTTGTGTCATATTATATGTATCACTTACGGATATAATTTCGATGTTACAACTTGATAAATGCTAAGTGCGGAGAAGCAGCTCAAGTTACAATGCATTTTATACAAAACGATAAAAAAAATTCACATAAACATAAACATTTTTATGTGGATATAAGTGTCGATGTAAGCAGCTAATTGACACAAATCATGACCTTTATAAAAAGACGTCGCTCTTCTCACATGACAGTCAGCTGATTCAGATGCTTATTGGAAAATTGGCTTAAATTGTTTATTTTCTTTGTTCAATTGTTAATTGATATGAATGCCATGTATGACAATTTTAAGAAGATCAAGTAAGAACTGGAATATATTTAGCATAAGATGAAGTGCAGATCCTAATACTAATCCAGCTCTGATTATCATCATAAAAACGACAAATAAAGATCATAAAATAAATTCATTCGCTTAGTATGATAACAGAATTTATACAATGAAGACACTTTGAAGAATATTTGGGTGACTTGTGATAATATAAAATTCTCACCTTGATCATGACTGGCCTCAGTATTGACGACGTTCGAATTGATTTGCAAAAATTTGGATTGCCTGATTATTCTATATTTGTGTTGATGTTGGCAACATGTGCTGCGATTGGAATTTATTTCGGATTTTTTGAGAAGAAATCGAAAATCATTGGTGATGAGTCAGATTATCTCGTGGGTGGACGAAATATGAAGACTTTCCCAGTTGCAATGTCGTTGATAGCAAGGTATACATAACTGATTCACATCTTAATCCGAATCTAATGACTTTTTGATATACCGCCGACTGATGCCTTAATTCGCCTAATTTAGTTTCATTTCAGGAATTTCACTTTTGGGAACGCCGACAGAGACTTACATTTATGGAATTCAATATCTTTACATCATGGGTGGAATTATTACCATGGGTTTCATAATGATGTACGTTTATCTTCCAGTGTTTCATGATCTGAAACTCACCAGTACATATGAGGTAACTTTAAGCAACAAAATAAATAAATTTGTCAATATTTCTTTACAATTTTTCATTTAGTATTTACAGACAAGATTCGACAAGAAGATGCGTCTCTTTGGGTGTATTTTATTCATATTTTCTCAGGTGGGAATGTCTTTTCACCTAATTGGTCTCGTATTGATCTCTCCTAATACGATAAGAGAGCTTCCTGCAAAAATATCTGTTTATATTCAGAAGAAACATTAACAAGAGGAAGCTCATCATTAAAAATTTTATATCATTCATGAACACAAAGTTTTGTAAAGTTCCGAACAAGGTTACAATGACATTGAGTTTTATATCGCTTCCTCGTGCATTGTATGTGCATTAATTTTGATTCCATTATGATCAGTTTAAATATTATTCTATTCCCTAGATGGTCTGGCTTCCTATCGTGATTTTTGTACCCGCTCTAGCTTTCAATCAGGGTTTGTATTCATCTCTTTGCTTTCAAACTTTCATGCGAATATGCTCGTAAATTAAGAAAGCTTCATCTTTAAATGAAATTCATTCACAACTTATGAAAGATTATGTTTCTTTAAATTCTCATTTATCGCATTTTTACTTCACATGGTCAGTGTCAGGCATTGACATTCACATGATCACGCCAATAACGTGTGTCTGCTGTATCTTCTATACGACTGTCGGCGGACTTAAGGCTGTCGTTTACACGGACGTTGTACAATCATTAATGATGTTCGGAGCCATGTTTATAGTAATCATTAAAGGCACTTTAGATGTTGGTGGATTGGATGTTGTGATTAATCGAAACATCGAAAGTGGGCGCATCGAGGGACCGGAGTATGTAAATTGTTATTAATTATAGTCCATTCTCTATAGCATGTTCCACGTTTCGCTTTAATTAAAAACCCCAATCACCACTATTATGTCATGTTGACAATTTCTGTCGCTTTCAGCACATCTTTTGATTTAACATCTCGACATACAGTTTGGTCGTTATGCATTGGCGGCTTCGTGTATTGGTTGAAAACGAACGCTATAAGTCAGAATATGATACAACGCTATTTGTCACTGCCAAATTTAACAGCGGCTAAAAGGTCTTGCTTGCAATCAAAATCCGGAAAACTCCATTAATCAATATTTTATTCTTTCTCATTTTCTTTTGCATTTGTTGAACACGCAGAGCTCTTTGGATCTTTATCTTTGGCGTGTTTGTAATGTTGAGTATATGCTGTTATTGCGGGTTATTGATTTATGCTACTTATCATGACTGCGATCCGCTCACGACAAAATTGGTTAAGGCAAAAGATCAATTATTGCCACTTTTGGTGATGGACATTTTAGGAGATTATCCAGGCTTACCTGGATTGTTCGTAGCGGGAGTTTTTTCAGCTGCACTCTCATCGCTCTCAACAGGATTAAATTCGATGTCTGCAGTTATGTTAGAAGACTTCTTTAAGCCCTTTTCGAAAAAGCCTTTAACCGAGCTGCAGACAAAATACATTATGCGTGGCGTTGTTGCAGTATTTGGGACAATTTGTGTTGCTTTGGTTCTTGTAGTTGAACAACTTGGTGCAGTTTTGCAGCTATCGATGTCACTTGGTGCTGTAGCTCAAGGCCCATTACTGGGAATTTTCACTATGGGTGTAATGCTTCCATGGGTTCACGGAACTGTAAGACTTTAATCTTTTATAAATATAATTTACTTCGCTTCAGGGTTCATAAGAATCATGCAATAAAAATTCATTTTACATTTTTTTATCACTAAATATCAGAAATAACTTATTTCATGTAAAAATGAATAAGAGAAAATTAGTCAATTCTTTTCCTAACATATGAACACACCCTACAAGGCAAATCCTCTCAATTGATGATCATTTAACATTTTTAATCGAGTAAATGGAGAAAATGTGTAGTAAAAAATAATGAAAATATTTATAGGGCGCATTCGTGGGTAGCGCAACAGCTCTATCATTCATGACGTGGATATGCTTTAAGGCTCAACGGGCGATCGCAACAGGCGAGCTTCAATTTGCTACAAAAGAAGTTTCCACTAGTGGTTGTAGTTATCATTTCATTGCCAATGAACCGATGAGTATGTTGGCAATTAATGAAACTGCACCAACGATGACTTTGGAAGATATTGAGCCAATGGGATTTCAAATTTATCACATATCTTATCTGTGGTATACACTTGTGGGATCATTTATTTGTATCATTGTGTCTTTAATTGCGTCATATATTCTCGGACCCAACAAACCAAGTGATCTGAATCCAAATCTTCTAGCACCATTTGTACGGAAATTGATAAAATTTGAAACAGCAAAGCCAATCGCAAATGATGAACGAGAATTAGAACATTCAATGAAACTGAAGATGATTGACCACGAAGAAATCAAATTGAAACAGCAAAAATGTGATAATTACTTGAGGCATTAAAAATAAAGTTAATTGTCAGCATTTCTTGATTCAAAATCTTCACGTTAACTTTCATCAGTATTGAAATTCTTTAACTTCATACACTTGAAGTGGCAAAGATCCTTCGATTGAGTTATTTAAAGATTTCCAACGAATTTTCATCATCTTGAAAAGGAAAAGGGGAAAAATATTTTTTATCTTAATTGTTAATCACTTTTTCAATTGTTTTTATTTCACCATTCGGTGAATATTTGACAATGGAAGCTAATGCTTATCAAAGAGTTCATTCAAGAAGCTTGAGTTGGAATTTCTTTGATCTCATTTTTAGGTAATTGGTATTCTAATAAATAATTCATAAACTCCGTGCTATTTACATTGAGAGTACGACACTTATCGAGGATGTCGTGCTACGTGAACAAATGAAGGAAAGTGAGAATGGCAAGCAGTAATCGTAATTTTTAGGTTGAAAAAGGAAGCACAAGGAGAGGGGAGAATGAAAATTTTCGTGACTTTAAATGTTGGAAATATTTTGAGGCATTTCTAAAGCATACTTATGCTAAGTGTATGCAAGCGGCGTTCATAACGATCGTTTGTGTTTTTCTGGTCGTTGAGGTGATGACTAATCGCAAACGAATGTCAAAATTTACGATTTAAGAAATCGATAAATTTTATACAAATTTATTAAGTGTTTCTTGGAAAGTTCATATCTTAATGTGCTTTAAGCTCCGTAACTCCAAGACGTAAATCAAGTAAATGTCAATTTCTAAAACTTACCGCCAACAACAAACTAATATTCATCAGAACATCGAAAAATAAATCCGTAAAAAGTCATTTAAAGTGGATGATGAAGAGGAATGTCCGTCGAAGATTCTCTGAAACTCACATAACACCACACATAAATCTATATTTCTGATGTTAATGGTAATAGAAACCTATTAAAATTCACCCATTTCGTCGCACGTTATTCAACTCAAATCACGAAATAAATAATCAAAAAATTTATAGAATTAATTCGTTTTTAATACGCTGCGATACGACGAACGTCTTAAATCACTGTTTTGTTTATAATCTTTCAGTTTTGTTGGCGAACAACTATAATTACTTGGAAATATTGAGGACGGTTAGATATCGAATAGAGATGCCTGAATGTCATGCGTGCTTTGATGTAAGCAACAGTTCCGGTCGCTGAAAGCATTTTAAAAATTCTCACATAATTTAAGTGACATTCCAACTAAACAACGCCACATTAGTTTTATTATGAAATAGAGAAAAAAACAAAGTTTTACGACGTTTTAAGAATGGAAAATTATTTTACGACTGAATAAAGTTTGTAATTCAAATTATTCTTCTTAAGAATCACATTTTCACTGTTTAAATTGAATGGAGTTAAGGCGTTCGTGTTGATTCGTGTTGATGATGATGAAATTCCATCGAATAAATGTATAAAGAATATCAAAGTGAATTCAAATAAAGTCCCAAATTAATCGAATAAGAAGTACATCAATTGAATGTAATAATAAAACATTCGTCGCTTGAGAACTTGTGAAGGCAGAAGGAAGCATGGAAGAAAACAAACATCAAATCATTCTTCAACACATTTACTCCTGAGAATAAATATTTGTTCGTTTTTTTGACTCAAATTAATTTGTGGACAATTGAACAACGAAAAGGCAGTTTGCTCGTACATGAAGTTCTCTTTTTTCGTTTTCTTCTACTCTGCCGGACGTCTGTTTGTTGAAGTTATGTGACCAAATAATAAATCAAAATGAATTTTTATTTATTTCAAATTGGAATGAAGTAGAATGAACAGAAATAAAAAGCAGTTGAAAAGTAAGAAGAAAATATTTCTGGAATGATTAATTAAACTGGAATATCGATAAATATTGTAAGTGTCATGGATGAGGCCACCCTTGATGGTGTAGACGCAGAAATATCACTTCTTGTTTCTTGAATTTGTTAAATTTGTTATGAAAACTTTTTTTTCTTCTTCACTTCTTCTTTTAACGACATGTTTGTGTTCTACACATATTCACTGCTGAAGTCGTTAAGCATCACCCACAAAATGTGTGAAGTCAACTCGCCTTCTCTTGTTATTCTCGTTGGCCACCTGATAACATCAAAGTTTACTTTTAACAGCAACGAGTTTGTTTCCTTTCAAAGTACTTCTACTGTCTCGTTTTGTCTCTTTTAAAATTCTGATTCGTTGATTTTCAACTTTTTTCTTCTCGTCAATTGTCCGCTTTGTCAAATGTTTCCATTGGGATGCAATTAGAGAATTTATTATCTAATTTTTATTCACATTAAATAAGTGACATGTGTAAATATGATCCACATAACGTCGAGGCCAATGTCAATTCCTTTGCTTATAAATTTATCGCCACAATAATTTAAGCATTTATCATCGCATTTTTATTCAGACTCTCAACAGACGCGTTTTATGGTCGAACGTGTGTGTGGCATCAACTTTTTCTTTCACTTGAAGAGACTTCAATTTCTCAAGTTGAATTAGGATTGCGAGCGGAATAAAAACGCATAAATAAAAAATAAAAATGATTTACAATTGCAAATTTTATTATAGGGTCGAATATATCTTTCTTGCCAATAAAGTTTTTTGGAACCGTTGCAGAAACAGAAATGCTAACAAATGGCTAAGTCTTATTTGTGACTTGAAATGCTTTTAAGAGAATTATTAAACCAGAATAAACAACATGACACCACTCAACCTTGAGGCATAATTTCTTTTCAACTTAAATCGCATACATATTGGAAGAATGTATTTTGCGAAATCCTATTACATTTCGGCTAATTCTCTTGGTGATTTGAAAAGCATCAGACAAATAATGTCTTCTTTTGTTAGAGTCAGCAAATGCGAAACCTGAGTTTCAAAATAAATTTAAATCCTCATAAAATAAAAATCGATTCGAAAGCTCAAACTAAAGATTCCACTTAACAACTTCAGTCTGCTCTGAACGTTTGCAATCTACTCTGAACTTTAAGAAATCATCAATAAAAGAATAAAATTAATTTACTTTTAATGTTTATAAAATATTAATTCCATCTAATGCGATAGAAGAGATTAGTAATAACATTCACATTTGATATGCTTTATTTTCGGTCATTTATCTTTGATTTTGTGGGTTTTTCGAGGTTCTTTTAATTATAAGTATTTGAAGGCTTCTCTACAAGAGATAAAAATTATTTAATTTAAAAGTCACCTCTTTCCTATGGATGTTTCGAAAACTAAAAGTCTTTAGATATCTCAAACATCAAATCAACACACATTCGTTGCGTAACTTTGAAACTATCAGTGTTTGCCATCAAAATCGATAAAGGCGTCGTTTGATTGATGTGATTCACTTTATTTCAATTTTAACTGTCGAGAGACATTTTTATATGTAGCAACCTCTTTTTTACGAATTATTTAACAACGTTTTCAAACCGACATAAAATCAACAAAGTTATTCAACATCTCCTCTCTTATACATAATACAAATAAATATACAAAACAGCAACAAATAAAACTGCGGAAGAGAAATGAATAAGTAAATTTTTCCTCAGAGACTACTTTAATTCAATTTTGTAATGCGCATACATCAGAGCAACGACATAGAATTTAATTATGATAATAGCTCGTTTCTTTTTCCTTCATTTTATCCGAACGATGAGCTTCAAGGGTTAAAGGCCACATATGGTTAATTGGGGATAGATATCGATATGTAGACATTTTGCCCTTTTCGTCCTCCTTCCCTTCCCACTAAGTACACATGCCATCCTGAAATCTGTGAACCGTGTTCTGAAATCACAGTTCAGAAATTATAGCCGATTTTTCGAGACATTAAGCAATTTACCATACGTAAGGAAAGTATATACGGGAACGACAACAACATCGTCGACAATTCTTTTCTAAACTGCTTAACATTAAATGTGATTTCATGTGAAAGACAATGAAAATTACGACTCGACTGCATTCAGTGGATTTGTAAAAGACTCTGAATTATGCAAGTGCAAAGACTCTGACATTTAATGTTATATTTATTTTACTTTCAAGTGCACTGCAAAGCAAACTCGACATTTTCTTTGTTGCATTTGAAAAAAAAACGATGAAACTACCTGGAAGTTTATTTAGCCAACTTTCAACTTTGAACTTTTTGCTTAAATTTTTATACATTCATTAAGATTAGAAATAAATGCAATCACCTCCAATGCTTACAGCCAAAACTTGTTGATTTTGTTTGTTTCTATTAAAGTTTAAACTAAACGAAGAAGGAAAACTTAAAATTCAATCTTAAACGTGCCGAATAAAAATTTCATCTTCACACGAATAGTGCCATCAAATGTTAGTTTCTCTTGGAACGTTTTATTGGCTTAAAATGAATTTGAATGATAAAGTTGAAATGCTTTTTGGATTATCATAAACATCTTAATTTTTAATATAGCGACACTCTTTGTGTGAATGCCCTTCCTTCGTTTGCATATTTTTTACTTTCTCCAATTCAACAATAAAAGTTGGAAATTTGTTTCTTCTTTTTATCTCTCTCTCTCTCAAACATTTTTGAAAGATTTTAATTTAATTATAATCCACACTTCAGCCTGATTTTTTTCCGAAATTCCCAAATTTGTCTTGAGCTTAATTTATGACCTAATGGAATATGCATATAAGAGACTTATACAAGCTACGTAATCTTTAGACCTGAGATGTATTTATGATATGGGCTCGTATGAAGTGAAAAACCCATTTGATTGCCGGCTAAATGGACTTTTCTTATAACAACTATGTATGCTGAACTTCAATATGCATGCACGCCATTTAGTGTCGGCAGACTTTAGTTACCTGCATTGGATCGAATGAAAACGATTGTTAAAAAAAGCGAAAAGTGCTTCAACATTGTCGATTAAAATTATTGGATTGGGATAACTTTTACGCCTCGTTTTGAAATCATTTCCTTATTTGATGTGAAACTTACTGTTATCTGTACTCATCACGTTTTTTTCTTTCTTATGCTTGCAACTACAAAATACTACAACAAGAACTATAACAATAAATGAGATGGAAAATGTAAAGCCCTGTATCGCAGACTTTTAATCGCGACTTTAAATTGTTATTACAGAAAGTGGAAAAAGAAAGTTTCAAGTGAACACCTTCTTTCTTTTAAGCGGAATCTCGCACTCTTTCTTTGTAACTTCAAAGCCTTTAAGCGTAAGTGCATCAGTGATTTGTTTTTTTCCTGCATTCTTCATTGTCTTGCTTTATAAATTGCTATTTCTGTCTAACCTAATTGTCTTTCTTTCAGCTAAAACATTTTGTGAACAAGCTGACGCTGCAATTTACCAGAGAGAAATCAATCATCACTTTGAAGTTATTCATTTGCATCGTGTAAAGTTCATGTTATGTCCGCGAAATGCCACACAAACACATCAGAAATATTTACGAGTTCTGCTTTTACTCGATGAGGCATATTTTGTCTTTATTGCACATTATTTTCTCACTCTTTCAATGTTGGCATTTTGCGATGTTTAATGAATTGGAAAACGAAGAATGAAGGAGGATAGAAATTCAAAAGAGGCTTTCGACCTTGTTTTAGTGTTATGTTATTTAATGCACTTCTTGTATTCTTCTCTTTCTATCTTCTCTTCCCCAATGGAATTACTGCAAAACACATGCTTTTAAACAAGAACAAAAAAAAGAAGAAGAAAATCAATGCAGCAAATTAAAAGAACGTATAAACTCAGTTTGAATTCTGAAATAAAGTTTCAGTCATTAGTTAATTGGTATTTTGGCCATTTGTGTCGAATGTAATTTTTATCAATAAACATTTTCCAAATTGTAATTTTTCTTCACCGACTCAATGATTCTCAACGATTCGGTGTTGTCTTCCATCGTTAATAAATTTAAGAAAGTCTATACAAATTTTTATTAATGTTACAATTCAAGTAATTTAATTTCACATCAACATAAAAATTATTTATTCATTAAAGATTTTAAAGATCTGGTTGTGCTTTTAATTAAGCAATTAATATTCAAGAAGGATCGTGTTCGTGTGATAACACATTTAAGATTCATCACATAAATAACCCCAAATAGCCTATGATCATTTGTAGTCTCATAACTAGCAGCTTAACAAACTGCATTTAATAGAAAAACGAATAAAATAAACATAAATTACCAGCAAATTAACGTTCACAAAATTAATCTATCGATAGTAGCAAAACTTCGATGTCTCTATTGTCGTGGTTATTGAATATTTACAAATATTCGTAGCTTGCTTTGTGGTTAAATCCTTCATATAAATTTCAAAAATTTTGATCTGTTTTGGAGTTTTGAGAAGAAATTTATGAGCATTTTTATTTTGGGGCTCAGAAAAATATTAAATTGGGATTTATGTGTGTTTGGAGTTTCTTCACTTTCAAATATTTAAGAAATATTCAACTAAATATTTTTCTGTCATCACTTTCAAATTAATCCTTGCAAAATTTTGTGTATGTGTAACAATAAACATAAATTAGAATTAACATAAAGAAAGGGAAATAAAATACTTTTTGGCAAAATAATCATGAAAGTTTTGCTTTTGCCTCCATTCGCGTTGATGGCAATAATTCAACAGATCGAAGAAAAAAATTAATTCTGCACATAAAACTTGTACGCTGCTTTGACCAAAAATAAGCCAAAATATATGAAATTAATATTAATAGGTAATAAATCAAAAAAGTTATAAATAAAAACTTATATCCATGTTTATAAGTCAAGGAATAAATTTCTGCTAAAGCTTTAATTTAAATAACTGTTTCTTGTTAATGCTTATTATTTATGTTGCATAAAACACTTCACTTGCTATTCCACAATGCGATCTTTTGTTTCTCGCCATTCTTACGTAGCCTTTTTCTCCCCAGGATGATCCCTAATGTTTATTCCAATTAGTTTGATAAATCTAAAATTATTTTAATTCACTACATCAACTTACCCATGAGTTTTTCACTAACCAATAATCCAATTTCGATTTCTTATCATGTCCATAACCAACAAGAAGAACTGCATGATTAATCGATTTTGAGCACCTTCGATTATAGTAAACACCTGATCGGTAGTTTGTGAGAGAAGGTGCTGCATTTATTGCTACTGCTACAGGTCCATAGTTAGCGACAATATCTTTCAATCGCTTCTCATTGCCATTTAGTTGTTCTTTCTTCGTTGACCTTATTTTAACATCCAATTTCTTCACATTCCTTTTACACTTTTTCTTTCTTAATTCATATTTATATTGCGAAGCTCTAGCTAGTCCATTTGATTTTGCATATCTCATTGCGAACAATGGATCTCCACCTATTCATAGATTAGTTTTTCTCAAATTATATAAGTAACAAGAAGAAAGTTAGCACTTGCCATCACAGCCACCATTCATACGATCACAATCTACAATTTGCTGAACTGATAATCTTGTCTTCATTCCTGCTTTCAAATGAACACCTTCGATGACGCCAACTGCTGCAAAAGCATAACAAGATCCACATCTCCCTTGACTCTGAACAGAATTGACTCGACCTCGACTGACCCAGTTAATTTCGTCAGGTCCCGATTTGAGTTTCTTACGACGACCTTGGAGAGAAAGGTAAGACTCATTCACTTTCGACCCAGTGATGTCTTGAACCATTTCTTCATAAGATAAATCTGACATTTCCCAAAGTCCAGTCTTGTATGTTTCCAATCCAGCATTATATCTGAAGTTATGGATCAGAATTTCTATTCGAGCCTTCTCGAGATTTCTTTTTGCTGCATTCTCTTCAGCTATTGACGAGTAATTTCTTCGGAATCTTGTCTTCCAATTTTCAAATGTATTTTCTTGGTAATCGAAATCAGAGTCATCTTGATCTGAATCGAAGTTTTCCTGATTGACAATTCCTTGAGTTAAACTTAGGAATGAAATCAAAATCGTGTTGAACAACTCGACATTCATTACTAACTTTGCAAAATTATAGAAACTCAAGCTTCTATTAAAGTTGGTAAAGGGAGAAGTTATTCTTAAATTATGTCAATTGAATATTTTCGAAATATTATTTTGATTACCTTCAATCAATGTCATGAACAACATTGAGACATTATTTCGGATTCAACACCAACTTCAGACTTTTTTGTCTTCACAGTTAATAATATAAAAGCTCTTATCAATTTTCGAAGATTAATAAAAACTTAAATATTATAATTAGTTTAGTCAATGACGATTGACGAGAATATTTTATGATTCATACATAAAAATTCTTTGATGCAAAATCATTTAAACTGCAGCGTTAATTCCCTTTCCAAACCAACATAAACCTTATCTGGACTTTCAATCTCCCAAACTGGTTATTTATCTGCGTTTATTCATGTGAAAAACTGAGACTCTTTCAGATTTCATTCAAAACAATTGTTCGCATTTTACAATGCACTCAAAAAAAGAGATTTTGATGACACACAAAAAATGTTCGTCTGCCACTTAAAATGAAAAAAAAAAATCGTTTACCTAAACAATCAGTTGTTTGAATGCTTAATTTTCCGTAAACTATTGTGCCAACAACCTCTTGATATTTAATAGTTTCCGATTTATTTTTGTTGATTTTCATCAAGGTTAAACAAACCAAAGACAATGTCAGTGATATATGAAATATTTGTTTAAGTACTTTTTATCCTTGATTTTGAATCTCGTTGAATTCTCACAGACATTACGCATCTGTGACAGGATTTGGTTGAAGGATTTCATAGTGAAAAACTGCATTCAGCAGATAACAATTCACGTTTACGTTCATAAAACCCATCGACATTTTTATTTCGCTTAAGCAGTCAAATTAATCTCAAGAAGGGTCGACAATGCCGTTTGTTTCAAACTTACGGTTCTTTGCCCTTCGCTGTCATCCCCTAGAGGGTTGTTAGAAATAAATTCCATAAATATTTATAAAATCTCATCTAATCTCAAAATAAAAATCTCTAATCGAGTTTCATTTGAACTTTTATCAGAGAATAATGATTTATTAAATCTCATGCCCACAAGTCAAAAAAGAAGAAAGAAAACCAAAATTTTCCCAAGAAAACTCCTGGGGTGTATCGCCTGGAGCGTCGTTCGACAGTACATCAAAATTATAACTTGAGGCGTATCAAAATACAATTTTCATTGATTCACATCTAATAGCGACGTACCATCAAATATTGCCAAAATTATACAGCCAACCCATGTACACAGTTCGCGAGTTGAAACGATTTAAAATCCCGCAAAGCAGGATATTACATTATTTGATACACTGATACACATACCGGCAACATGGTTGCAATAAAAATGTGCGGTTACATTTTCTCATTTCACTTAGGGGTTGCAATATGTTAATAGTTTCTCATTTTTTATGTTCCATGCATGCCTTTAGCTTTACGTTTGGGTTATATTGTTGTAAATTAGGGTGACTTATTCAATTATTTTACACTGCATAGTAAACTCAAAATATAAAAATAAAAAAATAAAAATGAGAAACGAGAAAAGACATTAAAATATTCGCTCATCTAAAAACTGTTATTTTTTGTGTGTTGTTGAAGCTTAATATTTATGCTTCGCTAAGGATAATTTACTAACATAACAGCGTCGTTCCTTTTACTTACTTTTATATCGAAATTAGAATTTTCTTTCACTTTCCCTATGTCATTAAGACGGTGTGGTGTGTCCCTATCACAAACACTTTTATCTCTTATTGTATGTTTCGGTAAAATGTCATTCTGAAATTAACTGCATAGTTTAGATTTTTTATGACTATCACTGATGGTGCTCACTCACCGCGCGTAATGGTTTTTAATGGTTGACGACATGAAGTAATAGCAATTCAAGACAGATATTTCATGCTATATGGTTCATAAATTAAAATACGTGAAGAAAGTACTCAAATATGAGGGGAAAGGTAGGAAACAAGCCTCGAAAATTCATGTATCATTTCTATTTTTACCTTGTCTAAGTCTGTCGACAAAATCATTCGTTATCACCGATCGTAAGTGAACAATTAAAAATGAATAAGAAAAAAAAGGAATTGTCGAAAAAGTTCACAGCTGAAGCAATTAAATATTGGTTTGCGACAACAAAAAATCCAAACTAATTGATCACCTGGTGCATAAATAGAAAACACTTTCCCGTCAGGCAGCAATAAATTCCAAATTATCATAATATTCATTGCGGTTAACATTTTGTAATGTTCGCTTTTGTTTAAAAAAGCGCAATTGGTCACAAATGGATGCATTTCGACATTTACACCGACAGCAACAAAAAAAAACGAATTATATTCAGTCATTTACCCTTTATACGTCATCTTTAGCAACACAAAGAGTTTTCTATTAATTAAATAACTCTTAACAATGACTTGAATTCAAAATAATTTGTTGAAGTTAATGTGAGTTAGAACCACAACAAACAAGGTAGTTTCATTTGATGCAATTGGACATTCTTATGTTGTTAACCTCTCGTGCGTTGGCTACCACACTAAACGAACCGGAAACCTATAATATAAACAATAAATTGCCCTTCTTCGTCTTTATTTCATTCTCGATGCTTCACAAATTCTTATTATATTTTTTTTGTTATTTCTCGAGTCAGGTAAAAGTAAGTGAAAGGCGAGACTGAGCTAAGTCAAAACAATTCCTTTAGTTATAAAAATTTATTAGGCTGAAATTAAAATATTCAAGTTTTTTTTTGTTCTTTCCTATCGTCTGACCTAAAATTGTGTTCTTTTTTTGAATAGAAATCGCTTTTTTATTCCTTCATCCCTGTTCTGTGTTTAATAGATGGAAACGATAATAAAACGAAAGCAACAGAATGAAATGATGAAACCAATTAAAATGGTTCTTTTGTAACGTTTCGTGATGTTGATTACATTTTCAATATCCTGCACTACGCTGGTGCTGTTATGAAGATAACTACGACAGATTTTTTAAACCCCAAAAAATATTTAAATTATTTAAAACGTGAGGTTGTCCTTGTTGAAACGTTATGAGAAAAAAAAATGTATATATCGGAACTCTGTTCGATTCTTCAGAGGAAATGTTTCATTATCTGAGTTTAACTTTCCGGTGTTCGAAGCTTAATGTCATTCGCGTTTATATCAAAAAAGGTTCAACTTCGGAATATCCTTCCGAAAAGTAAAGATAGTGGAAAATTTTAGTGTTCATAAACTCGTGCTATGATCTGTAATGCATGTTGCTAACCTTAACATACACAACAACCATCAAAATGCTTAAACTTCCATTATGCCTTGCGTGGTGTCGAATCGAATTCCTATAAAATTCAGTTGTGTGAATAAAAAACCACCTCTGTCTGCACTGCAACATGCGTATTGATTCGATTCAAAAGGTTTCGTGCTGATCGCTTTCAATAAAAAAATATAATGAAATACCACATTGTGAAAAATAGTAGCACATAAGCAAGACTGTGAATTCAGAACCATTCTTCCGTCTTTTTTTATGAAAGCTGCTTCGGGGGGTCGAGTTAAATATAAAAAGAAAAGAAATGAGATCAATAATATTGAAATATTATATATAATAACATTCAAATTCAACTTCTCTTACGGCTATGATGAAAAAGAGAATCGGAGAACATCAAAAAGTGATGAATTTGCCTTTCTGCCATTCCATACTCTTCATCAGTGAAAACCGCATGATGTACAGAATGTTTCTCGATGTGGGTAGAATGAGTCTTGGATTTTCTTTTGCTATCAACGTCATGATTACGAAATTACTGTTTTTCATTCACTAAAAGTCTCGGAATAGAAAAATGTTCATCAAAGTCATGGGGTAAATTGAAGTTGTTTTTAAACTCGAATAATTACATTCACGTTCTAAGCAAGACAAAAAAAAGAACTCTTATTCTTCACCAACATTTCTCTGACTTTTATAATTAATTGAGAATAGGGTTGAGTTTTCATCAATTTGATGAGTGAATTTGTCATCATCTCGAATCGATTTCAAGGAGATATCATTTTCCTCCACTGAACACAGCCACATGCCTAGTCATCAATCATTTTGAGTAAATTTCATTTAACAAATTTTTTTTCCACATTTCAAATCCTTATTCAGTCAGTAGCTTAAATTTTATCTTCATTAAAATGATTTCATAAAAAAAATGCATTACTAATGAAAGAATAATTATAAATATTTATTCAGATGGAAAACATGAACAAAAATTTTGTCATGTTCGAGTTAATCCGTCACTTGAATTATAAAAATCAAAATTCTCATCACATTTGGTAAACTCATCACGTATTTCTTTAAAAATGAATTGAACATAGTTTTCTGCTTCTACGAATATAATTACGATTTTATAATTCGCCAATTGTTAAAGTGTGAAAGTGAAGAGAGTTTAATGAGACCAGAAATGATAAAGCAAATTAATTGTTGGGAATTAATTTACATAGACCTTGAAATCGTGACTAAGGAGCATTGAAGATTTCAAAAGTGTTTTCATAAGAATTCTCAAATTGAGAAATTTTGTTTTCTTATTTCAAAGATGAAATAAATCTCAAATCTGATACTTTCATCATCCGTCTAATGTCCGTAAATTTTCACTTTGATTACCTTTATTTTTGTATAAAAAATTGAAGCTATAAAGAGATTAAAACATCATTTTAAAAGATGAAAATTATTTCATTAGGGAAAACAAACACAAAATATAAACAAACATAGAAAATTGAAGATCAAAGAGATAACTAAAATGTGTAGAATAAATTTCATCTCTTTTAGCACCCACATCCAATTTGTATTCACATATTTTAAAAATGTGAAAAAGAAAGAAAAATTATCACAGAATTTTCATCTCACATGTGATGAAAACAGTGAGAAATCGCACTTAAACACGCTTGAAATAATTTTATGATCAACTATAAAGAGACTAAATTATTTTATATTTTGATGTTTTTAGATACTTATTCAGTGAGTGCTCATCCATTTAACAGGAAAGATCATTGAAAGTCTCTTAAACTTTATTTAAATAAACATAAAAAATCTTCTTCCAACTTTTTTAATATTTGAGATTATCAAAAATACTTGGGGAAAATGAACTTAAACCACACTTGACTCACGCAGCATTTTCTCGGAAATATTTGAAGGAATTTTCAACAACAAAATAAGTTGCAGTGACGAGTTTACCAGATTTATTAGCCGTGGTGTGTTCTTCCAATTTATTTAATTTATCGTTTCGTAGCGAACATCATTAACATTTTACAGAATATTTTTAGAATCTCTTTTTTATTTGTGAGTTCTTTCGCGATCAAAATGTGTGCTCACACCTTGGCAAACAAGCATGATTTAATGGATGTTATCGTTGTTAACGCGCGACATTCTACTGAAATGTTACTTATTTATTATTTTCAGCGTAACGTTCATGCTTGAAATTAAATGTTGCTGTTGCATTGCCAAGCTCGATGTTTATTTATGGATAATCCTTCCAGACGTAAGAAATTTTAAATTCTCTTGAAATTTAAAAAGATTAATTATCTCTCGTGTGTACATAATATATGTCGAGATGTTAAGACTTTTGAAGTCTAGTTTGTTCACACTTTAGCAGTTTTAGAATCTGGTAAAAGACATTTGAATGAACAATATCTTTATTTGATTAGATGTAGAAGACTTTCATGCAAATTATTTCATTTCACCCTCAACAATCGTTGTAGAATAATGCAAAACTTGTATGGAGACATTATCCTTATTGAGTTTACGATTCAATTGAATCAATAAAGTAAACATATAGATGAGATTATATAAATGATTGTAAGTAGATACAGACCCAGCATCTTCAATTATTAATCTTGACAATTATGATTGATTGAAGTCTTTTTCCGAATACACTTTCATGATTGTATTTGCAGAGAAAACATAAAAAATATTCTTTAATTAGTTTTATAGATCAATCAAGTTTTTAATTTTCTTAATTTGTTTAATAACTGAAGAAATTATTATCAATCACATTTCTGTATAATCAAGAACAGTTTTTGATCAATTTGGAATAGTTTTAATAAGTTTAATGAATAGGATAGGAGGATGAAAAGCTAACAATCCGTTTTTCTTGAACAGTATCCGTGCTAGAATTTTTAACTATTTAAGAGTTCAAGATTCAATTGTTCATTGAGCTTAATAATCAATGGCAATTTCAGCTTGAAAACGAAATCAAAATCTTTAATTTTCTTTGTCATTCAATTGAGACAATTAATAGGAATTGGAACAATCTCGTTAAGATTTGATAGACGTTAACAAAAGTAAATGATAAGTTCGAATCGTGTCTTTAGCAAAAGCTTCAGTTAGCTGTTTGAAACAATAAAATATTAATGACAGTCATTCCTATGTGCTACTTTTGCATTTAGCAACATTCCAGACAGGTGTTTCTGTTACATATTCCCAAAAATGATCATGGTGAGCCTCTGGATATTTCTTTCGCTTCTTATTTGATTCACATCGTTAATCATTTTTAAAAAATCTATCATCAAATTGTCTAAACCTTCGCACCTTATAAATTTTCAAATTATCGATAAATCGTGAACTGATGAAAATGTTCATTCTTCAATTCTCTCAATTCTTTCAATTTCCTTTTAAATTAGTTTTATACTGATACTGATATTGATACATGAACTGTTCTAAGAAGCCATCGAAAGGTGTTAAGTAAGTAAAATATGAATCAAAAATTTTGGTAACCTGACTTAAATTTTTGAGTTTTGAGTTGAGTTTTTATTTATTTTCGGTGATTACGGGTTCTCGGACCAACGGATCGTATTGAAAAATATCAAATTTCACAACATGTATCATAACAAAACACATTTAAAATGCTTCAGATGCAGTAATTTTGTTTTCAAAATAATTTCTGACAGTTTTTGGAACATTTTAAAACTTTAATTTCGCCTCTGCAGTGGATGGGAATTCATACATATAGACATAGGTGGTAATCAGATTTATACGACAACGCAGTGCACGATGGAGAATTGAAATATTTATTATTCAATGTTTTACTAATCTGCTATGCTTTAATTTTATGACGACATTCACTTTAAAAATTTATCATCCTACATGCATATATTGGTCATTGTCTGTTTCATTTCATTTCATTAATTAAACTTTCTAATCATTTTTAAAATTTTACGACACAATTGCTAATCATAAATCAAGATTAGTTGCATGTTTGGTTTTAATTCTTGTATTTACATAAAACGCACCTTATAAAGAACTTAAAACATAAAATTTCGCATATTAAAAATCAACTATAATCATGCTGTGCTTGTAAATTAATTAGAAATTAATGAGTCTTTTTGAGTGAAACGAAGGAAGCAAATAATTTATAAACTAGATCAGAGCAAATTACTTTTATTCATGTAATGGTATTTCTAGTAATGATTAATACTTAAATTTCAAATAATTGAACCTGCACAATAATTTCATTTCCTGAAATTCGTATCGACATTGTAGCTTCGTGTTTCTCGCGCGTCAACAACAATAACAGAAGGGGGTCAAAATAACAATGAAACAAGGTCTTAAAATTATAGACTTGAAGTGAGATTTTTGAATTTTGATATCTAAATATCTACTGAAATTTTCGAATTCCTTCAGATCATTAATCATTTTAAAAATCACTCTTGAGACATTCTCACATATTGTCAAACAAATAATTGAAACTACGATTTGTGTTTCCATCCATGCACAAAATCATTTATTAAAAATTTTCGAGCCATATTTATGAATAGTCTCAAAATGAGTTAAATGTCATTCTATATTTTATATATTGCACCACGTCTTCATAAATTATTATTTAAACTCAAGTGTTAATTTGAAATATAATACATTTTTGAAAGATGACAATATATTAAAACAAAAATTTTATTAACATCATAACTTTTATTGCATCATTTTTTTAATAATCAGCAGGCAAAACTTTGCAAAATTTATTTTTTAATTCTCAAAATCACGACACATCACGAAAGCTTTTAAATAATTTCGCTTGCAATTGAAGTAAGAAAATTTAAAGTTAGCATCTTTAAAATTGAATAAAACAAATCGATAATTAAACAAAACCAACATTTACAAGGCAAAAACAAAATTCTAGGGAAAATAGAAAAAGAATTCTTCCCTATTTTTGAAATAGATGAACAACAAAGTATGAAGTAAAATTGATTGGCATTTCATGACTTTTTTTTCCTCGGGAATGATTAAAAAGTTTACATTGTTTGAAATAATTAAGAGAAAATTCTTTTTAGAAGTAAATGTAAATGAAGTCAATTAATTTTCATGCAAATGGATAAAAAAGAAGAAAATAAAATTGCTGATCATCTAGGAATTCAACCCTAGCATTTATCTTTTTATGTAATTTGTTCCACTTTCGGATGATACTTAAAAGGCTGAAAAAAGTTAAATCTTGTAACTCAGTAACTCGAGGTTCATTTGAAAATAATTTTAAGCCAAAATTTATGATTCTATTAAAGTTTCATAACTTCAAGTCGTATAATTATTCAAAGTTTCCTCAATCAATAAAATAACCTAAATAACGTCCTTCAACATGTTGGACAGTAACAAAATTTTAATTAATAATATTTATTGCTGCATTCATTAATTTAATGTCTTAGTTTCAATTGTGTCTTGAAAACATACATTGCAATCGCTATTAATAATTAATTGTTGGAAATGATGTCTTGTCGTTTCGGTGTACAATCAATAAATGTCGCATTTTAATGGTTATTGATTACATGATATCATCAAGTCCTCCATAGAAATCCAAGCTTTTAGCCTTAATTGTTCAAAAACTATGCTGCAATGTGAACTTTCAGTGACTTGTATAACATGAAAGTTCATTTTCCAATAGCATATCTTTGAAAGTACTAGATAACCATATTCATAACCCTATTTAATTAAGCATTTACCGGAAAAGGGACAATATATTTCAGATAGCTTCAACTTGTCACCATATGTTATATAATTAATGACTTGATAATCAATGAACATAGAAACTATATGCAATAATGTTGAATATCTAAACTTCTCATGTATGTACATGCATTCAATTAAATAAATGCTAACGCAATAAATTTTATTTCTAACGTTACTCATGTCACTAACTTTCTAAACATTTATCATTCTTTTTCTAACCGAACAAAAATGTTTTCTTCTTATGTTAATAATTATGATAATATTTTTTTGTTCCTAAAAAATTGTTTCTCTAATTAATATTTATGTGTAGATAATCAAATTAAAACGTTCTACCAATCTTGAAGAGAGTTCAGTTTCGATACAAGTAGTAATGAAAAATATCTTTTAAATTTATTGGTAATTTTACAATACAGTTGCCTAATGGATATCACAAAATATTTTAATTTCCATACAGATATTTTATTTCTCCCTTCTTCATTCAGCACTGGAAAAGAATTAAATTAAAGTTTAAAAAAGTGTGACTAACCTGACATAAATTGAAACTGGAGTCATGCAAAAGTGCAATGAGACGTACTTAACTGTCGTACTTAACTGCTAGGAGAGCACAACCAACAAATCTTTTATCCCTAAAATAATTCATGCGTTATTGATTGGTGAATTTAATTGTAGACACCATTTGCTTCACAAAAGTATTTCCTTGTTGATTTTATGAATTTGTGGTACGAATAAATTGAGGATCGTTGCAAGACACTTTCCTAGAGGATTATTTTTGACACGTAATATGAAACCCTCTGAACGTGATTATTAAAAAACAATAATTTATTACGTTTTGTTAAGAATACAAAACAGAGAATAATACTTTATACGACATAAATTTTTTAACTCATTCATAGACTGAAGGGGTAGATATTTTGCAAGTATTGTGATAATATTTTTTAAAAAATCTGACATCTGATGAGATAGATGTAATGAAATAAAATTATGATAATAAACTGAAATGAATTGTTATTGCTCATGGAAGGAATTTAATTTCGAAAACCAATTTTTAATTTAGAGACATGAATGCAAAACGAAGAGGAAAATAATAAAAAGTTTTACTTTATCAACATCATGAAATGTTCAAATCTTTGTGACTACATAAGGGAAACAGAAAAATGCAAAAGAGAAAATCATGGTTACTTAGGCGACAGTAGTAATCATTTTGTTTTATGATAAGGAGTTTCATGTTTCTTATTCATATTTTGAGAGAATATGATAATATAAGTGACAATAAATAGAGAAACATTATTTAAATGAAACGTCACGAGTTCCTTCTTCTTTATAAAGATTTGCTGCAAACGATATGTAGAGCCATGCAGAAGGAGAAGAAGATGATATTTACATATAGAAATGATGAATCAGGTGTTACTGATTACATCTATTTGGATGCTGCCATGTGTTTATGACATTCATATTAATATTTTACTTTTCTACGTTCTATAAATTGCTTTTGCTTTCTGTACAATGTGAAACGCAAATCCAAATTGTAAAAAGTAAAATTAGGTAAGAAATATTTGTGGAACATTTCACATCTGAACTCATCACTAGTGCCATTCCAAGTCTACATTTAATAAATGTTTTATAGCTTATGAAAGTTTCGTTGTTGACGTAAATTTCAAAATGATTTGCATTACCTCGAATTGGTTGAAAGTTTATTATTCTTTTCCTATTATGAATTATTATAAATTTGTAATAGCTTTGCTTTTATTATAGCTTACCATAATAAATCATAAAGTAATGAGAAAATATTCATTGACTATATTTGATTAAGCAATTCGTACATCTCAATAAGAGGTTTTGTCTTCTTCTTCCTGAAGATTTTTATTTTTTTTCCTCCACACAAAATATTACAATAATAATAGCTGAGCGCATCATAATAAATCAAAGCGGTCTGTTTATGAAAAGAAAACATTTTAAAAAGTATTTTCATCTTGAATATTTGTGTGACCGGGAATAGGCGCGATGATTTCTTAAGTTTTATTAATGTGTGATCTTAAGTTCGTTAAACCTCGTTTACAAATTTTCACTTTCTTCAAATTAAGTCATTTGTCAGAGTTAAAAAGAAGCAAAGAAAAAAAGTACTTTTAAGTTCAATTCACATAAATTTTATTGCAATACTCTAGAAAAAAGTCATTCAAACACTTTCTTGAAACGACGAAGCTAATGACCGAATAATTCAAATAATTTGTTTTTTCTTTGAGTTGCTCCTTCTTTAAGTTGACTTTAATACCAGTAGAATAATGCATTAAACACTTCAATTCAAATTTGTGATATGTAAATCTTAGCGTAAAAATGTTTAAAGTCACTCGACGTCAATTCCTCTTCATGTGTCAATAAAGTGACAAAATTTAATATTCTTATCATCTTAAGATTGTCGACATCAACAGAAAATCTAATTTATTTTCATTAAACGTTTCGTGCCTTTTTCTTTAATTAAACAGAAGTATTTAAGCTTGGAAGCTATCGCATAATGTGGGTATGACGCGTTAATTGCAATATGCGGGAGTGTTGTAAGTTTCGCTTCCCAATTTTCATAATTCTTAACATCAGGGCATGCAAATGAGTAAGCAAAGATAGTAAGTCTATGAGAAATTCTAGTCATGACCCTGTTTACTGTTGAATACTGATGTTAACTAGCCATTAAATGCGTTGATATTAAATCCTAGGGCATGTCAAGCAAAATAATGTGTTTGTTCAATTGGCTAACTTCAGTTATCTATTTGTTTCAAGCTTTTGTTTTTGCTTTAGTAATTTTACAAAAACTAAATTGTCATCTTCTTGATCTTTGCTCTTTCATTACATTATCAAATAATTTTCTTAAATTCTGACAAGTTCTGAAAACTTCTTTTCTTTTTCTTCAAAATTTTATTATTTAATTTGATGTATCTTGTTCGCTGTATAAAAGAAAATATATTTTTCTTGAAAATTGGTTTCAATGTACTTTTTCTTTACTCTGTCTCGTTTTCAGAAAACATTTGACAAAAGTTTCTCCTTCTGTGTAATTCTTTTGTCGGCCATTTTTCCTTAACTTTATTGAGTTTCCTGGAGAAATTGAACAACATTGGAATACTAAACATATAAAAAGAAGAGGGAAATGTCTTCCCTTCTATTTCTACTATTCTTTAAGTCTATAGAAGACCAATTCTGAAGTTTAATTTTTTCTTCCTTGCTCGCACAACAAATTCTCAATTCTAGAAGCATTTTCAGATATTATGAATTCTGTGGTTTCAATCATTATATTATTTACTTACTTGTCGCACAAATTTATTCTATCGATCGTCATAATACCAACAAACTTCTCTCGAACGATGATACAACCATCTACACCCTTTCGAAATTGATGCTTTGCGCGGGTGTTGAATGTGAACAAAGCGCTTTTTGGAGAACCTGATAATTTATTTATATAATCAATTATTGTTTGCTGTTCCATCATCGTTTGTTGAAGCGAGACACTTGGGAAAAATTAATTAAGTGTATCAAAGTATATTTCCAGTTCAATATTGATATTTTTTAAAGTTCTTTTCAAAAGCAAATCATTTTATATTTAGACATTCGTTAGAATTGACATCATTAAATCAATGAATTTTTCGTAGAATTTCATAGATAAAGTTCGGAGTTCAACTTCATGGAAACAGATTAAAAATTATTATTTATAACTATTACACATGACTTCAACAAACTGAAGGGTTTTACTCAAAGACTTTCGTTTTAATATATTCCCGAGAAAGCTCATAAATTCTTTTAACTAGCTTTGTTATATTTATGAGTTCCAACTTTTGTGCATAGTTAATTTTATTTACAACATTACATTTTAAATAAGTATAACGCCTTCCATATTTGTGCTTTTAGACTGATATGATTCTTAGACCCCAATGGTGTTACACCATACTCATGATTAACTTTAAATTATTCTCTCTTTTCTGCAGAAGCTTATATTAACTAACTTACTTTAGCTGAAAATGGGGGTTCGAGAAATAATCTCTTTATTCTGACGTTATTCATTTGAAAAACATCTCTTTCCACTATACTTTTTTTGCGCATCCAAATAAGCTTTAAATAGCAATTTAATTTAAATTTTCCAAACAATCGTCAAATTTAAGAAGCTTTTACTTCCAATTCATAAACATACATCGTATGAAAAAGCTGGGTTGCCAAGATGTAATTACATGGCATCATTCTCCATACAGTATTTCTGAAATTTAATCTAAAGTAAATGCTGTTGGCTGCAGAATGAAAATAAAAGCGGGATAACGAAGGATTTCAAGGGTGCAGAAAGGATTTTACACTAAGTTACTGTTTGAATTTTTCTACCTTTTCGAAGCTTCCAGAAGTGAACTCAAATATTGAATCCATGAAATTAACTTCATATTGTCACATGAACAGAATAAAATCTTAAGTCTCCCAATTTCTGTTTCAAATTCTTTCACATTATCTTAAGAATGTTCTAAACATTATTCGAAATGACTGGGAAAAATAAAAATCGAATTAATAATAGAATCATCCATCAACTTATAAGTAATCATGCAAAACGAACATAATGGAAGTAGTTTCTTTTTTCTTCTCTTCTTCGAGTTGAAGTGTAATTGAAAATCATTAAGAAATCAAGGAAGAATTAGAAAAAAGTGCAACATAATCGTGTTTAATTTCATGTTATCAATTTTCCCATTATCGATAAAGACACACATCAAAAAGGTAGAGAAGTTCAGAAGGGCGAACTAAAGCATAAGAAGATTCTGACTAGTCATTTGCTATTGTTGCGAGAGTATTCGTTTTTTGCTTTCTTTCTCCTTTGTTGGCTTTCAGGAGGATACGACAGAAAGCTAACTTTTTTCTTGGATGAAGATTACACATCGAATTTTTCTAGCGGTGCGGTGGAAAGCACTAGCACTAGATTTCAGCAGGCATTACAATCGAATTTTGACAAGCGATTTTTTTCTGCCCTCATCCAATTTTTATGCTTGTTATAGGGCGCTTTGGGAGAAATTGTAAACAAGATAATGATATCTTTAATGGAAATTTATTATCCTTCGTACATTGGCTTAACATTAGCAAGATGATAATGCGTCTCGAATAAGAAAAAGATCTTCGAATTACATTATACCAGAAAGTGGAAAACGGGGGATCCATTAAATCTCTTCGTATCATTTTATTGTTGTGTTGGGAAGGCACATTGAGACATTATTACGAAATAGTTAATCGTACATGTACATAAGAATGTTATCACCAACCATTAAGTGTGCTCAATCTTTGCGCGTTCTTGAAGGAAGTTTTTCATATATCAACTATGCCGAAATGTTATAAAACATAAATCTATGTACATCCATATTTGTTAATGTAAAAATTGGGAAAAGAATTTACAGCAAAATGTACTTTTCTCTTTCATAAAAAATGGATAAAAAAGTTCCCTGTTTTCAATAAAAGTTACAATAGTTGCTCTATTTCAGGCAAGCACGGTGAGTGCTAAATAAAAAATTAATGGGAATTAAAATTTAACATCGTAATAATTCATTCATTGGACGACTGTCACAAACGATTTAATTAAACACTAGAGAAACATCATATTGCTTGTTATGATTATTTTGCTTTCTCATCCTTCTGGTTTTCGATAACCTGATATTGTAACCTCGACTCGCTAATCAAATATCAATTTATATTTCTCATCGATTTTCTTTGAAAGCTTGCTAACGTAAACAATATTGGTCTATCTCTTTTATTTGTTCATTGTATTTTCAAGGTAATCACAGCGCTTTTTATTCGACTATCTCACGTTTTAGTTTCACCGAAAAAATCAATAATGTTGAGAAAAGCTAAATTAAATTTTTGAAGATCTAGAAAATTTATTAAAAGCATGATTAAAGCAAAAATATAATCACAATGATAAATCGTGGATACTTACTTACTTAATGAAATTTATAAGAAAACTAAGCTTCCTGTAGTCATAAATATTATTTTTCCACAACCATTTTTCATAAAGTAGACAGCCCAAAAAACGGAATCAAATTAATTAAATTATATTTTCATTTAATTATCTCAATTGACATAACATAGCAAAAACACTTTGTCGAGAAACTAAACTTTCGAAAATATCATTTAAGAAATGCGGAGAAGAATCAAGCAAAAACCAAACCCGCAACACATTCTCTTCATTATTTCTCATATTTTCCTTACCTCACATAGCATAAAAAGAGAAATGAAAGCTAAACGAAGACGAAAACGACACACAAGAAAAACAATTAAAACGTATTTCGATGGAGGAACGATGAAAAAATTACCAGCAAAGGTAAAACACACAAATAATTAAGCCATTAACCGAAATGATTTATTTGAGTTTGTTTCCTTTCCTCGTACAATATTTTCACTGTTGATAACAAAGGTGAATGCGTGGGAGGGTTGATAGTAGTGAATGATGTGTAAAGGATATATTTTCAACAGAAATAAAACAATCATAAATCTGGCGAATAAAGTAATCTCTTAATGGTGCTTTTAATGCTGAAGTATGCCAGTACACAAGAAACAAACAGATATGAGTGATGAGATTAATGAAAGCTATTTGCCAAAGGCCAAAAAAGTTATTGATTTTCCCTTTTTGTTATCCCTTATCGTCTTCTGAATTGAACGAGCAAAAGTTGTTCTGCAACTCTCCACTCTTTTTCGGCTGTTTTCTTCTCGACATCAAGCACATAAGTGTTCTCATCTTGTCCCGGACAAAATCCGAAAATCTTATCATCATGTGCTTGAATTGAACATAGCTATGCCATGCTGCTTAAATATCGATTATTTCCCTTGCATGATTCTCGTGGGCAACAAAAAAAAGTGAATTGAGAACACAGAAAAGCTCTTTTGCCTTTTCAATTCCATATGCGTCATCGTTGTTCTGTAAGCTTAAAGCGACATGATTATGTATATTTAATATGAAACACGAAAGAGAAACTTTAATATAACTTAGACTTGCCCTATATATAATTTTTTTGTCGATTACACAACACCCTCCCGAAAAATTTCTAGCATGTGCCAGTGTTAGCAATTTGGTGTGAGAAACGGAAAATCGATAGAATTTAGAACGTTCGCCAAAGCTTTTTTTATGGATTCATATCCTGTATTAACTGACTGCCTTTATAGACGGTTAAATTTATGACGGACATTTCTTTTCGCTGATGCTTAACGTCCAAATAAACAAACAAAGAAGCAAACAATGAATTTTTTTTACTGTTAATAGAACATAAATGTGAACGACTGTTTATATTCAAATGTTTTCCTGCTGCAAAATACCTTCACCTTAATACACTTCCAGCTATACTTTCTTCCCCATTTTTTAAGGAGGGCCACAATTCGTTCTTCAAATAATATAAATATAAAAACAAAAATATTGCACCGATAAAAGAAAAGAGGAAGAAAAAATTCTAAACTTCGACTAAAACGTCAATTATTGTTTCAAGCCACCGGCTGCCGGCATATTCCATCAAACCAGCAAAAGCAATAAAATTATTAATTTTATTGCTTCGAGTCTACAAATAATTGTATACGCGATAGAAACAATCCGACCGAAGAGTTAAACATGAATTATGAAAATTTTGCCTCAAGAATGAAAAGCAGATATCTAGTAAAACAACAACATGAAGATGGGTAAACGAGCAGTAATTTTTTCGAATGATGTTTAAGAAAAAAGATTGAGCTTTTCTCTTTCGTAAGGAAAACAAATTACCAGATATTTTTTAACAAGATACCTATTGAAAAAAATGAAAGAGAATTTGTGTTGCGCTATGAAAATTATGAAGCTATAAATTATTTTTCGTTTATACTACTTAATTACAGTGTAAGCTTCATAGAACCAAACACCAACGTCACCTTCGGTATTCCTTAAGAATTTATCACGATCTTTCACTGTAAAAATCGTTCATGGTGTCCACTGAAGTTAATTTCTTAAATTAGGATGTTAAATGAGAAAAAATCTAATTAGCAGTCACTTTATTCATCGAACAAAAGACACCAAAGAGAGATTAAGTTGAAGACGGTCGAAGTTCGAAGCAAAAGTCTTAATCGACGAAATTCCGTGCGTATCGAAAGAAACATGAGAAATGTTAAGAGAGAACATTCTAATACAGGTGGTGAGTCACGATCCTCCTTTCTTATATATTTTCGCTTCATGCAACTGTTTTTTACCTCGTTTAATTAACACATCGACATTCTCGATTGGATGATATGAACTTCCTCACGAATTCCAGTTCTATAAATTTCAATTCTTTAATTTGCTTTTATTAAACGAGTCTTCTTATTGTCACACTCTTTTACCTGAGAATTTTAAAGATACCAACACGCTAAGACGCTACCAAAGACATGCTTCATTTCGCTCAACATTCTCTTTTTCTTCTCATTTCTTTTGTGTCTTCATTTCCAACTCGAGCCATTGTTTCATTTGCTTGCTGCTTAAAATTTCGACATTTTAATTCAAAAATAACAAAATATTTTTTATTTTTTTTCGTTGAACATAAAACTAGTTTTGAGAGATAATTGAATAGGACTTTCATTCAGCGTTCGTTTCAAGAAGCAAGGAATGAAAATAAATTAACGAAATTTTAATTTCCTAATATTCTCCTCCAATTATCGGTCTATGTTTTGTCTTGGCTTATTTTCGAAGTTTGAACGTGTTTCTTTTCCTGTTACGTTGTTTGAATCATAGAAAATTTTAATTGGCTGCAATTCATGGGGCAACACATTAAATTTCAAGGTTCAACATTTATGTCTCTCTTCCCTTTCTTGAGATTTTCAACTTTAAAAGGTTTGAAGCCATTACACATTATTTATGAACTCGACCGAGTATCAATAAAGCCGGGAAAAATACTTCTGTGTTATAAATATAATTGTAAGCAGTAGACAGCAAAGAAGACACGAAATGCTGAGATAAATAAGTTTGAGTTTGAGCTTCTAAACAATACCTCCGTTAATTTATTTTATGTGAAAACAAAATAGATTGAAATGTGTTGGAAAATGAAAACTAGTTTATTTATGTTTCTTTTCCATGTCGAGCTATTCTAGTCTACTTTTTATCATACATGACACTAATAAAATTTAAGAAAAAAGTGAATGTGACAATAAAAAATCCATTAGAGAATTTAAATTTAGAGGACAGGTTTAGATAATTCTCAACACCAAAGAATTATTCAAAGTTTCTGAACTTCCATCCTTCTGAAGACAAATACTCATTTTCATTTTGTTGACAGAAGAATATTTTATGTGAACGTGTTTGAAAGCCAAGACTTTTAATCTGCATGAAATACGATTCTATGTTTAAATACATAAATGGTGCTGCGTTGCTTGTCTATTGGTCAGCAGACAGGTTTGAAGCAATAAAAGCAACATTTCTGCAATTGTTGAAAAATTCTTTTATCCGGACAATTCCAAGTGAATTTCTGAAATAGTTCGAGTGAGAATTCAAGCCATTTATAAAGAACAAACATTAAACAAGTCCAAATATTACTCATAAATTATTATTGATTAATAAATGTCTGTTCAATTCTGCAAGGTTAAATGCAATATGTTACTAGCAGTAGATGAAGTTTTCGACAATGTTTCGGCCCTTTTTGATTGATATGAAATTAAAAGTCAATCTTGATATAAAATCTAAATGTCTATCTTACACTTTGACGAGGGAAAACCACTCACTGCAGCCTACCTAAACAATAAACAAACTGAAATATTAAAGCTCTGAAAAAGAGAAACAACATCAAAAATGACTGTAATTAAGTTTTCAAGGGCGAATTGGATCGATTCAAATATAAAAACAGGGTTTGATGTTTCATTCAGCATTTCTATTTTAATTACAGTTTTTATTTTCTGCCAAAAACTTTAATTTGCATTTACATAATAACTTTGTATAAATAAATACATACATACATGTTCATGTATAAAATATATACATAACGCCTGCTCATAATATATACAAACTACATTTATTTATGCATTTTTCATCATTTTAATATTTCATGAATTTCCGTCCACTGATAGAGATATATAAATAGAGATATCGCTTTTATGTATGATAGCAGGTTCATTCGAGTATGTTGTATAAATGCTTATTCAAATAAAATAACATTTTTCATTCAATTTTATGTATCCTTCACAATTGAAAATAGCGCAATTCTTTTTCATTCTAATTCATTTTCTTTTACACTTTTTTTCTCTCAGATACATAGATTATCAAGACTGAATACAAGCGACGACTGTTTTGCAAGAGTGTATCTACATAATTTCATTTATTTTTCTTTCTCTTGAACCAATTCTGTTATATGTCTTTATATGTTACTATTTGTATGTTTTTTTTTTAATTTGTAACATTTCATCTAGTTAGGTATATACTTACAAACAAAAACTTTTCTTTCCATCTGTTGTTACTTTTTATTTTCAATTTATAGTCATTATTGTTTTGATTTGAAATTAGATTACAGGAGGTTAAAAGTAGGTTTTTAAAATGAAAAGATAGTAGTTGCTAGCAAAATATAATTTCATCTGGCGTAGTTGTAAAGTAAAAAAAAGAGAAATAAAATTTAGTTCAATTTGTGCTTTGGTTCGTTCATTCCATCAGAAGAAATTAAACTTTCAAAATAATGGTTTAAGCAATTCGCAACAATAGAGTATTTATCATTTTTAAGTAGTTTATGTTTCACAGAGATTTAATGTCTTACAAAAATCATTCAAACTTATTTCTATTATCACTTAAGAAATTGCCAGTCAATAAAGTTCTTTTTATTCTTAGCTTATATTCCATTCGGTTAAGACATTTGATAACCTTCTGTTCATACGTACTTAGAGCTTGCATTTGAGTACCTTACACGAGATAAGCTTGGACATGTTGCCCATTAGGAATGTTGCCATTATTGTGCCATGCTGCATTTGGCCGGTTTAAACCCGTACTTGAGTCAATGCTTGATTGGTTCAGATGTTGAACTGTTTGCATTTGAGGTTGCAACAATTGATTTTCGCAATCAAGTGTGCTGTAATCAGAATCAATGCTCGAGTAAATATGTTCCGACAAAGGTCTTTGATGATTAGACTGGTTTGGCTGTGACTGTGATACTGACGGGTGGTGAATATCTGAAGATAAAATATTATGTCGTGACGGATGTGGACTAGGAGTTGCTGTTGTAGCTGATGAATAATTTGTTTCATCTAATTCGGGACAATATGCTGGTGGTGCTTGTCGATGGTGATGATTGTGATACATCATGCCACCGTTTAATGTTCCACTATTTGTTTGATGTTTCATTTGCTGATGTTGTTGCGGCACCATGTGCTGTGGATAATTCGGCAATGTCATGTGATGTTGTTGATGTTCTAATGTGTAATTATTAGTGCCACGGTAAACTACCTCCATCGGTAGAGCATATCTTAGCTTGTCAACAAAATTTCGATCATTACGCTTTATTCTACTGACTCCAGAAGCTTTGAGATACGGTAAAAGTTCAATGTCGTTCTCAGCATCAGAGCCGACATCAGCATCTTCAATAATGACAAGTTTGTATGGTCTTCCGCGCAGCGATTCATGCACAGCACGTCGTAAGTCAAAGCGAACCCACTCTGTTTGTAGAAAGTTTCGTGTCAGCAAAATGACAATCTTACGTGATGCGCAAGCAGTCTCGAGAAGTTGAATATAATTGGCATCTTCGTTCAAATCACGATATTGCAAACACATTCGTAGATTTGGTGGGCGGCCAGATTCAAATTCATTTGCTATATGCTTAATAACATACTCAATGTCTTTTGCTGAATGGAAAATTACTGCATCATAGAGCTTCTCAGTGTCTTCACATGGTGGTCCAAAAAAGCCGTAATGAGAACAAAACCATAATTTCAGTTGAGCACGAAAAACAAATAAGACGACAAATAGAATCAACAAACAGATTGTTACAATTAATGTAAATAAAAGCGGTATGAAATCATGAAACAGAATGAAGTTTGCGATTCCCGTTTTCGAAGAGCTTAAATAAAAATCACTGCAAGCTGATGTCGAATTTAAATCCAATTCACGTTGAATATTTTCATTTTCTTCATCAACACAATAAATGTCTTGTGCATCTTGAATAATGAGCGCATTTTCTGCAACAAATTGTGTCATTTCTTGAATGAATCGACAACGACAACTCCATGGATTACGTCCCATTGAAATTCTTTCCAACTGAATTGCCTCAGAATTGCTATTAATTGAAGGTAATAATTGCCATAACAATGTATTCACCAACCGATTACCGTCAATTCGTAAAAATTGCAACGACTTTAAGTAAGCGAAGGTTTGGTTTCCTATGAATGTCAATTGATTATTATGCAAATTAAGCTCTTTTAACTTCAATAATTGCTCAAATTCGTAGCCGTATAACTTTTGCAACCTATTGTCATGCAAATGAAGAGTTTGGAGAGTTGAAAGACCGAAAAATGTTCGATTTCTTATGATCTCAACTTTACTGCTGTTCAAGAAAAGATGACGAAGTTTGCTGTGCTGTCTAAATGGAGCGACATCTAACTCAGGATAATTGTTTCCATCCAAATATAGTTCTGTAGTATCAGCTGGTATGAAACGAGGTAAATTTTGTGATGCTTGATGTCCACAATCCACCATGTTTGTGGCCCATGTTTGATCATGATAACATGAACAATTTTTAGGACATGTCATATCACATTCACATCCATTTTGATCACAACAATGGCACAAAGCAAAACAATGAGCTTCATAAGGACACACAAAATCTATGATGTCAACGTGCTCAATAGGTCTGATGGATGCGCCACGCCTGTGGGGCATAATACATTCAATGTTCTGCAAATCCATGATTTTTGGGTGTTGTCTTGATGTGAAATTGTTGATGCGATGTAGCCATTCCATAGAACAGTCACATTCAAAGGGATTACCGCCCAAATAAAACTCCGGAAGTGGTTGAAGGTCCAACTTTTCTTTTTCACCTGTTCTTGTCTTTGCGGCAATGCTTGGAGCAATTCGAAGTTGATGCATTTGCAATTTTTGGAGGGAATTAGCATACAAATCAACTCGAGTTAAATTGACTTTGTCAACAAAAGTATTTGGATGAATCTTTTGTATGTGATTATTATTGATGAATAAAAGTTCGATACTGTTTGGCACATTAAGTGGTCCAATCTCGATAAGCCGGTTGTGACTTGCATCGAGTGTTTTAATTCGAATTCCCTCTTGCAATTTATAATAGTTTTGTAGAGATTCAATGTAACATCCATGAATGTCTAACCATTTTAAGTTACTAGGCACAAAAGCATAATCAAACCAACTCAAATGATTTTCTGCTAAGTTGAGCCATAAAAGTGATGATAATCCGGAAAAAATTCCATTTATATCTGACACAAAATTCCCATCCAAGCGTATCGCTTCAATTTCTTTATTTGCGTCAAACGAACCTTGTTCGATTGATTGAATTCGATTTTTTGCAATATTTAGTACGCTTAATCGAGGTAAATCTTCAAACATACCTTTTGTAATGTTCTCAATTTGATTATCAATTAATCGAAGACCATTTAATTGAATAAGATTTTTAAATGCACCAGCTTTAAATTGCGTTATTTGATTTTCACCTAAATCAAGTGTTCGCAGAACTGACAAGACTTGTAATGCTTCTGGAACTTCTTGCAATTGATTTGAACTCAAATCCAATTCTTTAAGATCGGAACAGTTTTTAAACACGTTCACTTCTACAATGCTTATCAAATTATTGTTAAGTGTTAGCTTTGACAGCACCTGAAGTCCATTAAAAAGTTTATCGTTTAAAGTATGTAAACGATTCTCAGCCAAATTTAATTCATGCAAATTATAAAGCGGAGCGAACGTGTTGTCATCAATATATCCAATTGAGTTATTTCTTAAATTCAGTTCTTGAAGGAAATAAAGTTCCTTGAAGGTTGTGGAATCGATTCGTGTCAAAGAGTTGTGGGATAAATTCAAAATCACTAATCGTATCAAGCCAGCAAATGTTTCATTATTTATATGATGACTTGTAAGCAAATTTTTCGATAAATCAAGCACTAATAACTGAGTTAGTTTATGAAAAACTCCTTTAGGTAGTTCATACAGTTCATTACTCTGCAAATGGATTTCTCTGAGCTCCTTGGAGCTTGAAAACAATCCATTTGGAATCTGATCAATGTGATTGTAACTGAGATTAAACGTTCGTAATGCATTTAAACCGGTTAGAGTTTCACTGCTTAATTCACTTATGTTGTTATGCTGCAAATTCAAATGTTGCAGCCTTCGAAGCTTTGACACTGCCCAGTTCTCGGGTATAATTCTTAATTCATTCCAACTTAAGTCTAATGCACTTATTTCTTTTAGAGCGTTGCATTCATCACCCGAAAAGCCTAAATTTTCCGTTGTCCGGAGACGGTTTCGGGTAAGGTTAAGCACTTGTAAATTATTCAATGGACAATAAAAGCCATCCGGTATCACTCGAATGTTTGAGTCTGTTAATTCCAATATTGTTAATTGTTTCAGTCCACTCATGGCGTTTTGCTGCATTTCAAGTGATTTCACTGAACTCCATTGCGAGTTCTTTGTGTTAACAGTTAATTTTTTAAGTTCACCAAGTCCATCGAAAGTATGTTGAGTTATCTTTAGAATTTTACAAGAATCCAATGTCAGTTCACTTAAACTCGATATGTCTCGAAAGAATTTATTTGGTATTTGACTTTCGAACATAACCGACTCATCGCATATGATATCTAACTTTTGAGTGCCTTGAGCATCTTGAAGCAACTCGACACTATGTGCTGCTTCCAACGTTCGAATGTTACATGTTGTATGCTTAACGCTCTTATTGTAAGTCCATTTGCACTCATTAAATGAATCTGTTACATCATTGGCCGAGACTTCACAAATAAAGTTTAAATTAATTCCTAGAAGCAGATTGACCGCGATCAGAAAAATCTTGGACGAAAATGATTGACTGCTTTGGCGTTTCATGATTTAATATGACGTTATAAAATCATTTCTCTGTTATTTCTACACTGCACTTTTCACAATTTCATATTTAAGTTTTTTCATTTTATTTCTGTTTTGTTTTTTCTTCTACAGATTATTTCTGTGGTAGATTATATTTTATTTCTTCTTTCTCTTCTCGTTTCCACTCATTTTCCATGATTCCAAGTGCTTATCCTTGAGTTAATGTTTTTCTAGCTGGTTTAATATTTATTTTTCTTCCTTATTCATAAATTTCCCTTTTGAATATCTTATGTTGCAATCGAAATCATGTTTTAATATTTTTTAACTTCCACTTCTTCAATCATAATATCAAAGACTTCTACTATACGCGTACCTAGTTTCATCTAATAAATTATTTAAGCAGATTAAAGATGATTTCAGAGAATACTTTAAGATTTTGGTGTAAAATAATTGTGTAACGATTTCTATGCGACCGCGAAGGCTGAGAGAACGTTGCAAACTGAAGAAATATTCGGAGAAACAGAGAATTTTTTCTCCTTTTCCGAAGTGGGGGTAAATGTGCTCTCAAATATCTCAAATTTCTCTCTCAACATAAACCAACATATGAGAGAAAATGCATTAAATATCAAGAGAAGATGTATGTTAAACAAATTTTCCTCAGATGAATGCAAAGCAAAAAAGGCAATATGTGGGCGAGAAAAAATAAGAAATTTATTAATTTTTTAACATAGATATAAACGATTTTTATTTTTTCGATTTATTTAGAAAAAGTTGTTTTCGTAACATTATTAAATAAAGTTAAAAATGATGGACTTAATCAACAAAGAGAAAATAAGTAACAGAAATCTTAAAAAATATTATTTCTTAATGGAATATGAAGAAAATCGTAAAATGAAGTCATTAAAAATGTTTACATCTTGTGCAAATGCATTATCGTCATCGGAAACAGCGCTCACAATGGCGTACAATTTCTTCATTCTTTTAAATATTTCACGCTGATTTCTTTTCAATTTGCATTAATACACACATTCGTATAATAAGATTTCATTCTACTATGCAAACATTCAATTATAAAACTTAAATTTATGATAGATAAAATTAATTTTAATTGATGGGAAATAATTGTTAATTGTTTTCATATGAGTTATGAATGCAACGATGAAAAGATTTCTCATTATCAAATTTTTGAAGTGAAAATTTTACTAGGTAATGATAATTAAAGTGAGAAGATTTTTGGATTTATTTTTCAACCCTTTTGCAATTGTTTTAGATTTTATTCGCTTGAATTGATTTTTAGCATATTTCACCCATTAAATTAATGTCTAGTTCACCTGTATTCTACTTAATTCCTTTGTTAATAAGGGACAGTCCCTTACTGTTCTATGAAACGGGATGTGAAAAACGATGTAGCTTTAAAGGGGGGTTGGACGGGCATATTATTATAGCTATATATGTTTACTGATATATTTTTTTGCTCCATCAAATCTCGCCCCTTTTTTCCCAACTTAATTGAAAATCGCTACTATGGAAAATGAAAATCTCGTCCCTTTTAAATAAAGAAGAAGTTTTAGTAACGCTCGTTTTGCATTCGGTAAAGTGATCGCTTATTATGTGTTGAGCTTAGTTTGATGTAATAAATGTTATAGATGAAAATTTAATTAAAAACAAACAAGTAATCCCCTATCAAATTAATAATAATCTCTTTACTCTGAGCTTCAATTTCAAGTGGCAGTGAGAAGGTTCCGCGTGCCGTTGAGAAAACGATTGGTAAAAAATCATGTTCTATTTATTTACTCTTTTTCATTTAATTCAATTTTCGTCGACAGTGGAGTAAACATTGAGACTACATGAAGAATGAAAATATGTTTGAACAAATCAGTCGTGCATATCGCACAGGGTAAACTTATAAGTAGAATTTTGTTTACCGTTTCTTTATATCAGATAGATTTGTATTTATTTCTCATATCTGATTTTCAACTATGATTGTTTCGCAATATTAAATATGCATTAATTAAATATTATAGTTGGATAATAAACAACAAAGTAGCACAATTCAAATGACTACAAAAATAAAAATCACGCAAAATCTTCCGCTACTTTCCAAAACCGGTATTATAAAAATTCTTCAGAGTTGCCTGAGGGAAAATTGCATATCCGAGATAAGAACGTAACGATCCTTCTAACATTTTTCAGTATCATGGGATGAATTAGAAAAAAAATCTTACAAAACAAAATTCTTTAATTATTCCCAAGGTGTGATCTAACAGGGAAAACTTCTTCTAAGGAGCATATTTTAATCTCAGTATTATTGTGTATAATTTTCCAATCAAATTGTTGAAAACCTTGTTCATGTTCTTAGCATAATAAGGACATATCAGAAATGTTTGAAGACATTTGAAGACAAAACCTAGGATTAGGTTTTTATTTATTGAAAGTTACGTTATTACATGTTGCATTTGATATTCACATTTCTTCGCAAGTTCAATTTTCTTTTACGTTTATGTCTCTGCTTTATTTCTCCACATTATAAATTTTAAATCTGCTCAAGGTAATAATATTGGCATTGAGAAATGCTTGTTCTTTGACATGAATTTATAAGTATCTATTTAATAATCGAGTTAATAATTTTATTTAACAAGAAATATTAAAGCAGGCGGAATAAAATTTTATTTCCAAAAAAAAGTATCTGGATGTATATAAATAAACGATTCTAGTGTGATGCATCAAAGAGCTTTTAATGAAGGATTTTTGTCTTCACGTTTCTCTTATTATCTTTTCATAATAAATTAAAAGTATAAATAATTTCATACAGCGTTTCGAAGACTAGCTAAGTAAAGGAAACGTTTATGTCTCATGACTTCAACAACCACATAGCATAGCAGAAAAAATATTATTGCTACTTTATTCTATGCTCTTTTCGTAATTGTGCATTCTTGCATTCAGTCTCTGTCTCTCGCGTATGCTGAGTTAAATTGCCATTTATTTCATGTTTTCAACGAAATGAAATCGAAGGAAACGTTTTTGTGCGCTTTTAACTGAGTATTTTCATAAAGCAAACAAGAAATGTGCACCAACTACATAAGAAACTATTTAATATTGAAATAAATGTTATGAAGAGAGAAAAAAATCAACTTGAATAAGTTTAAAATAAAAATGAAATCAATATAAACGATAAATAATGGAAGAAATAAGTTGAAGACTTAAGGAGGGAAGAAAGAAAGAAATATGATTTTGATTCTGGTTCATTCGCCGCGCCGCATGTCAGCAATGTACGATCAAATTGTACAATTACGAAACTTGAAGAAGAATTCTGCTACGAATAAGTGTTCAATTATTTAGTTTTAATCATCATTCCGATTTTTATTAACGATCATGATTATTATTTTTTTATCCATTCTTTTAAAATCTCTGTTATTACAAACATCGTTGTCTTGAGAAATTGCAAAGAGTAATTAATGTAATTTCATGTCGCAAAGCTTTAATTTACTGACATTTGGTCACTTTTACATTAACATTATCACTCTTGAAGTTTTAAGTACTTAATCAATACGATTCTTATTTTTACTGCATTTTCTACATTTTTCATCTTCCTTTTGAGACATTCAACTCAAAAATCTTGTTTTATCACCAACTTCTCATCTTGACGCATTCCTTTATGTCGTTCTAGGTTTGCTTGGTATTGAACTTACTTTTACAAAAATTTATGGTTGTCGCTGATACTTTAAGAACAAGTTTTGCTTTTTATATATTTATTTCTCCTGGAAATACTGCATACGAGTTCTTTTGATTTCTTTCTTCATCGTGTTTAATTTAAATAAAGTGAGAATTTAGTTTCTACTCGCTGCTATCCGATTAGACATAAAGTAATTAAATTAATTAAATATTCAGCGACAGTCTGAGCATGTTATTTGGACTTTTAAAGAAGAATTCATGTTAATGTGCTATATTGTCACTTTCAAGTGGAACGTTTTTTGTTCTTTTCATTGAACTTTTCTTATTCTCGACCAAATGTTTCATTATGTTTGGTATCAAAAGACTTGAAATGTTTAAATTGAATTAAATTGTTCTCATTGAAGAATTAACTGTTATAAATATTATCATTTTGGTTGAAATAAATGTTTAAAAAGTAAAGGTTAAGTGAGTAAGATGTCAAGCAACACTCCTTGCTTAGACATCTTACACACCTTATCAAGTTTGATCTCACAAATGTTAAATTAAAAATTAATAATATGACGCTGATGAAACTCTTTTGAAACTCTAATTTGAATATTTTTGCTATTTTTTAAATATTCATACGAATGCAGCAAACAAATAACAAAATGATAGTTTTGATAATTTATTACTTTCAAGGATCATCAAATTGATAAGATGATGTGCAAAATGAGGTTTAATTGAAATTAACTTTTGTTTTATTTATGAAACTTAAACAAATAATTATGAATGGATGAGGAATGGAATATTTCAAGAGAAGAGAAATGACACAAAAAAGCAAAAGAAACTAATTTGAATATTTTCACGATTCATAAAATTTTGGATGAAGACATAAAATTTATATTAGACATCACATATTGATTTGGAAGAGTTAATGGCAATTTGAAATTAAAAAGTTAGATTCTAGTGAAACATTTGATGAATGAGTGAATGAAAAAATTCGACCACTATTCAGTCAGTGATGATTTGATGACTTTTATGCTGTTTGTTCCACTTTCAAAAGTTAATAAAAGTTTTCTATCTCTTCACAGACATTTATGTCAAAAATGAATTTCTTTTATTTATTTTTGATAATATTTTAATTATCTTCTCAGTGATGTTTAATTTTCTTCCTTCCTTCTATACGAATTTTAATGTTTGAAATATTTTTTATTATTAACCATAATGTTAATATTCAAATATCTATCTCTAGACTTTTCATAAACTTCATATCAACGAAGTTCTTTTTTACTATTTTGGTCTCTTACCCATTAATTCGAAGCACCCATGAACACAATAATAATAAAATACATAATAAAAGTGAATTGAAATAAGCGTAACAAACAATAAAATAAAACAAAAGTCGATAAATTTTAAAAGTATCACAAAAATAATTGATTACTATAAAACATAATTATTATTGTGTTAATTTTCAAGAACACTTAAAGTGATTGAAAGAATTGTAAAATGATGTCCGACCCAATTTGCCATTAAGAAAAATTATAAACTCTTTCATAACTCACCTTCTACCTCAAACTTTAAACCCAAAAAGGAACAACAGGAAAGCAGAAAAAATGATATTTTCATTATCTTCACTCTTATCTATAGCAAATAATATTTTATTTTTATGACCATGTATAGTTGCTGATTTGTTTTTGTTGCATTGTTCGTTTATCGTTTACCTTACAGTGATTTCGAAAGTTAATGGTAAAAATAGATAGAAGTTTACCTACCAATGAAGTAATGGCTCTCAAGCATGGAAACGAATAGAATTGTGATAACAAAGCAGCAATAAAATAACCATTTCAGTGTAGATATCTTCCGATTTCTCTTTTTTATTTTAATGCTGAAAATTCTTATAGCTTTGATGAGACTTTTTTAGTTTTGTGACTTGAAGAATTTTAAGCTTCAAAACACTTGAAACTTTAATTTATTTACATGTCTACGTATACCAATTAAAGTTGCTTTAAACATTGACAAAATTGATTATCAACCGCATGCTATTTTCTTTTTTGATCTTTGAGACTTAAAAATCAAGCAGATGGCTCGCTTTTTCATTCAATTGAATGTTCCTGTGTCACTGTCTAAATAGCCCTAAAAATATTGATATTTATTGTAATGAATGAGTTTCTTCATGTCGTTCAAAAAGAAAAGAAAAAATTCCGCCATAAGGTTCAGGAGATTTCAACTGTGGTGTGTTTGTACAACAAAAATTTACTTGTTCAAAAGTAATAATTTTCAGATAAATTTCCTCTAAATCATTTGCAATTTTCGCCAATGACAGTGCTAAAAATAATTTCGATTACCATCAGAGATATACTTTGACAAATTACAGAAATGGTACATGTACTGTCCAAGAGACAAAAGAACATTTGCGTTAATTTCATGTGCGCTTCCCTCAAACTGGGCATGTGTCTATGTTTGAAGAAAGAGAATAGAAATGAATACTAAGCACAATAGGATACGCTTTGTAATGTCCTTCTCCTTTCCGCAATATATTAATTGAATCAAATTAAACAAAATCCATTGTTTGCGTTTTGCTAATCTTTCGTCTCTCCCCTCATTTGATATTCGCCCTTCTCAAACATTATTTTTCGTCTCTTGAACACATGTAGCTTCATCCTAGAAAATATTTTTTCCTCAAATTTCTCTTCCCTTTCGTTTCACGTCATTTGCAACAAAACGTCAAATATATTTCTCTACATAAGTTAAAATTTATAAGTATTATTGTAGGGGAATATTCACCTCCTTTCTGGAAATTTAACTTGTTATAATTGACCATTAGCCACCAGGCGCTGTATGGGCACTTAAAGATGCTGGATCAACATTGGAATTTTTAATGAAACCAAAATGTTTAAAATGCGAGTTTAGTCACCTTAAATGTTAACAAAAATTTTGAATAAATCGGAAGAAAATATTTTGATTTTACTACTGCATCATTAGGATGTATTGAGATGATAATAAAAGCTAATCATGAAATTTTCTTTCAGATTCTGCATTCATTAAGGGGAAAGCAAAGAAATAAAAAACTAATGAAAATTACTGTTGATTTTTCGATACATTAAACAATTGGCTAAAGAAAATTTGGGAGGTTTTTATGTTAAAATCTTTTAGTGTTAATTCAACCGGTCAGTCATAAAATGTTTGAAAGTTTTACTGAACAATTACCTACCAGTTGAGTTGTTCTAAGTTTCGATCTCTTTGGAGAAATTTTGTCAATGTTTTCATTTTCCTTTTTCTAAACATTATCAAATTCTTTTTTTCAATTTTAGTTCATATTTCATGATAAAAAACTTAGAGCTTGATACTCCATTATATTTTAAAGGATCGCGCAATTTGCAACGCAGCTATAAATTATTTTATCACATGAGAGGATACAACAGAACTGAGTAGGTAAGTCAAAAGAAATTTTTAAATTTTTTATATTTTAAAAGTGCAAATGAATAAGAGAGTGTTTGTCTTTGTGAATAAATACAGCAGAGACAGAGAGATAAAAGACGAAATGAGCATCAACAGCAATTTAAAAAAGCAAGTGTTGGTACCACTAGAGGGGAGAACAACAGGATGTGGAAGCACATAATTTTGAATATTAAGATTTATTGCTTTGTTGTGTGAACTCCAGTTTTGTGCAAACTAACGACATGCGCTTGCTTCACAAATTATTATTTGTTGGAACTTTTTTTCTTTGCCAAAAAATGTTCGCTATAATTTTGTTCAACATACATAAATTAAAGACGAAAGAAGATAATTTGCGTAAGTTATGGTTTGTTGTTACTTAATTAATGTATCATTAATTTTGACCTTATTAAACATTTTCGCAATGAAAGATTATTTCAAATGAGATTCACATTACTGTAGAACTAGGAAGAAAACTTAAAAATTTAAACAAAATTGAAAATTCTCTCGAATTCTTCAATTCTTGGTTAGTAAAACTCACTTAATTAATAATAATTATTCAGACTACCCATGTTTAATTTCATGCAATTTGAGTAGTTTGAATAGATGCAAATCTAATAACATTATCAAATTTTCTGCATTAACAAAACATCAGTAAGCCTTTTCATTATTCACATTGAACGAGCAATATAAATTTTTAATTAAAACAAAATGACTTTTTATCAAACCTCCTTTTCAGAGGATACGGTTTTAATTTGAAACTATTAATTTACGTATCTGAATATATTGATAGTTTTATTTTACTTTTATTCAGCAATTATGTTTCCTGTGGTTAATGTGAGGCATTCATGGAAATATGTATGGTGCAAATAACTCGAATACGCTTGGAAAATACTGGCAAAAAGGTAGAAATGATCGTCTGAAACTTCACTACAGTGATGCTTCAAATTACAAAATAAGCTAAATAGACACTTATTTAAAATTTCATCCACGTCAAATTCATGTTCATTTTAATTGAGTTATAAGGTGAAATTATATATTTGAGAATCTCTCATAATATTTTAATATTTTTTCTTATTTGAGATTTGATTAAGAAAGTTTTGTGATAAAAAAGTGAAACCATAATTAAAAATGTTCAAGTTGCGTAAAAAACATAAAAGCATGTAAAATAAATGTGTGACTGGAACTAAAAAAATATTATAATAAAGGGTTAACGTACAACGTGAGATGTAATGTAATTAACTTAAATTAAACTTTGTACTTATGTTGAAAGCAATTAAAATTTTAATGAATTTCATGAAACACTCAAACACTCTCGTTTGGATTTCACTTTGAATATCCTTAAATTTCACCCCCACAACTCATAAAAAATAATTCGTCATAAAAATGTGTTCGCTACAATGAAAGCCGAGCATCGTAAAAAATTCAACATGATCCTTTCTAATTAATTATGATACCGTGTTTAAATGTTTCATTGATGTGAATCTTTTCCTCTAAATACATATTAAAGCCCAAACTATTCAAGAAGATAAGCATCAAAAATCTTAATAAAATATTTTATGACGCCATTTCTTTACTTACTTAAGAATCTCTAGACTTATGTTTCATGATTCACATAAATCTCATTTCTTAACATTTCAACATATTCAGTTGCGAAAATATGAAACTATGATGAAAGCATTATTTTTCTTCAGACTTCAGAAAACAAGACACATTCCCAAGAGTAACTGGAAATAAGAAACAAACTTCTTTTCAATCAAAATAAGAAATTGCCAATTGAAATAAAAGTTTTATAAGTTCGTCACTTTTCTGACATTAACTTATCATTTTAGAATTAAGTCGAGGTTTTTGTTTCTTATATTTCCGTTTTTTAAAATAAGGACGTAACTTAAAACAGAACTAGAAAATATTTCTTAGTCCTAAGTGAATTTGTGACCTGTTCAGTTGGCGACTAATGTCTGCATACTTGCTCAGTTTTAACTTTAAACCATTCTCATGAATTGTGAAGAAATGAAAGTCTGAAAAAAAAAAGTTTGTCGCCAATCATAAAACGACATGTGAATTGGTTTCGAAAGGGATAAAAGAATTAAGGAGGAATGGAAAGACATGTTCTGAGGCATAAAATTTTCGAAGACAAATGAATAAAGACTCCAAGAAACTTGGCTATCCTTTTACTCTTTTTGTTTTATTAATTTTACTCTTATATTCAACTCTTTGCAGAAAGACATGATGAGCATTTTATTGTCCACTTTATTCATCATTTTTCAAATCATCTAAAATTAGAGAATTGTTGAGAAGATTTCAAAAGACTAGAAGAAAATCGACAAGATTATTATTGTCACTGAGTGTAAAAAATTGGACAATAAGATTTTCTAAAGAACAGAATAAAAATTGACTTTGATAAAACGACATTCTTCTTCCAAGATAAGGAAATAGGCACAATAACAGCAGTGAATTTTCTGTTATTTTATTTATTTATTTAAATAATGTTTTAAGTCCCTTATTTCTTTGCCTCCAATTTGCATTGCGAGAGATATTTTCAGCCTTTTCCTTCGCCCCTTGCTGTTTTTTTCTCGTAAATGTATAACAAAGTAATGGAATGATGGAATTTGTAGGATAATAAAATTATTTCCAAATGTATGTTTATTATTTCAGTAAAAGAAAAATGTATTTTTGAGTATTTCTTTCTGTCGTCGTTTTTTATGTGTTTGGTGGTGAAAACGGAAAAACAATGCAAGGTGCTTTTCAAAATCATTTTATTTCCTTTCAGTTTTCTCGAAGTTTTTGTGAAAATAACATAAATAAAAATATTTTGGGATGGGCTCCCTATCCAAAGAATGTTTAGAGGTATTTTCATGGGGTAGTTTAGAATGCAGTTCCAGCATAATGACATCAATCATTCACAAACCCAAAGGCATAAAATAAATGAGAATTAAAACACTCACGCATGCAACAAAAGGAAGGAAACATTTTTTATATTTCTCAAATTTTATATTATTGGGAAGCCTTGTAAAAAATTGTCTTTGGCAATAGAACAGAATCTGTTCTATTGTCAAAGACAATTTTTTTGTCATATCACTATGTATAAAAAGTTCTATGTCAGACGTCGAAATAATAATCTTTGGGAATAATTCAATTTACAATTTGAAATCTACTTTCCCGCTCAATATTTAAAAAAGTTTATTTTTTTTACGAAAGAGGTCGCGTTTGTTTATAAACTTTGCGAAAAACCTAAATATTGGAATCTGTCAAAATTTAGATATTTTCCACTTTACAAGCCACTTTATTTTATTTATTGAACCTGAAATAATACTTAATACTTTAATTCTAGAAACACAATATGGAGAAGGAATATAGGGAGATGTGGTAAGTGAAATGAGAAATCTTCATAGAGTAATGAATTTAAACATAATTTTTCTTTTACAGTATTGAAAAGGCCATTGAAGAAATAAACGCTGGATCTAAAGTAAATCCTACTGCTTTCAAATATTCAATTCCCGAAAGAACGTTAAGACGAAGACTACAAATTTGGCGTGAACGTCAAAAACTGGACAATCACTTAATAATTGAGGACGTTTATTTTGATGGTGGTTGGATGGAAAAACCTACAAAAACTCATGAAAAAAATTCTCTAGAAGCAGCAAATTTGAATGTTATGGTTCTCCTTGATGATATCTTTTCTGACTTCAAAGATTATAGCAGGAAATGTTGCTTGTGTTTCAGGGAAGTTTCAAACCATCAATTTAGAATTACATTCAATGAAAAGCTACAGAACATGGTTGATTCTGTTTTGCAACTTCAATTACTGTCAGATGAAACAGACTCAAGTTTTTTGTGTATGAAATGCAACAAAGACTTAAATTATTTCCATAAATTCAAGTCTGGAATTAAAGAAAAACAGAAACATTTTGAAAAATTCAAAAGTATGAGAAAAGACGAAGTTGGTGTTAGTCAAGGTGTTAGTCATGCAACTTCATTCGATGAACCTCTCATCAAAATTGAAGAAATAAAATCTGAACCGGAATTTGCCTCATCAATAACTGTTTACGAACCTTTAATGGATTTCAATTCTCTTTCTTCAGTAAGTATTTCGGAATGCAAAGATGTTTCTAGTTTCGATAAAGAGCCAATGAAATCAGACTTTGAACCAATGAAAGCTCTTGAACAAGAACAATTTGAAATCCAAACAGAAGACACTGAAGATAATTCCATATACTCAGATGAAAGTTATCAAGTTTTGCAGTCAAATACGGTTGAAAACCGGCAAAAGTCGGCTTCTCAATCATTAACTTGTGAGGCATGTGGAAAGATATTCAAGGAAGGCAGGAAAATGCGTGTTCATTATAAAAGAGTTCATTTGAAGTATCGACCTTATCACTGTGATATTTGCGGTCAAAGTTTTTTTGAAAGGAAATCTATTAACAATCATATGGGTGTGCATATATCGAAAGAATACCGAACAAAAGATCATCAATGTGAATTCTGTAGCAAGGGTTTCTATGATAGAAGATCGGTAATGAGTCATATAATGAAATGTCACGGCGAAACAGGAGAATTTCCTTGTTCAATATGCTCAAAAATATTCCCAACTCATTATAAAAAGCGATATCATGAAAGAACAATTCATGCAAACAAAAGTCATAGAAAACATAAAGAATTTGTATGCGAAAGTTGTGGAAAGGTTTTTCGAAACCGAGGCGCTTTCATAGCTCATATGAATCGCCATCATAACATTTGGCTTGGATCTGAACCCGCTCATGAGAAATTTACTTGCGATGCATGTGGAAAACAATTCTACACTAAATCAGATCTTTATAGTCATCAAAGAGTTCACAAAGAGAAAAATATCCAATGCGACTTTCCTGGATGTCTTAAGAAATTCAAATCAACAAAAGATGTGCGATTTCATAAGAAATTCCACAATCCTGATCGAAAAATCCCATGCACATATCCGGACTGTAACAAAAGTTATTTCTCACGGCAACATCTCAGTTTACATATTTTCATCCATCATCAGAATATTCGCGAGCCATGTCCCGTTGGAAACGGTTGCAAATTCTCAGTTGGAAGAAGAGATTACATGAAGAATCATTTGAAGAAACACAAGGAACTTTCTTCTGAAGAACTTGATAATTACATAAAAATGCTTCCAACTATGAATCTACATGGCTAAATTATCTATTCGATTAATAACAAAAGAATTTAATTGCACTATTGATGTTTATTACTGTCTTATGCATTCAGAAGAAAAGAAATTTTAAACTAATTTTATTTAAAATGTTAAGAGGTCAATAAAAAATATTAAAATTATTGATTTGGAAATAATTTTTATTAGATTTCTGTTTAATGTTTTATTATCTCGACTCGTAAATTAATTAAAATTCTAGGAAACTGTAATTCTTGCTGCTTAAAACTGTTACATTTTCCAAGTTTTTTCTTTTCTAAGAATTGCATTCTTTTTTCAAGAAACTTGAAACAAAATACTTCGAATTCCGATGAACAAGATTAATTTATTAAATATTTATTACTTAATTACTACTTAATTATTTATTTATTACAAAATAAATCCACAGAATATTTCAACATTAAATTCTATTTAAAGATTTTCATTCAACAGTTGCTTTATGAATTTTAATTGAATCAACACGATCCAATTCAGCTTGAACTAGTGAACAAGATTCATACTTGGCAACATTTTGACATAATTTTCTAAATCTTCAGGAGAGAGTTCTGCATGCTTCGTCATCAAGTGGTTTTTCATATAAGCTTTCCTTCCCACTGAATATTTGCAGCCATTACCTACTGGACACAAGTCACAAACTTTATCATGGAACACAGAAATATGTCGTTTTACATGCAGAAATGTCGAATAACTTTTATTACAATTCCGGTATGGACACTGAAGTTGTTGTTCTGGTAAGTGAATCTTTTTGTGCGACTTCATATTTCTCATGGTTTTGAACTTCTTTTCACATCCAGGAAATTCACAATCGATGTTCTTCTCCAATAAATGAACTTTTTTGTGACGATTCAAATATGATCGAATAAAGAAGTGTCGCGGACATTCATCACAACGAAAGTCCCCCAGTGACTTCTCATTGTGCTTGATGATCATATGAGCTTTTAATGAATCTTTGTTGTGGAAAAAATTGCCACAAATTTTGCATTTTCTTTTGTTTCTTTGATGATGATTACAAAGCTTCCCACAGTTTATTAAATATCCTTCATTTGGATGAGAAACTCTTTGCAATCTCCTAACAATGTTTCTATCACCACGAAGATTCATGCAAATATCACAATCGCCTTTATATCGAATTGTTTTGGACACATGAGTCAGCATGTGTTTAGCAATAAGATTTTTCACGAAAAAATGTCGACCGCAAATGTCACATTGGTGTGGCCTCATTTTTAAATGAACTCTCCTTTGATGAGTTTTCATACTCTTCTCGAAATGGAATTTTATGCCACAAACATCGCACAAAGCGTCTGATTTCTCTTTTGGTTTTGAGTCCTTGATTTGCTTGTCATTTTCATGAAATGATTTATTCAATATTGTGAATGATTCTGATACTGTAGGAGTTTCTGAATCATTATAATCATGGAAGTTATTTTCAACGATTTTTTCTTCAGGAACAGATGAAAATTTTGATATTTTGACTGTTTCAACATCAGGAACGGAACGCGAATTTGACTCAATGAAGTTCTTGGAAAATATCAGCAAGGATTCTTCCGATTGAATTTCTTGCAAATTGATGTCGACATCAGCAATTGGCATTGGTTGTAAAATATAATTTTCCTTTTGATTTTTCAATCCACAAAAACTCTCAAAATTTCGTTGTTTTTCTTTAATATTTCGACTGAGGTCAAAGAAATAATTTAAGTCGTTGATGCATTTAGAACATATAAATTTAGAGCATAAATCGTTTGAGGTCAATTGGATTTGAAAGACAAAATTTATCTTATTTTGGACTGACTGTGTGACTTTTGTTTTCGTTTCCAGGGTTAAAAATGAATTAAAGCACAAACGACATTTTTGTTCACAATTTTTGAAGTCAGAAAAGTTATCAAGCATATCATTTGTACTTGTTGGGCTTAAAGATTTTTCATCGTTGTTTCTATCAACTCTTGATTCGAGGTTTTCAATCCATTCACCTTTAAAATAAACATCCTCATTGTCTTCGGGATGATTAAGATCGTCGAATGAAATTTTTTGATGATCACGCCAAATTTTTAACATTCGCCTTAATGTCCGTTCACAAACCAAATATTTCTGAGCCACAAACCGTATTTCAGAACCATTTGTTATTTCTGCAATTGCTTCTTCTATGCTGTAATTGAATTAATCCTTAAATCTCGTGATTAATTAGAGAAATTTCAATTGATTTTACCGTTCTTTGATTTCTAAATCGCCCATGGATTTTATTTTATTCTTAGACACTTTTAAGCATTTAGAAGACATGTAACAAAAACTATTGTCAAAAATGCTGTAAGATATCTACATTAGCTTAAACATTATTTTGCAAACTTTTATTTTTAATCAAATTTCTAAGTTGTTTGTAAACAAATCATGATGCCATCTGGTGAATTTTATGTGAAATATAAATTTAAAATTAAGCGCCAAAGGATGTCAAAGAGATTAAAAATATTTTCTTTTATCGAATATTATTGAATGTATTATAAATTAGGTGAATTCGCATTGAAAATATCTCTTTCTCTAATCTTTGTGATTTTAATGTGCAAGTAGAAATAGACATCTAATGAATATAAAAAATGTTCACCATTAAGATATTTACTTAAATTTCTTCGCTTTTCTTTCTTTCAATCTCCCTCTTTCATTTCTGTGAAAAGTCACGACTTTCAATGCAATAAAAAGAATAACTTATCCTCAAATCAACAGATTTTTACTCTTCACATTTTTTCTTTCATGAAAATATGACGAGCCACAATAATGAAGTGAAGAAGGAAATGAAAATCTGCAGAAAATTAAGTCCCCACTAGGGAGTGTTTGTGGTTGGTGTTTATTAACAATTTCAAGAAACTTCTCTTATAGCACTAACCTCACCATTAAATTATCCCCAAGAAAAACATTGAAATAACATTTGCGGAAATATTTTGCTTCTTTATTTCTAATGAAAAGTTTTTGTTTTCATCTTTTGACTGCGTTTCTGTAGAGTTTCCACTGTTTTTCATTTTTCCAATGCATTAACAGGAAAAAATAATTTTCTCTGTCAAAATGTATAAATCTTGATTGCACTTTCAGGATATCTTAAAGCACAGTTAAGCAGAAAAAATGAGGGAGACTAAAGGATTCGTTAATTGAAGGATTTTTTTTGTAACTTTGCAACGTGGCGTAATTCAAAGTTAGTTTTCTTGTGAAAACAAGCAGATGGTGAAATTTTCTTTTTACTTTCATTTTTCATGCTCACAAGTACACAACATAATTTATGAATGAATCCTTTTAGTTGATGAAACGAGGGTCAAAAAACAAGCTGCTTAGGATATAAATACATAAACAACGAAGTTACAAATTCACAACCGCTGCTCGATTCCACGTTTGCAAGTTTTGAATGAAGCATTTTCAAGCGAAAAAAATATTATGAAGGATTTTAATGTCAAAATGGAAGAGCCAAAGGTTTATCTTGTTCTCCTCCATCTCCTTGAATTCACAGGTACATTTTGTTTGTACATCATTGAATGTGCAACTCTTCAGGGAATTAAAGTGAAAAACATTCTGAATCTTTTGAAATATGTTTTTATTCATTAGTTGATTAAAATTTGCATGATGCATATCATTCACTGGGAGTCCAAGATTGAAAATTTCCTTATTGCTACGATTTTCATTGAATAAAAAGAAGAAATGTTGAATGCAACTTGATTCAATTTGATTCACTGAGGTTGTAGCAGCAGCGAATAAAGTTTGACTGCACATTGCATGATTCCGTCGATGGTGGTTTCATGAGAAAACTTTCATTTGCATTTCATTCAAAAAGAAAAACAAACATCAACAGTAAATTTATTACAGTTTTCATGGCATTACCTGAAATGAAAATCGATACACGTGAAGCACTTCTGTTCACTTTTGCCGCACGAGACACAATATTTGGAATAAATCATTTCACCGGCAATTCAATAAAAAAAATTTGTTGATTGCAGCAGGTGCAATAAGCTCCAAGCAATGTAAATTTCGTATAAAATGGAAGCATCTGCGTTCGATTGTGTGATGAAAAATTGAATATGGATTGTCTTGTGCACCAGCAGTAAAAATTTTCATTTACTTTCACTTTTGTTAGGTCATAATGCGCTGAACTGAGAACAAAATGAAACAGTTTTTGTCATCACTGTTGAATTACAGAAGCACGTGTGTAGGCTGAAGTATTGTTGAAGTCGAACTGAATGACCATACTTCGCTAAATTTCTATTTATTCTGTTCACTAACAAATTTTCAAAATCTTAAATCATATCATTCAAGTTTAAAGGAAGAAATCGATCTCAATTGTTGTTTAAAATTTTATTAATTGATGGAAGTAGTAGTATGCATAATTAATAATATGAAGCAGCTTTTCTCTTACTTAACAACTATAAATTGCTGTCAATTTGAGACTTCTTGCGATTATATGTAGCTAAAGGTTTTAAAACTTAAATTTTGATGTAAATGTCTTTATTTCTTCTTTCCTTTTGTCTCCCACAAATGAAGCTTTTATGCTTTTAAATCAATTTCCCATCTTCTTCTACTTGGAATGAAACTTTGCTTTCTGTTCAATATTTGATAGATTCATGTATGTTGTTAAGTAAAAAGATATTTGTTAAGACGATAAAAGTTTCCTTTGATGAAAACTTTAGTTGCTGACGATAATAATCATCTTTGAAACTGAATCTAATTTTTAACATTTCTAATGGATTAGAAATTGAGATGTGAAGTGGTCGAATAAGGGAAAAATTAAACAAAGAGATTATTATCGAAATATCTTTGCTAATTTAATTAACACTTTTAAGAGGTGATTGAAGAAGTTTTCTAAGCTGAAATCTTTGATTTTCTAACTTAAAAGAAAAACTTTTGGCAATTCATTTGAAATGTTCATCAAGATTTCTTAATGATTCAATTAATTAATTATTTTATTATTAATATTTTAGAATTTTGTTCTAAGGGTGAAATTTCTTTAAGACATGGATTTGAGTTCACTTTTCGCTTTATTAAAAGTTCTCTTTTTGGCGTGAATAAAGAAAGTTCATTACATTGAGTTTGTTATTAAAGGATGTTACGATGAACCCTTTTAAGATCTCATAATTATGTTTCAATGATTAATATTCATAAACATAAATCGAGAGAAAATATTTATTAAACATGAAAGAGGGGAAAGTGAATCACGAAATAATTCTTGAAAACAATCTTAAGAAAGAGAGAAACGAGAGCATAAAATTGTTTTCATCGACAAAGCGCTTATCGCAACTATAAGTAATGAGTCTGGATAAGTTGGAGAATTAAGAAACTTTATTATGTCGTTTTTATTTCTAAATTTCATATTTATTGGGATATAAATTGATGCTGTTAATCTTGTAAATATGCAAGCATTCAAAAGCATTCTCGGGGTTGCCGGAAAGCAATTAAATATTTCCTATCTAAATGTCAGAGAAAAATTGTTTAGATGTATAATTCAGATATCATTAGTTAGTTATGAGAAAATCCAATTTCAATCTTAAATTGAGAAAATTCTCGAGAAGAAAAAAAGAGCTTTTCTTTATTCATTTCCGTTGCCACAAAACTGTAGCCAAACTCTAACGAACCATGATGAGTCGATATAAAATATTAAACTAACAATTTTTAGATTATATCAAGCAACAAATATTCAAATGTGAATGAGTGATTGAATATGAGTCTTATGAGTTCATGCGAATTGGATTTCGTTACAATTTCCTTTTTATATGCATCTTGGATATGACGATAATCATATGCATTCGATGAAGATGAGAAGCGAGGGTAGTGGAGAAGAAATGAAAACGTTTTTATATTTCTCTCCTACATCTATTGAAGAAAATGATACTGAGACGATGAGAACAAGGATGAGAAAAGCATTTCATGAGAATTAAATGCATCTGGAGACTGTTGTATAAAGTTTATCCAATCCATCAAATAATCATTCCCTCAATTACTTGAATGAATGAATTCGTATGAATAAAAAAGGAAAGCGGATCCAAATAAATCAACGTGGACTGAATATGAGAAATTTTTTGTATTGTTAGTAGTTCAATCAACTTAGCAAGAGAAGAATGCAATTTATTTCTAAATGATATCAAGGAATTAAACGAAGAAGTGTTTCTGATTAAAAGTTATGCTAAATATTTGTAAGCAAATGGAAGCGATCTCAAAATTAAAGAAAACATTAAAGCGATAAAAGTAACGAGAGAGCCAATCATTGCTGTTTTATTGACCATGAAATAAGCTTCTTGTTCACATCACGACGACACCTTTTTGTAATTTTCTGTTCTTATCAGCTTTGTTTTATGAAAGAATTTCATGACACATTCAAAATTAAAGTTCACAAGAGTGGAAAGATTTTTATTTTATTTTTTATTATATAATGAGATGCTCTTGCCATGATGGATAAAAAAAGAAATAAAATTAAAGTCACAGCAACGGTGAATGACATCATCATGAGAGATCATGCTTGTATGTAAATGTGAATGGCAACTTTAATCAGGCTCGCTACTACATAAAGAATTTCTTTCTTACGACGATGAGAGAATAACTTTTCTTATGTGTCATGAGGGGAATCTGAAAAGAAGAAAATTGAAGTAAAATTGATTTGCGTTAAATTGAATTTTCGAAATTTCTTAACCTAGATGTGAATATTCTTGTAAGTATGTTGAGGGAGTCTGAAAGAAAGAACAACATTATGCATAAAATATGTTTAGCGGATATGTTTTTCAACTGATTTGTACGTGAATTTATTTCTTCAAAAATGCTTTCTGTATTCCTTTGAGAGTGAAGTTCGTCAAAAGAAAAAGGAATGAAAGCAAAAATCTCACTACAATCGCTACTAGATATGAATCGAGTGACGTTTCTCTTCTTCTGTAACGATGCAAAGTTTGTAGTGAGCAAGAATTTGTGTTAGACTTTCTATTCATATCAATCTAAACCATCGCTTCTATTCTGGCAATCAATTTCGGTTAGATTTCATTCCTTTTTCCATGGTTGTTGGTGTTACATGTTTGTGGCATGTTTTGATACTTAAATCCCGATGAGAGATTGCTGTAAGGCGTTTGTATAAGTGAGAAAATTGTCTGCATTCGTTTTAGTTGCCGCAGGGATGTTTCGACATGTCTGCCGACAAATTAATGTCACTGTTGACATCTTTGATTACAAATTAAGTCTTTAATTCATTATAAGAAAAGGAGAGAAAAGGAGAAATTAGGTCAAAGAGATTAAGGTCATTTGATTTTGTTTTTCTTATCGGAATTGAATTAGGAAAAGTTGTTGATTGTTGTTAGTGTCGTCTTGATAAATTTTATTTTCTTAATACATTTATGCTAGTCGTATACATACATTATATAATAAAATATTAAAAATTTTAATAAAAAGAAAAGAAAAAAAAACCTCATTGTAGGCAATCTTTGTGAATTGTTGTTGTTCAACTCGATGCATGTATTATGCAAATGTTCTTCTGCACTCCCGCATCATGCAATCGGTCTACATATTCCAGAAATGTTCCAGAAATGGCGATGAATAATTAATGGGCGAAACATTAAAATTTCATTTCTCTCTCTAAACTTACATTTCGTTCGTGCACTTGTCGAAGAGTTTCGGTAAATCGATAAATTCTTCTTCCCATGAATTTTTGGAATTCAAAAAATGATTCAACGTGCACGAAAGATCTTTGAATGGCGGTCGATCTACTGGATTTGTACGCCAACATGACAACATAAGTTCATAAAGTGAGTCATGACAATTCATTGGCTTTTCCATTCGATATCCTGTGTTGAGAATTTTCAGCAAATCTTCAGCTCCAATTGACGGGTATGGCGTACGACCAAGTGTGACAATTTCATAAAGAAGAATGCCAAAAGACCATCTAAAGCGATAATTTGATCAATTATAATGTAAAGACTGAAAACCTTTGCCACTTACACGTCACTTTGAGATGTATACGTTTGATGTGTCATCGACTCAATCGCAAGCCATTTTATTGGCAACCTTCCATTGCCCAACTTACGATAAATATTATCCTGATAAATATCACGACTCAAGCTGATGAAATTGAATAATAAATAATTGAAATTATTCTCTAATCGCATTATAAACTCACCCAAAGTCAGCAATTTTTGCAGTTTTATTTGAACATACAAGAATGTTTCTTGCTGCCAAATCTCTATGAACAACTTTTTTCTTTGCAAGGAATTCCATTCCATCGGAGACTTGCTTTGCGAATGAAATCAAATCGCTGCTGGTAAGGAATTCTTGTGAAGTTTCTGAAGTCTCAGGAAGTTCGATGATTGTTGGCTTCGTGTTTGTGTAGACAGCATCGCTTAGCTCGAGATAAAGCGCATTAGTTGCTGTCAATGCTACTGATGGTTGACATTGATGAAATTCTGAATCTCTGTCAACATCATCATTATTATCAACTGGAAAATGATTGCTGTTGTTATTTATGTTGTAGAGATCGTCGTACATTTGATTCACAACAAACAGTCGAGATGAAAATTCTGTACTAAAATCACGAGTGTCACAAGTCAAAGCAGGAGAAATTTGACACTTTTTATCGTAAAAACTGAACTGCTTTGTGAATTCACTTCGAAGTATGTCTAGAAGATTTCCAGCGTCACAGAACTCTGTCAACAACATCAGTTCTTCGATGTTTGACGTACAATGTCCAATAATGCTGACAATGTTTGGATGTTGTCCCACTGATTTCATGACACTAATCTCCTGATGGAACTGTTTGATGTCGTCTAAATTGGCGCAGTCTGTGAAGAACAAATTGATCATTAATTTTCAATTAATGGATTTAATACAATTTCTTACTTTTTAACATTTTCACAGCAACATGAGACTTTGTCGTTCCATCTTTAAGTAAAATTGCCTTTCTTACTACTCCAAATGCACCTTCACCTAAAACTTCCAATAATCTAACATTTTCCTTTTCAGTTTCCATTCGTTCATCTCGTGTTAAGTCAGCAATCGCTTCTAACAATGATCGATTTGTAATCGTTTGAATTAAATCCAAATCCATACTTTCATGTTGCTTACTTGCGAGTTTACTGACCACAGCATTGACTCGTTTCTGCCATATGAAGAACAAAACAACAAGAGACGTTGTGAAAGTCGCAACAAAAATGTACAACAACATGTCAAATCTGCGAGTTGTTCGTGAATTTGGCGTATTGAACTTCTTCAATCGTCCAACATTAAGGATTTCGTATGCGGGTTCGCTTGTCAGATTGTTCAAATGTGCGGCAAGGCGAATGTAACATTGGGATCCTTCAATCTCGATGTTCTTAGCAAGAAATGATGTAAGATTCTAAAGGAAACATTAAATAAAAGATTCAGTTTTGAACATTTTTTTATTGAAAACTTTGCTCACCCCATCAAAAGTGAAACGATAAATCCCTGAAGTTTCATTAATAGTCTCAAAAGCATCAACAGCGGTAATTTCCAAAGTATAATAATTTGGATCGTAAGGCGGCTCACTCCACGTGACATTCGCATCAAACATGTGACCATCGATAAATGTGAAAGTTGTTTCCATGTAAGTTATTGGTGCGGGTTCACATTCATTTAGATTCTTGTTGACTTCCATACAATTTGGCGTTTCAAAGGTGAACCATTGAGTATCGCTTCGTAAAATATCAAATACTGTGTTGATACCAATAACAGCGACAGAATAATTTGAATTATAGTTTAATTTCGAATACTCGTAGTAATATAAATCTCTGTCAATCTTTTCCTTTTCATTCCATCGATCGGGAGGTCCATGAAAAACCATTTTAGCGTGGCAAGTGTGATCTGACGAAATCAAAAAACGAAATTGTTGAATTATTAAAACAAATAAAATTTCTGCATTTTCACCTCTTGCTGGATTCCATCCAATAACTGCGTTCAAATGTTCACCATCACCTGTTATCGCTTCGTATTCTTCCACCCAAATGTCAGTCACATCTTCCGGTTTATAGTCACTTTTTAATGTTGTGAATATTTGCGTGCCAAGAAAGCGAACTTCATTCGCAGAGGATACGATAGTGGCGGAAATATTGTACGATTCACTCGTTACAAGGTCACGTAGTTCAATCAATGGCTCATCAGACTGTTTTTTTTTAAAATATGGAAGCGCATATTTAATGAAATAGTAAAAACATTGTTTAGAAATCGAGAGAATGTTTTTAATAGAAATTAAATGAAATTAAGTCATAACAAATTTCGTGACACGGCGCGTGTTGACAGTTAAAATGATTATCAAACGATTTGCTTTTAATTTGATGAATACTCACAATGAAAACAATCCGATCTACAAACGAAATTTTTGTCTCTTGAAGAGTGAGAAGGAAAATGTTTTTCTCGTCTTCGTCTTCATAATCGATATCAATGTTTATCAATAATCGTGATGAGTCCCGACAATACAACCGAAATGAAGCATTGATCGGCTCATCAACAGATATCACATCGTTGAGAGAATCTGTCTGATTGGCACAGCTTTGGTAACATTCGTTGAGATTCTAATGTCGATGTAAATCAGAGATGAAAAGATATTTAAATTTATTGAAGCGGAGATGAAACGACGTCATTTGTAATTCCAACGATTTCAACTCACCGAGTTTGATCCATATTTAAGGCATCTTGCGGCACATGATGCGACTTTGAGAGTGTTCATTTGTTCAGTGCCGATCATTAGTTGGGCACAATTTGCATTGTTACCCATAAAAATTGTGATACACACGAGTTGAACATACTTTAGCACTATTACTTCCATTTCGTGCTTGGTCACTTGAACTCTTGATATTCAGAATAAAATTATCTGCGACTCAACTTGTTATTTACACGACAGCAAGAACTTTTCAATGAATTACCAAAAGAACAAAAATGCTGCTTAATCCATCTACCTGAGGTTAACTGGTCAAAACCTTTATTTACAACTTCCTCTGACAAACTGCACTCACAAAATGTTGACAAGGTGTCATTAATGAATTATTTCTTATTTATTACCATAAATATGTCTCATGTACAAATACAGGTAGCCAAAACAATTTTTTACACTTTTCACCGTTTTTCATTCGTAAGTTTTGTTTTTATTTTATTCACACTTATTTGAATTCCATTTTGATGCAAAGACTTTATTTTCAATATTGTTGTTTTCGACTGACGCTTAATGCTTTCAAATCAAAACTAAATCGCTATACACCTCAAACGACTTAACTTATTTTCAATCTCTCTATTTATGAAAATTTATTCCTTATTTGTGTTTACGGGTTGTATGGGTATAAAGTTAGTTCAGAATTTGGCGTTGTATTTGTTTTGTTCAAGCAGGTTTCAACTTTTGGCACTTTCTTTAGGCTTTATTGGAAAACATACCAAGAGAGATGAAAAGGAATTAGGATTTTCTGTTTAAAGACAATTTCAGGAAATCATTTCTCGTGTTCCGTTTCAAATTTCAATCCATTCCAATTCATTTCAAAATTGTTGTAACGTTTAATAATGTAGCTAGCATTAATTAAAGAACAGTGCTCGCCTTAATGAAAGGATTCTTGAACTCATCTAATTAAATTTAAACTTTTAATTTAAAAAAAGGCAACAATTAAACAAAGAGCTAAAATTCTATCGAGGCGACATGAAAAAATAAGTTGAATATTATTAACTGAATAATTTTTCTGAACAGTCTCAAAAAGTGTCTTGACTAAGTCAAGTAAACGTTCACTGTTATATGTAGAGTAAAAAGCTCGGCTTTTGGGGTGAAAAGCTCACTGTTTTAAATTAAAAAGCTCTGTATCTGTAAGTATTCTTAAAATATTTGAAAAGTTCTTTATTTCGCAAAATGTTTATGTTTCTATTTTATCTTTAACTTAAAAAAGTTTTTCTTAAGAGATTAGACGTTGATGAGAATTAGTGACATTAATATTGGGAATTTTTCACCACCTTTGTCATTTTTAAGTTTTTCAGAATGCTTCTGTTATTACTTTTTCTACACTTAAATACATTTATGGAAGAATTTTAAATGTTTGTTGCAATCTAGGTGATTGAAGCCTTAGTATATTTTATATGACATATTTAGCAGTTATTAAAAAAGAACTAAAATAAAAAAAACAAATATTAAGCTAAAAAATATGCAAATTAGTTTCGTGACTGCAACTCTGTTAAGTTTGCAGAAGTTAAGACTTTAGGTTTTTAATGTTCCATTGACTTTCGTATTTTAAAGTTGCAATTGAACTTATCAACATGAATATTGGGACTTTTTCATCAGCTTTGTCCTTTTTGAGCTATTCAGAATGTTTCTGTTATTACTTTATCTACACTTGAATATATTAATGAAAGTATTTTTATTCTTGCAATCTAGATGCTAGAAGTCTAAGTATATTTTATATGACATATTTAGCAGTTATTAAAAAAGAACTAAAATAAAAGGAAACAAATATTAACCTAAAAAATATCCAAATTAGTTTCGTGAGTGCAACGTTTCTGCTATGACTTTAGGTTTTTAATGTCCTTCTGACTTTCGTATATAAAAGCTGAAGTTAAACTTATCATCATCAATCGTCTTCAAAAATCGAAATGGGTATCGTTTTAAAAATCTTTTATTTTTCATTGTTCATAGTTCTGTTGGGACAAGAAACAATTGCGGGTGGAGATTCAAGCTGTAACCGGGACGTTGAACTATGCATAAATCGAGGTTTTCAAGATTGTTCCGTATTTGGTATAGGCGAAACATCAGGTTGTCTTAAAGATGTGTCGTTTACATCGGCAAGGACACTAGGAAACTATGTGTGTTCTGCATATTCGGATGAAAATTGCGATGGCGATTCCTTTGGTATAACTCAACCTGGTGCAAATTATGGTTTTACTATAAAATCAGTAAAATGTGAATGTTAAAAATCAATAAAAGAATGCAAAGCAATGCAAAACTGAAATAATTAATTCATGACTATCAATTTAATTTTTCTTACATCATTAAGTTTAAGCAGAGTTTCTAAAAAAAATTGGATTTTTTGTCGTTTTAAGATTAATGATAATGATGATTCAATATTTTGACTTATTCCTTTTTTTGATATTATTAGGTATATTGTGAGTCCCTTCAGCTTTCTCTTACTGAGCGTCCACTGTGATTTTTTTATTCTAAAATTTCATTCTTGATTTAAGTATCTTAAAATGTTTATAAAGTTTTTAGTTTCGTAACATGTCAATGTTTCTGTTTTATCTCTAAGTTAAACAAGTTTTTCTTAAGAGATTAAACTTTGATGAGAATTATTTTCATAGATATTGGGTATTTTTCACCAACTTTGATATTTTTTAGCTTTTACATTTGAATATAAATATTATATTATATTCTTTGGTGATTGTATAATATTATATATTTGACACTACATTATTATTAGGCAATTAAAATATTAAAAAAAGAGTTAAAATATAAAATAAGTTGAAAAAAACGTAAAAAATTTCGAAATTAGTTTCGTGACTTTAGCTTTGTCATGACTTTAGGTTTTTAATGTTCCAATGATTTTCGTATTTTAAAGCTGCAGTTGAACTTATCAACATTAATCCTCTTTAAAAATCGAAATGGGTATCGTGTTAAAAATCTTTTGTTTTTCATTGTTCATAGTTCTATTGGGACAAGAAACAATTGCGGGTGGAGATAGCAGCGAAAGCAGTGAAAGCAGTTCAGAACCAGATTTAGGCTGTACCCGAAAAGTTGACCTATGCAGAAAACTAAACTTTCAAGATTGCAGTCCATTTGTTTATTACATGTCAGGAGAATTCTGTGATAAAAGGTTTGTGGAAAAGTTCTTGTCGGCAAAGACAGAAGGAGAAAATGAGTGCACAGCATATTCTAAAGAAAATTGTAAAGGTGAATCTGCTGCTATACCTCAAGCTGATAAATCTGACAAATCTGATCCATCTGATCAACCTGCAAAGATTGATTTCGAAATAAAATCAGTAAAATGTTTTTGTTAAAAAATCAATAAAGAACGCAAAGTAATGCAAAAGAGAAATAATTACTTCATGATTATCATTTTATACCTATTTTCTTAGATTACTAACTTTAAACAGAGTTGCTACATTTTCAAAGCAAAAATTAGATGTCCAATAAAATTGGATTTTTTGTCATTTGAAGAAGATTAAGATAAAATGATATCAAAATATAAGTTTTTTCTAAGAAAAATATAACTTCCTTGATAATTGCAAAAAGAACAAAAAGATAAACGAAAACGAAGATAAGATGTTGATAAGATGACTAAATCGAACTCATTCTCACAAGTTTTGCTTGTGTTTTATTCTTTCATGGCGAATTGACATTAACTGAAACTGATTCTTTACAAATTCAATGTCTTGAGTTTAGTTGAAATGTAGATTTAACCAGAAATAGCAGTCAAGCAACATAAAAGTAGTTCCATTTGTTCGAACAAGTTCTTTATTTGGTTTGTGAACATTTTCTACTTCTTTCAATTTTGATGGTCATTATAAAAAAGCCATCTAAAAATTTAAAAGCTTAATTTTAAATGTACTTATAGTTTATGGTGTAGGCGCACATCCTGCCGCAACACAAGCAGCCATGCAGGTCCCTTAAAAATCATTGCTTTAAGAATCCTAAATTCAAATTAAAAAAATTCATTCACGTACCTAAAGCCACATTGCAAGCAATTATTGCTGCCGGAACACCAGCTCCAGCCGTAACTAAATTAATTATAAAAATTATTTTAAGTCAATATGAGTGACGAATTTTTACCAGTTCCAAAAGTGAACCCGGCTGCTGCGTAGCATGCAACAACCATGGCATTACAGCCAGTTTGGCATATTCCGTATGCCAATGGGCCAGCTTTGATGGAAGAAGCTGACAGTAATAAAACAATGCAAATGAAAATTACATTTCTCATGTTGACTTCAACTTTTTCTTGGTTTTGAAATTACTTGAATAAGAGAAGAAAAAAACTTCAGAAGAAAAGTTTCTACAATCATCTACAAAGTTCTCTGTTTAAACACTTTCAAGATTTTTTAATAAATTTTTCCAGCAAATTTTCATGCAACTTACTTGAAACGTTGTCGGAATTGAACTGAAGTTAAAAAAATTAGCTCCACTCTTGAATGGTTTACACACGCATATGTATTAACAAGTGGATTGAAATTACTTAGAAAGGTTTCTTTTTCCTCAATTTGTTATCAATAATTTTCCACATAATATCCATTCACGTAGGTTCAATGTATTAATGAAAGAAATATTTTTATTTAGGAATGAAAAAATTGATGTATGAGCAATTAAGTAGTGAGCGAAGTTATTTACGGATGCATTCAAAAATTATAACGAGGCTTTCCTGGCGAAGAAGTTTTCAGTCTAAAATATCGCATTTTCTATCAAATTTTATTAAACTCATCAGCTGTAAGAATAGATTGAAACAATCATAAGTTTCCCATTAATTTCAGTCTTTATTTCATAAACTATTAGCTCTAAATATTTACAACAAAGATTGTCCACAACATATTTTCGTATGTTTCTTTTGTAAATAACTGAAATGAATCTTCATTTTACTTTTGATTCCGTTTTGTCTTAATTTAAAACAATTTTTGAGGCACAATTTAACTGCTTAAAAGTATTTTGTTTCTTAACATCAATATAATGAATTAATTAATGTTTTAGTTTAATCTACAGTCACTAATTGTCTAACTCATTTGGCATTTTGGCAAAATTTAAACTTTAATAAGTAGATAACTAAGAATCTCTCGTTTATGATGTACAAAACTTTCATATCATCTCTAAGCTCGCTGATTTCTGTTTCTCTTTGTAAAATTCTATTAAAAACAATAATTGGCACACGATTAATTGAAAATGTTATTCACAAATGATTTTGATTGATTGCTGATTAATTATCTACTTTACACATCCACATCTGAATATAAGTAGATTTTGAATATCACAATGATTAAAACGATTTGTTATTGTTGTTACTTCCATTGCTAATGCTCCCCATATAAATGTTTCCCATGTAACTGTCAGCGGATTTCTTTGAGCTTTTAACACTGATGGGTGTGTAGTTTGAGTCCGACTCGCAGACATCTGTGGAGCAAGGTGTAGTCGGTGGTGCTTGGTTGATAACTTTGTAATGTTTGTATGGATAACTGTTGTGCAATGTTGATGTGGTGGCTGGTGATGGCGGTAGATTTGAAGGATATCCAATCAAGCTACTCCCGTTTGTGGTCGTTGAACTGCTCGCCCCAGTGATGTTATTTCTATCGTAACTATTCATACTATTTCTACTAAGTGTCGTTAATCGAACAGCATCAGCAACTGAAGTTATTTTGTTCACTCGCAAGCTGTTTAATCCACCAGGCGACAATGGCGCTGACGCTTGATCTTCTTTTGGCTCTCGAATTGTGTCAGCAAATTTCGTTCGACATATTTGAAGAACATAAACAATGAAGAAGATTATCAACACCAACACAATGAGAATCACCACGAAGACTTTCTTATCTGAACCGGCATTTGTAGGCCTTGTAGCAATTGACGTGCAATATTCATTGTTCTCATCAGAACCATCAGCACAATGATCCCAACCGTCACAAAGAAATTCTTGAGTGATGCAAACTTTATTGCTGACACATTGAAAGTCGCCTGGTCGACAGCATTGAACTTCGTCGAGACCATCGGGACAGTTTGTAGTTCCATCACACACGAAATTCTTTTCAATGCAATCACCGTTGTTGCAACTATAGAAATAAAATTAACATTGTGAATTTAGACCACAAATTTGAACGATAATATAACTTACCGAAATTGATCAACGCTACAAGTTGAACAGTCAAGTTCGTCACTTTTGTCTGGACAATCATTTTGTCCATCACATCTCCAAGCCGAAGGAATGCAATCACGATTGTGATCGACTGATAATCCATTGCTGTTGAAAGGTGATGTGCATGTGAAGTGATCTGGTCCACAAGCTGGTGGCGCTCCACAATTTCTTCGATCTTCCCGCAACATCAAGCCTTGCGGACATGAACACATCTCGTCTGCTTTGCTGTTATTCATTGAAGCAATACAAATATGTGAGCATTTGTTCTTTGATGACATACACAGATGATTCTTTATGATTTTAGCTTCAGGATACCACACAGCGACGATATCAGTAATGTGAGAATATTTCTTTTCCAATCGAATACTTTCACCGCTTATTGTTGCCTTCTCAAGTCCAAATTTCTCATCTAACCAGTAGACAACATTTGGAAAAGCAGCAATCGAATGAACTTGATTAATGTTGCTATTTGATAAAGTTTTTCTATCGAGAACAAGAAAATATTTAATAAACTTAATAAAGGATAAAAATGAAAATTCTTACCGATTTTTTCCATTAAGATCCATAAATTCAATTTTTCTTCCATGAGAAAAGAATACGAGATTTGAAATTGGATCAAGAGAAAGGCTTGTCACACCTTCTAATTGATCAACAAGAACCATGCTGTTACTTCCGTCCATCTTCGCTCTTATCACTGCTTGTTGATTACCAACATCAGTCCAGAAAAGCAATCGCCTTATTGGATGAACAGCAATGCTTCTAGGTTTCTTTGAATTTCCTGTATCGACAATTCCAACTGGATCGTAATGATCAAGACTGAAATCAAGATTAAAATTTAATTTATTAATTAATGCGAAACGAGGGGTAATAATCTTTTATCAATTTCAAGGATGCATAGATGGGGTAAGAAGTTTACAATTATCCTGACATTAAAAGAAAAAATAAACAAACCTCGTTATGTTAATTGTATTTGCATGTGAACATGTCCAAAAAAGTAAACGACCAACAATATCAATTGCTAAGTCGAATGGCTGTGAATGTGAACCAGAACCTCCAATGATTAGTGTTGTTTTTGTTCCATTGTCTAACGATCTTCTTACTGTTGATCGTCCGTCAATCTGAATAAAAGAATAATAAATTAACAAATTTCGTCACCTCAGCTTCGTTTCTTTCTTACCCAATATAAATAATGTTGAATTGGATCATATTCAACAGCTTTAATATTTTTAGCGGAAACTGGAAGTGGAGCATCTGGTGAATCAGTCGAGTTGGGTAATAATCGTCCAAAAGTATTTCTTTGCGAAAATACAAGATAATTTCTTGGTGGATTACAATTGACTCCATCATTTGCTAAAGTGTAGTGTGTTGGACAAGCACATGTCACTCTCCGTTGTCCTGGTAATGCAAAGCATAAATGTGAACAGCCACCGTTGTTAATACGACAAAGATTGGAACCAGATTGTCGATTGTTATGATAGATAAGAAGACTCGAAACATCGCGAAGATTTCGATAAATTGAAGTTCTTTCACCACCTGTGACTTTATTAGCACGTTCAATGTCACCGCTGCTTCCATCACTCCAATAAATGTTGTCCAAATAAAGCGTCAGCGATCTCGGTTTGAAAGAAACTTCAGCATCTGACCCGATGAGCTTCAACTTCACTCTTCTTTTTCCATCCCAATCAGCTGATTCAATGCCATTGTTTCTGGTCGCCCAATAGATTCGTCTCTGTTCAAGATCCATTGTCAGACTCATTGGATAATTTGCAGTCGAAACAATTGTCTGAATATCTGAGCCATCTAAAGCAGCGCGTCGAATTGAATCTGAAGGAGTTTCAGTCCAATAAATGAAACCTTTCTTTGGCTCAACAATTATATTCTTCGGTTCTTCAATGCCTTTCCAAATCAAAATTCTTCTACTTGATCCATCAAGTCTCGCCACTTCGATTCGCTTAGCATCACCGTCAGTCCAATAAATATTGTGAGCGATCCAATCAACTGCAATGCCGTCAGGTGAAATGATTCCCGAGTCGATGATTCGTTGAACATCCGAGCCGTTAATATAAGCTCGTGAGATGCACTTAAGCTTCTGATCTGTCCAATAAATTCTCCGTTCACTCACATCTACATCAAGATGATAAGCATCGCGAAGATCTTTAAATGGTATGAAGAAATCTGGATGTTTCTCATCGTTATATTCAATACTTAATCGTCCGATGTTTTCACCTTTTGAAAAGATCAAAAATGCTGATGGAATGTTGCAACTTTTTCGATCTTTTGCCAACTCATAATCGATCGAACATCGACAAACGTAGTCGTTGGGACGATTAAGACAAAGATGTGCACAACCGCCGTTTTTATTGAGACATGGGTTGGTACCTTTGATGTCGTGAAGTTTCGTAACTTTCAAGCCCATTAAATCCGGGAATTGATCAACGACGACAATCCTATCATTGCCAGTGATCTTATGAGCTCTCTCAACGGTTCTTCGTTGCCAGTCGGTCCAATAAATGTAATTATCGAATAAACTCAAGCCAAAGACATGCGGAAGATTCTCATTTAAAATCACTCGACGATCAGATCCATCCATATTGGTGACTTCAATTTTATCCATCTTTGCATCACACCAATAAATCTTCTTCATCTCAATGTCAAGTGAAATGCCATTTGGCCAGCCAAGATCATCAGATATGAGAACGACTCGTTCCGTTCCATCTAGAGAAGCTCTCTCGATCTTTGGTTTCCTTCCCCAATCTGACCAAAACATCCAACCGAGTGTTGGAGCAACCGCAACATCTCGTGGTTCTTCGAGACTGTCGTGGATAAGAACACGACGATAAGCACCGTTTAAACGACAAACTTCAATTCTATCTGAACCGGAATCAGCCCAATAAAGGTTCCTTGCTATCCAATCGACAGCAATTCCGTCTGGTTGCTTAATTTCTGTATTTACAACTTCCATAATTGACGTTCCATCTTGTCGCGATCTTTTAATCGCATGAAGTTCTTCATCTGACCAATAAATAAAATCTTCAACTGGATCATAATCAACTGAAATTGCTGATCGAACGCGTCCCAATGACAATTCAAAACTGGTAAAGTCGGGAGAATCTAAACTTATTCGACTGATTTGTGTTCTTTGTACAAGAAAAATTACATTTTGCGGTCCGTCAGCACATTTCGTATCTGTCAGAAGTTTCACGCCTGTTGGACATGCGCAAGAAAATCCACGAGCGTTGGTCGATAATAAACATAAATGTGAACAATTTCCATTGTTATATCGACAAGGATTGAAAGTGTTGACTTGCTGTAATGATTTATCCCAAGCACGAACAGTTATCGGAACGTCGGGCGCGTCAATGATCTGTTTAAGTTCTCTGGTTTCAAGATCATAAGAATTGATTGAGCCGTCATTCCAATCACTCCAAAAAAGCTTCTTATTGATGTAAGTGATGCTATAAGGATAATGCAAGTCTCTCAAAATCGTGCTTCGACTGCTTCCATCGAGGTTCATCACATCGAGAAAGTGAAGATTTCCATCAACCCAATAAATTAATTTATTCTCGATATCAACAGTGAGACCGTTGGGCCAAAAGATTCGATCATTTACGAGAATCATTCGACTAAACTTATCGCCATCCATTGACGCTCTTTCAATCTTCGGACTTTCGCCCCAATCTGTCCAAATTATCAACTTTTCAGATGGAACAAGCGCGATGGCTCGTGGTTGATCGAGATCAGTCCAAAATAAAAGTTTCTGATGTTTTCCATTGAGTGTGGCGACTTCAATTCGATTCAATTCACTGTCAGCCCAATAAATCTTATCCGTGTACCAGTCAATTGCCAGCCCTTCCGGCTTTGCAATTCCTTTTCTTATTATACTCAACTTATCAATGTTATCATTAAACTCTTCAATGCCAATCGATGATGATGCTGGCGGTTCTTTATAAAACGATTCATTCATACGACTACATTGAATTGTTTCAATACCTTGATCTGTCCAACATATTAATTGCTTTTCGTAGAAATAATCCAAGCCAGCGCCTTCATTAAGATCTTTCGTCAATACACGACTAGTGACATTATTGCGCGATATACTTGCTAATCGTATGTCGTGATATGTTGTGAAAATGAGAAGGGTTGATGATGTTGATGGTGCATTGCGAAGTGTTATCGGTTGGCCAGCATCTTTAAGTGGAAAGGAAAAGAATGGAAGAGAAAAAAAAAGCATTAATCAATGCAAGCTTCGTTCTTATTCCTTCTTATTTATTATTGAAGTTATTGAAGTTAAAAATGTAATAAACATTGAATCGACAATATATTATTAAATCGACGAAAGAAACGACTACTCACTACAGCTCTGTTTACTTATTTATTTCACAAGATTCCCATAATGTTTTGCAATTGTTCAGTCAGTAAGGAAAATGAGATAAAGTGTAAAAGGGAATTGGGAAAGAGAATGAAGAAGAACAAGAAGAAGAAGACACTCTTTAAGACATTAAAATTGCTAACAAGACTGTTGCCTTTTCTTCCATTCCATCATGTTTCTTCGAAAACTCGTATTAAATATTCTTTCCAATATACTAGTAACGTTCAATTCACACAGAACAAGAATGAAAACAATCTCTTGTTTCCTTTTTTTTTTATTCTTTACAACAATATCAAAAATATAAAAACGAAGAGAAAAGCAGGCAAAATAACGACGCATGTGGAGATCCAAAAGTGGAGATCGAATAGCAGCAGAATGTTTTTCGTCTTTTCTCAGAACTGAGGCAGTTATGTAGTAAGCATTTAAGTATGAGCAGAGGTAGAATTGAAAGAAGAGTGAGAGAGAGAGCGATATGGAAAACGCACAGAAACAATTTATTAAAGAGACGAATTAATGATGTGTTAAAAAGCAACAACAAGCCACCGCCGTGGCTTTGCCACGAACGTATAATAAACTTCGTTTCGTTTCATTTACGAATAACGAGAGTGAAGCATAACCAGCGATAAATAAGAAGAAGAAAGACAACAATAAGACGATGGAAAGAATTAATCGTGTAATAAAAAGAAGATTTAGACACGGTTAATGCCATTGACTAAATGGTCTTTCCTTGCATGGCTTTCTAGCATTTCGCGCTGTTTTTATTTTTTATTTTTACTTCTATTTTTGTTTTCATTTAAACTTTTATCTTCATTGCAAGTCATGATTAATGCACAATTTTTTACTTCTTCTCATTATTATGTCGATATTCTTCTTACTCGATGGACTTTATGTAATTGTTTTTTATTTTATTCTTTCTTAACAAGAAAAAGTAACCACTAAAGTTAACAACACAGCCATCAGAATAATTGATTTCCACGGAAATTAGCATGTAGAAGTGAAGTATTCGAGAACAAACATACATGTATTGCGTTAAGAATCAACGAGCAAGCAAACGTTTATTTTTTTTTGTTTCATTACATATTTATGAAAAAATGAAACTTTTTTGTTGCTGCTTTGTTACCTTCTGTGATGTCCATTCTTACTTTTTATGTTTTGGAGGATAATTTGAATATAAATGTGCAGAAGCCTTTTGGCAAAAAGCCCTTCAACAATGATGGAGAATAGAGAAGAAGAAGGAGACGACGTGTCGTTTAAACATCTGAAGTATTCTTTACAGACATTCCACTTGGAGCCCACTCACAAATCATCAAGCAAAACAACGAGCCAGTCAAAATCGAGGCATATACAAAGTACAACAACAAAAAACCTGCTCATCATTCTCATCAATAATTGTCTTGAAACATTTTTTTTCTTCCTCTTCTTTTTCTTTCATTCCTCATCATCATTTTTTTCTCCATTTCATTCCCCGAATCTTGATCAATTTTATGTAGATTTTTTCTCGATGTTTTTTTTTCTTTTTAAAGAAATTCTGTTTATTTAATATCTGATGTTATAAAATCTTCTCTCGGTCGGGGTTTCTTGTGTTTGTGTGTGGATGGGGTTATAAAAAGTTCGAAAAAACAGAGCTGAGCTGAAAGCTGACATCTTTCAGATTTGAGCAATGGTTCGTTGGAGTTCAGCACTGGATTATGTGTGCGTTTTCTTCATAAGTATAAACAAGATTTTTTAATTAATTGCTTATCTTCGGGATCATTGTTTTCGTGCTGTGAGCGTTTTGTGAGTTTCTTTTCTGTTTTCTCCTATTTTGTTTCAAGATTTATGTCTTAGAAAGATTTACGTACAAGAAAAACAAGAAGGAAACTGATCTTCATTTTTTCTCTCTTCTATTTGGACATTGAACAGCATTTCTATGAATCGTTAAAATACTTACTTGCTTGAAAGTTGAATAAATTTATTAAAAATATTATTAATGCGATGTTCTCTAAACTTCTCATTGCTCAACAAAAAAAATTAATTGCAAATGCTTTGATTGGTGTGCCGGTTGATCCGGCTTCATAGATTTAATTACACTATCATGATTTATTAGTGCATCTGCAAACTATCCACTTTGCGTTATTGCACCTTATGAATTCACTTTCTTGTTATTTACAATGTCTCAAAACATTTCACAAAAGATCAAATGATCAAAATATTCTTTTAATGATTTCTTTCTTATTTCACTTCTTTCCACTGATACTTGATGATTTTATGAAATTATAGGCAACAAATAATACTTTTCACATAATTTAATGCTTTAAAATGATGTAAATATCGTTTAATTTAATTAAAATCACGAAGGTGCTAACTCTGCTAACTTTAAACGCGAACATAACAATTTCTTAACAATGCACAACATTTGTCTGTCTGTCATAAAATGGGAATTGAGGTGATTCAGGAGGGTGTCAAAGTGTGTATAATTGTACGGCGTGAAGTTGACGGTGGTTGACGCAGCTTCAGAAGCTGATCTGATCACCTTTTTCCACGAATATTTAGTAAACGACTAACTTTATTGATGAATCGTCTTCACAAAATCGGTAGAAGACGCAAAAGTGGATATTTTTGTCCAAGACATTCTGTCCAAGAAGTGTTGAATTAAGGAGATATTTAGGAAATGTTTTTCAACCGATTCAAATGTTGTGACGTGCCTGATTGAATGCCCTTTTGTTTACAGTTTATTTTGGATTTTCACGTGCAAACTTGAAATTTATTTTAAATTCAAGAATAAATATAAGAAAGAAGAAAATGTCTTCGTGGAAAAAAGCTACGAAAACAAATCAAAAAACTCATCGAGAACGTCATCAACCAGAAGCTCGAAAGAGTTTAGGATTGTTGGAAAAGAAAAAAGATTACAAACTTCGTGCCCAAGATAGGGCAGAAAAACAAGAAACTTTAAAATTATTGAGAAAGCGAGCACTCAATAAGAATCCAGATGAATTTTATCATCACATGATTAATTCAAAAATCCAGGATGGTGAACATCATGAGTTGGACAAAGATGAAGATTTGACACCTGAACAGATTAAATTGATGGAGACTCAAGACAAGAAATATATTTCCATGAAGCGTACTATCGAGTCGAATAAAATAAAGAGACTGCAGTCTCATTTGCATATGACAGATGTTGCTGAAAAAACGAAGAATAAACACATTTTCTTCCTTGAAAATGGAAAAGAACTTAAAAATTTCGATTTGGCTGAACGACTTCAAACTCATCCAGCGCTGGTTGGTCGAAAAACAAATCGAATCAAATTAAAAAGCTTAGATAAAATCAAGATTGATATCGATGAGGAGCAAATAAAGAAGTTAAATCAAGAACGAGAAAAATCCTACAAGGAACTTGAAAAACGAATCGAACGTGAACGTGAGCTAGCGAAAGTGCAGCGAAAAATGGAAATTAAGAATCTTTCAAGGGCAGAACGACGAACTCTCAAATCAAAAGATCTCCTGAGAGTCACCAAATCATCAAATCCAATTTTTAAATTCAAATATGAACGAAAAAAGTGATTTTTTAGTGATTACATTGGAATTAACATTTATTAAAATTTACGATGACAAATAAAGAATCAAATGATTGAAATAATTTTTTCATTTAATATAATTTTGAATTAAAATACTTTTAATAATGAATTTTAGAACAGTAACATGCGGTTATACCAACTTGTTGCTGACGTATAATAAGTGCTTTGAAAGGTAAGAATTGCCGAGTTTCTTAATTAATTAGTTCAACGTAATTAGCTGGGAAGAGTCCGTAAGTTCCAAATCTTTCCGAGAAACCTTGCCACCAGCCTAAATTGAATCACAAATTAATGAATAACATCAATAACAACAAAACTTTGTTTACCTTCGTCAATTTGATCGATATGCGTAATGATGTCACCTGGATCGAAAGATATTTCAGTTTCATCGACAGCTTGATAATCATAAAGCGCGATTGCCTTCAAAAGCTCTGTTTCTGGTGAAGTGCCATCTCCTGGCAATTGCTGTGAAGGAGTTGAAAGCATTGAAGTTTTAATTTGTTGATTATGTTGTTCTTGTTGTTGCTGTACTTGTTGTGGGGCAACATCGATTGGTTTATGATTAGTTCCGTTATCAGTTGATATTGTAAAGTCGTTATCGCGTTTCTTATCATCAGGCGACGTTGGAGTTTTCGGAGAACGTTTGATAGTGGAAAATTGTTCGTGATCTTCTTCTTCAGCATTAGTTAAAGGTGTTGGAATAATTTCTGGTTCACTTGAAGGAATATTGATTGTATTAGGTGGAATAACAACTGGAGCTGCTTCAACTGGAACCAATTCTGGTTCAACCTTTTGTATTGTCTTTCTTATTGGTTTCATTGGTGGAGCTGAACTTACGGGAGTAGCACTTTGAGCTGCTTGTTGTTGAAACATTGCCTTGGCTGTATTCACTCGATTTCCAATCAATTCTTGAGCTTCCTTTCGTCTTCCCATTCTCAACTCTTCTGCTAATGGTCGCGAAATTTCATCCTTTTCAACCGTCTTAACAGGTGAAACTGGCTTAATGATGGGCGTGGGCGCAAGTTTCTTAACTTCAGGTTCTTTATTTTGTTGCTCACGTTTCAAATGTTCACTTTGTTCTCGTTTCAAACGCTCTTCTTCAAGTTTTAAATTAGCAAGTCTTTTGGCTTCCAACTCGGCATCCTTCCTTGCTTTCTCAACTTCTGACTCATTTTTCCAAAACTCATCACGTTTCGTTACGTTAATTTCTTTAGTCGGAACGACTTTCGAATAATTCGTTCCGACAGTAAACTTTTCATCGGTTGGTATTGCACGATCTTGAAAGTTGTAAGTTGATGTTATTTTCGACATCTTTTTCCAAATTGCTTCTTCTTCCAAATCATCTAAGTTTGAGGCAGTGATTGTCAGATGATTCTTCAGAAACTTTGTTATGTCCCGAATGTGATTCGAACATGTTCCTTTGTGTACCAAGTCAAGAACAGCTTCTCCCTATTAGAATAAAAAATATCGACCAATGCATAGCTCTTAATTTATGACTCATGCAACTCAACAAATATTCAATTAACTTACTTGAAAATTAATTAATAAAAATTTCACAAGTTTGGTGTTTGGGTCAAGAACTCTAACATAGGCATATTGGATCTTGCCCTCGTTTATTTCCTCCGCTACGGTCTCAATTCCACCCGATCCAATTGCGTCCTGTGAATTTTTTAAAGTTTCAAGTTACTTTTTTTTGGATTCTTTGCGAGAAAAGATTTTGACTTACAACTTTCAAATCTACCGACTTTCCTTCGTACCCAAAAAGAGCCCAATCATATCCATCTTCATTATCAGTCACTTTCTTCCATGCATCTAAAATTTGAGCTTTATTCTTATTTAAATTAACACTCATTTCTAATTTTTTTTTGCATCGATGACGATGAATGAAATAAAAATCCGTGGGAAGTGATGAATGTTTTCAAAGACTTTTTTCATGTCTCTCTCTCGTTTCACAATTCAGCGGGGCTTACAACTTTTGTAAACAAATAATTTTTGCCGGAAACTTGAATAACAAAAAAATACAATTTAAGAATAAAAGAAAAGCAAAACAAGTTAAAATGTTCTCAATTTGCAAACAGACAGTCCCAGCGACTGGAGTTGAGTTTGCAATTAAATGTAACTTCTTTAATAATCTGGAAAAATGTCTCGTTACTGGTGGTGCAAATGTGTTGAAAGTTTATCGTATAACGCCTGATATTGAGCTAAATACGAAAGAGAAATTCACAGGTTTGTAATATTTAAAGTCAATTCAATGACTTTAGTAACTTTTAATTAATATTTTTCAGATAATCGTCCACCAAATATGAGACTCGAATGTTTGGCATCGTATGAACTTTTCGGCAACATAATGTCATTGCAATCAGTTTCACTCAACAATTCACCAAGAGACGCGCTTTTGATCAGTTTTCAAGAAGCCAAATTATCAGTAGTTCAACATGATCCTGATTCATTTGATCTTAAAACATTATCACTTCATTATTTTGAAGAGGATGACGTCAAAGGAGGATGGACCGGAACTCATAACATTCCCATAGTGCGTGTAGATCCTGACAGTCGATGCTCTGTAATGTTAGTTTATGGAAAGAAGCTTGTAGTTCTTCCCTTCCGAAAAGACAACACGCTAGATGAAATTGAAATTCAAGATGTCAAACCAATGAAGAAAACGCCGATGCAACTCATTGCGAAAACTCCAATTTTGCCATCATATTTGATTGCTCTGAAAGATCTCGACGAAAAAATTGATAATATCTTGGACATACAATTTCTACAGGGTTATTATGAGCCGACTTTATTGATTCTTTATGAACCAGTGAAAACTTATCCAGGGTGAGACGACATTTAATAATTTTAATAATTTCAAAGTAAAACTTTTCATCTTTTCGCAGTCGTATTGCTGTTCGTAACGACACATGTTCCATGGTCGCAATATCATTGAATATTCAACAGCGTGTTCATCCAGTCATTTGGTCAGTTACAAATCTTCCTTACGATGCACTTCAAGCAGTTCCAATCAACAAGCCAGTTGGTGGTTGTTTAATTCTTTGCACGAATTCTCTCATCTACTTGAATCAAAGTGTGCCAAGTTATGGTGTCAGTTTGAACAGCACAGCAGATCACAGCACAAACTTTCCACTTAAGCCTCAAGATGGTGTGAAGATAAGTTTAGATTCAGCTCAAATTGCTTTCATCAACAACGAAAAGTTGGTTTTGTCATTAAAAGACGGCGAACTTTACGTTTTATCTCTACTTGCTGATTCAATGCGAAGTGTCAGAAGTTTTCATTTCAGTCGTGCTGCTTCCAGTGTTTTGACGAGTTGTGTAAGAATTTTGCAATGAAAATGTTTTTCGACAATTTAAGCTTTTTTTATTATCACAGATTTGCTTATGTCAAGAAGATTATCTGTTTCTGGGTTCACGACTTGGCAATTCATTACTTCTACGATTCAAAGAAAAAGACGACAACATGGTCATAACAATTGAAGACGCTGAAACACCTTCGATTGAAAAAGATGTTCAATTGACGAAGAAAATGCGACTGGAAGAAGAAGAATTGCTTGTATACGGTGCAAAATCTGCGAAGACGTCAGTCAATCTTTCAAGTTATATCTTCGAAGTTTGTGATAGCATTTTAAATCTTGCACCAATCGGTTACATGGCTGTTGGTGAACGTGTGCAAACGGAAGAACATCAAGATGATGATAATGAGAATGAGAAACGAGATTCATCTAAAATGGAGTTGGAAATCGTGACAAGTACGGGATTTGGTAAAAATGGAGCGCTTTGTGTTCTTCACAACACTCTCCGGCCAAAGACACTCACAAGCTTTGAATTGAGTGGATGTTTGGATCTTTGGACAGTTATTGATGATTCGCAAATGAGACGAGAGAATCGTCACACTTTCATGATCTTAACTCAACGAACCAGCACGATGGTCCTCAGAACTGGTGAAGAAATCAGCGACATTCATAACACGGGATTTGCTTGCACAACACCCACGATATTCGTTGGAAATCTCGGTTCTAATCGTTACATCGTCCAAGTTACATCAAAATCCATTCGATTAATTCAAGGAACGCGACTTGTTCAAAATATTCCCATTGATCTTGGACATCCATTGACAAATGTTTCAATTGCTGATCCGTACATTTGTGTGAGAGCATCGAATGGTCAAATTGTCACTTTGGCTTTACGAGACAACAAGGAATATTCATTTCAACGTCTTTATATGAATCGTAATCGCATCAGTGGCACAGCTGTTGCCATTTCCATTTATAAAGACACTTCAGGACTTTTCACAACGAAATGTGAAGATTTTGCTGATCTCACAAAGACGCCAGCAGGCACACGAGACTTTGGAGGCTACATGAAAGCCGAACCTGGAAAAGATGTGGAAGATGAAGAAGATTTACTTTATGGTGAGAGTGGAAGTAAATTTAAAATGCAATCGATGGTTGATATGACATTGGCGACAAATGCTCAGCGTTCTGATTGGTGGCGACGCTTCTTGTTGCCTATCAAGCCAACTTATTGGTTGTTCCTGACACGTGACAATGGAAATTTGGAGATTTATTCAGTGCCAGACTTGAAGTTGATGTATTTGGTGACAGACATTGGCATGGGAAATAAAATTCTTGCTGATGCTATGGAATATGTTTTATTGCCACAGACGAGAGACGAAGGAGATGCCGAAGGAGAGAAAAACGAACAAAATCCATCAAGCGCTTTGACTGTTCCACAAGAAATCCTCATGATTGGTCTTGGTCACAACGGATCACGTCCTTTGTTATTTGTTCGAATGAAATCTGAAATTTTAATTTATCAGGCATTCAAATACATTCAAGGAAATCTCAAAATACGATTTCGAAAGTTGAAACATTCGATAATTTATTCGTCAATCGAGCAAAATATTAAAATGGAAAATGATAACTTTGGTGATGAAATGGAAGAATTTTCTATTAATCCACTCAACACACAAAAGCTTCGTTACTTCAACAACATTAATGGTCTTAATGGAGTTTGTGTGTGTGGCAATAGTCGATCTTACTTTGTGTTTCTAACAATGAAAGGTGAACTGCGAACACATCAGTTTAATGATGATTCTGTTGCTAGTAACAGCAGCAGCATTAAATGCTTCGCTGACTTCAACAACGTCAATTGTCCTAATGGATTTCTTTACTTCAACATCACTGACGACGATTTAAAGATTTCTGCACTACCCGAAAATATTTTGTACGATGCTCATTGTCCAATGCAAAAAGTTTCCATTCGAAGCACGCCACAGCACATCATTTATCATCGAGAAGTTAAAGTTTATGGTTTAGTGTTGAGTCACAAAGAAGTTAGCAACAAATATTTTCGATTCAATGGCGAAGACAAAGAATTGTGTGAAGACAGTCGTGGAGATCGTTTTATGTTCCCACAAATCGATAAGTTTTCGTTTGTTCTTGTGTCGCCTTCGAATTGGCAGATTGTTCCGGAAATTCAAAAGGATTTGGATGATTGGGAACATGTTTTATCGCTTAAAGTTGTGATGTTGACTTACGAAGGTGCACAATCGGGATTAAAGGAATACATTTGCATGGGAACGAACTTTAATTATAGTGAAGACATCACATCGCGTGGTAGAATTCTTCTTTTCGATCTGATTGAAGTTGTTCCGGAACCTGATAAGCCATGGACGAAATACAAGTTAAAGCAAGTTTATGCAAAAGAACAGAAAGGACCAGTTTCAGCTATCACAAGCACTATGGGATTCCTTGTGACTTCAGTGGGACAGAAAGTTTATCTATGGCAATTGAAAGACGATGACATTGTCGGTGTTGCTTTTATCGACACAAATATTTTCATCCATCAAATGGTTTCAATCAAATCTTTGATTCTCATCGCTGATGTTTATAAATCGGTGACAGTTTTAAGATTCCAAAATGAGTTTCGAACATTGTCGATGGTGTCACGAGATTACAACCCACTGATGGTTTATCAAGTTGAATTTATTGTTGACAATGCCAATTTAGCATTTTTGGCGTCTGATTCTGAATCGAATTTGTCAATTTTTATGTACCAACCGGAAGCTAGAGAATCTCATGGTGGACAAAAGTTAGTCCGACGAGCTGATTATCATCTCGGTCAGAAGGTCAATTGCATGTTTCGTGTTGCTTGCAATTTTAAACATCAAATGGATAAGAAAATTGCCGCCTATGACAACAAACACATGACATTCTTTGCAACACTTGATGGTGGGTTTGGCTTTGTTCTGCCACTTCCGGAGAAAACTTATCGTCGACTTTTCATGCTGCAAAACGTGTTATTGACACATAAAGCACATTTGGGTGGACTCAATCCTAAATCATATCGAACGATAAAACAATGGCGTCGTATTCTCACAAATCCAGCAAGAGGAATTCTTGATGGTGAATTAATCTGGCAGTATATACATTTAAACTTCTCAGAAAAGTTGGAAATTGCTAAGAAGATTGGAACAAAAGTTGAAGAAATCTATCAGGACATTTTTGAGATCGACACAGTTTCGAAAGTTTTTTAAACTAATTAAATTTCTTCTTCATTTACATAAATTGTCTTAAACTTTAAGGAAATAGAAAATAAAACGATGGGAACAAATCTTATTTGACTTCAACATAAAAGCTTTCTTATGCAACATTGAGTTGGCTGCTTAACGAAAGAAAACATTCAACATAAATTTTAACATAAACTGGCCGAAAATAAATTTCATTTAATTCAATTTCAGATGTTCATAAATGTGATTTATAAAAAACAATTTTCGATGTTTTATAATCACAATTAAAATTAAATTTACATCCATTCGCTTTGTTATTCATTTTATGAAGTGATGATGATAATAATAAAAAAGATTAAATTGCCAGGTGTTGCCAACAAAACCAAAAATTAAATGAACAATTTAATGCACAAAGGTGTACATTCGATTGAAAACATAGTGACGCTCAACTACTGCTGACCGCATCATCAATTATCGTATTTGTCACAGATTTGAACAATTAACACCCCTCACATTAAACATTGTTGCTTTTGCTTTTGCGATTAAATCTTTGCTACTTTGACTTTTACATTTCACTTTTAAAATCGAAATAATTGTCCAAACACAACGAACGATAAACGAGACCCCCGATGCCAAAGAATAACACAGTAAAGTTTTATTGAAAATTAATTTAATGCAAATCCTTTTTATTTTTCCTGCTCGAAGCGAAAATGCGAAATAAGAAGAATTCGAGAATGGGTGCGTTGTGTACTTTTTAATCCGGAACAGCTGTTCCCTTCGCTTTATTGTGTTTGCTTGACAAATTTTTATTTCGTTTTTTCTAAACTTCTAAATCAAATGATCAATTGAAGCCTTGTTTCTTTTAAGAAAAATTAAAATTCCATCTCTAAATGGTTTTTATTCGTGTCAATCTTTTAAGGATTTGGATCAAAATTAAGTCAATTCATCGAGAAACAAGTCCGTTTGATGTTTGGCTAAAATAAAATATCAGGAGGGTATATTGAAAAGGTTTACTCAGGTTCCTGCAAATATGCTCGTCACGAGGATTTCTTTAATTGTTGACAAATGTTCATATATTTACAATTTATTTAATCGTTCAACGATTCATAATACTGAAGTCGACTTCAATGTTCAATGAAAACTCTCAAAGAAGTAATTTAATATTTCTTATGTAATTTTTCTCCCCTTGGTATCCCCCAAATGGTATTTTTCAAATTTCCCCTTGTATCCCCTAGTTGTTCAGTTTTTTTGAATTTTCTCTCACATGTTGATTTTTTTCATTGTGTGCGTTGATGTTTTCATACGCATGCATGTTTGTTACACAAGTTTCAATGTTTCAGAGTAAATCCAACCGAAACATTCTCTCTTATGCTTCATTGTTTCACTGTAAGGGGCAGATCATGGTAGGAGAGTTTTATGTTGATGATTTTGTTTATGTTGATGCCGTCTTCAGTAAGAGTTTGAATTTCGAATAAGAAAGAAGTGAAATTTTCGTTCTCGGTTTAAATAACAAAAAACATTNGTATATTGAAAAGGTTTACTCAGGTTCCTGCAAATATGCTCGTCACGAGGATTTCTTTAATTGTTGACAAATGTTCATATATTTACAATGCTAAAATCGTTCAACGATTCAAATAATACTGAAGTCGACTTCAATGAAAACTCTCAAAGAAGTATTTAATATTTCTTATGTAATTTTTCTCCCCTTGGTATCCCCCAAATGGTATTTTTCAAATTTCCCCTTGTTGTTCAGTTTTTTTGTGAAAACATTGAAGAAATGCTCCAAGTCCTGTTTTCAAGGCAAATTTCCATTTGTTTGGTTTAAAATAAAGCTAAATTAGCTATCTGTGTACTCAGTTGGTGTACGACTCCCTTTAAATTTTAAAAAATTAGCTATTTTAAAAATATCAATGTTTTGTGAAACTGAGCAACCAATGTATTTATTTACACATTTCATCATTGTGTGCGTTGATGTTTTCATACTTGCATGCAAGTTTGTTACACAAGTTTCAATGTTTCAGAGTAAATCCAACCGAAACATTCTCTCTTATGCTTCATTGTTTCACTGTAAACATTGGACCAAGGGGGAAATCATCGTAGTGCTTCTTGCCCGCTGCCTCCAAGTGATGCTTCGAAAATCACTAGTGCTTTTCAAGAAAAATGGCCTTTTTCCAAGAATTTGTTTACTTTTTCTTGGAATTTGTCTAGTGCTTCAATGCAGCAATAGTGCTTTTGCCCTCCAATTTTTTCCGATGATTTACCCCTTGCATTGGACAACAACGAGGAGAGTTTATGTTGATGCCGTCTTCAGTAAGAGTTTGAATTTCGAATAAGAAAGAAGTGAAATTTTCGTTCTCGGTTTAAATAACAAAAAACATTAATGTTTCAATTAAATAAAGGATTTCAACCAATAACAGTGAAGTGAAAAAGAAGGGAAAGATATTCTCAGTTTAAAATAATTTTTACAAAGTGAAGGTTTTGTGAATGTATCAAGAAATAATTTGTGTCGATAAAAATATCAGAAAATAAATAAAAAAATATAGAAAGAAAAGAATAATTAAAAATTAAAATTCTTGGAAATAAAATAAATTAAAAATTAAAGTAAACAACCTGAGACATTTCCCTTGAGCTGGATTCAACATTAAAGCGGTAAAGTGCGAGTGCTTTAATTATTCAAGTGAAAAAGAAGAGGAATTTATATCTCCGAGGATTAAACATAAGCTTTGCTCCAACTTCGTACTCGCTTTGTTTGAAATAGGATATACGCTTTATTGGATTTATACTTTTTTCTTATCCTGTCAATTGCCGGTGAGTTGAAACAAATTGCGATTTCTTGGATTGGGAAAAAGGGAAAAGTTGTCATAGGCAGCAGAACTTCATAATAATAAATTGAAAATTGACAAAAGTGCGGAAACGAAAGGTCAGAGTTGACTGGCTGTTCGAGTATTGTTAGTGTCACATTAAGTAGTTTCCCTTCATTCATTGCCTGTAAATTGGAGTTCCCTTATATGTAATAAAAAGAGAAAATTTTCCGTTCTCAAGTGCCAATCAAGATGCTGGATTTAAATCCATGTCATTTTCAAGTGTTTGAACGTTATTGAATGGACTTTTTTAGTTTTCTTTTATTTTTTTGAGAAATTTCTGTGACGTCTAATGATAATATCAGAATTTTGTTTTTATATCAACTCAAAATCTCAATGGAATTGACAAAAATGTCCCAATTCCACAGTGATGAATTTAATCCAAAATGATATCATCATCATTGTCGCTTATGACAAACACGAAAATTGTGATTTCAATTGATTCCAACTACTCATCTGTTCTTGACTTTTATGGGTGATGTCCCAAGAGCAATCATGAAATATTTTATCTTGTCTTTGATTACATAAATTGAAGATGATGAGAAAATATTTGTCATCTCTTCTCTCAAAAATTCCTTTCGCGAAGATTTATGAAATTTTCTCTTGAAACCATAGAATAATATTTGCGTGGCTTAAAATTCTTCTGTCTAAAATAAAATAATAAAATATTTTTGTTTTCTTTGAAATTTGTCACGAACGTATAAAATTCCTCACTGATTTAAAAGTCATGGATTTAATTAATTTGAATTAATCATAAAGTTTTTTTGCTGTTTTTGTCCCCAGCTTGAAACCATTAAAATTGAAAAAGTTCACGCTATTGTCGTCGAGTGATTACCTAAAAGTATTTCTTTAAATTCAATTTCTTGCGTCTTTGAACAGGGGTAAAAGTTAATTAATTATTACTTTTCGAGAAAAATCAATTTTCTTTAATAATATACAATTTCCTAGTAATTCATGTGACTTAAGGAATGTCATTGAAAATTTTTAATATCTCAACCCTCGTTATAAAAACGCAAATCACATGGAAAAGGGGATAAAATGAGTGGGGGAATGAGAAATCCTTTAACCACATGCGTTATGAATAAATAACAAGTGTCCCGTTTCTTTGCCATGCACGCAGCAGTTAACTCCTCACATAAACTCACATAAAAAAGCTTTGAAATGAAAAAGTGAAACACACAATTTAATTAAATATTATTGTCATTATTGCTGTTATATCGCCTTGCTTATTGATTTTCTACACGAAACATTTCTTTCTTTTTTTTGTCGCCTTTACGGAAAATAACTTTGATGAGTTTGTGACTACGCGGGGATTTTGCTTTAACTTTGCTTCTTATAACATTCGACACCCCCGCTTCGCTGGTATATCTTCTTACACAAAGTTTCTTTTTTCGGGGATCGTTGGCTGTTATTGTTGTTATATTTTGACATTTTTCCTTCCTCTCGCTTTCTTACTTTATAATAAAATAATCATGAAAATAATGATATCGACATTTCTTATGCTTTATGTTGCGACGAAGCATAAAAATATTATAATGTATGTGCGTTGTGATTTGCCCAATGTTGATGTACATAATGATGGAAAAATTACAGTCTGAGAAAGAAATTTGAAGAAAACAGAATTCCAAGCAACTGGAAGGATTTGCCGGGGGGAAGTTGGTGGAAAACATTTCTATTTTATTTCTTTTTATTCATTCCCCCAATTCTAATGCCGGCAAAAAGAAATAAATAAAAAGAAATCTTTCCGGAGTGGCTTTAATAAAAATGTAAAATTATTTTTCGTAGAAAGAAATCATACGGCATTGACACATCAAAACAGGAAGAAAACTGAAAACTTTCTTTCGAGGGTAAAATGGATGATGCTAAAAAAATTGAAATTCATGCAGAAAATGATGGGGATTAAAGACGAGAAGGGAGCAATTTGCGCAATTCTAAACGAAGGATTTAAAAGCAATGATAATTTTGAATGTTGAACTTTTGTGTGAAGTTTCTTATCAACTGAGTCATGGTTGTTGTTTGTTGAAGTTCTCGACAATTTCTCCCGACTTTCTTTTTCGCTGTTGCTAATATTCGTCGTTATGCAAGGAAAGTGTTTTGTTCATTCTATGAAGTGAGTGCTTTATGCTTATCTTTAGTGTGACAGCACCATAGTGAAGCAAGAAGATATACGATATTACGAAGGCCTTTTGTCCGAATTCCGGAACACACAACAAGACAAATATCCATTAGCAAGTAATTATTTTATGACCGTTTGCTGTTAGGTAAAGTTAGATGGCGAAGGTGAACGAGAGAAAATTAAAGATAAAAAACTATCCGAGTTGAATAGAACGAAATGCTTTAGGAAAAACATAATATTTAATGGCTGAATCATAAAAACCTCAAAGTATTGACGATCATCCTATCAAAAGTCAAACAGAAGCTTAAAAATGAATTCTCATCATGCTGTAGTGAAATTTCTGTTTTTGTAGAAGCCTTCATTGTTATGCTTGCGGTTATTTTTTTTTGTTCAAGTCACTACACTCCATCAACCAATGATTGTCGGCTTTAAGTTTATTGTTTCACTGTCCGAACGATTCGATGTCAAATCGTCGATAAATGGTGATTATTTACAGTTTGTTATGTCCCATGCTTCTCTCTCCTTTTATTGTCACCGGCGGCACATCATGAAGTGCAAATTTCTTTTTATATTCAAAGCGATGAGAACGATTCAGGTGACTTCACTAAATTTCCATTGATAGGATTTTATTGCTTTTTTTCGGGTGCTTATAAAACGAGAAAACACGGGAAATTTTTCGGTCACAATTGGGACAACACGTTAAAGTTGAGTATTAAAATAGTTTTATATAAAATGGTTATTTCTTGGTCTATTAAATGTCATCACCTCATGCTTTTGCTTCGCCCTCCTGGAGTTCGCATTGAAACGCTATTGCGGTGAAATACAACAATGTGATGCCTAACGATTTCTTCATCGAGAAAACTCATATAAAGCTAAATAAGAAAGTCTTCGCGTTTGCTTTTGTTTTCCAAACACAAAACTTTTCTGATGAATCAGCTACATGGTGCAAATTTATGAGCTGAAAGGAAATTTATGCGACGATAGCAAGGCAACAACAATAATCTATCCATTAAGATAATCACGAAAATTGCGGACGAAGAGACGAGACCTTTTGTGTTGGAATGAAGCATGGCTGGTTTATGCCATTCTCCATTAATCTCAAAACATTTCGATTTTTTTTTCATACACTTCATCTGCAGAGGCTTTTTTGCCTTCAACTTGCAAATTAAATTTAGTAAAATGTTTAAGTAATTTTTTTTGCTTGCTTACTCCTCACATCAATCGATAAAGATGTTCAAATGTTGTGGTGACGCTTGTGGTTAATTCAAATGTTAGATAATTAATCTTTCTTGATATGGACATGCAATGCTAGTTTTTTTTTCTCTCCTTCACGTATAACATCACTCAATATTGTGAAGCACTTTATTAAATTGAACATAATTATATAAAATATTATTTTATAATTTAAAAGAAGATGAAAGAGAGAAGAAGAAAGAAAAATCACGATGCGTGTTAAGAGGTCACAGTAAATGTTCCCCGAAATTCGAACTGTTTTAAGTCTTCTTTCTCTTCTCCGCTATGCTCTTAGGTTACAAAGAAAAAATAAAACAACTCAAGTGATATAAGGAAAATAACAAGAAAAAAAGCTTTTATGGATCTTTATGCGATGTTGTTATGTTTTTCGTTTACAATCAAGCAATAATAAGATGAAAAAATCAGAACATAAAAAAACGACACACAAAAAATATTGAATTTCAATAAAAAAGTAAAGAAAGAATATAAGAAACATCGCACTCTGCTGACTGGAGAATGATTTGGGAAAAAAAGAATTCATGCCTTGTAAAGGTTTGATCAGCTCGTTTTATTGCTAATCAATTGCCATCGGACCGCATACCTCTCACCCAACTTGATTGCGAGCGATGTCTTCAACATATCGAACGATTTTCATGTTCATTAATTTTATATCGACGGGCAAGCAAACGAAAAAAAATAAATAAAACAGCTATGGATAGACAGAGAGAAGAAATACGTTCTGGTTGCTGTTGTTTCTTATTTATTTTATTCATTTTCTATCTCTTGATGAGTTGTCTCCTCAACCACGACGCTGCAATGTTACTCAACGATATGAGACGTGTGAACAATAACAATGGCAATGCAGTCAATTTAATTTCTATATTCGACGAGAGAATGATTAATTTATTCTTTCTGTAACCTTTTTGTGAACTTGTCAGGATCGAGGGAACAACTGAAAGAAGAATAAAAGAAGAATATAAAATTTATTTATTTATTTTTTATTATCAAATTCTTGTTTGTTGAAAATCGAAATAAAGCTTCAATTGAATGTGGTTCAAGTTTTTCTTTTTCCGCAGTTGACGTTTTTAACCGAAGAAGAAACTCGAGAAGAGTTTGAATTTGATATTCAAAGTAAGATTGCATAAGTTTGCTGTTTTTCTCGCGAAATCCATGATCAGCATTGTGGTCATGGTAGGGAGAAAAATGTCATTTCCTCGAAATGTAATTCGAGAATCGAGGATTTCTCTTTATTTCACTTCGCACAAAAGATTAATTAAATGAAGGCGAGAAAAGCGAATAATGCTGGTGACAATCAATCAGCTCGTTCAGCTATAAAAACGTTTGTTCACGGATAAAAAACTTCCTTTCCTGTTTGACATCAGCATCTTGATGCACATTTCTTCTCGTGTACGACTAACATACAACACAATTCATTTGAAAAGCGTGAAACTCATAAATCTTTTTCTCAGATTATTTAACAGACTGAACGAATGACGAAAAGGGAATTTCTTTCAATTTTTTCTTGGTTTTAGAGTAACCAAAGGAAAGAGAAGAATCTTTAAGAAAGAAGAATGAGACACGAAGTCGGGACGTATTTAAAGTTAAACTTTTTTATTCAAGTCATAAAAGCCTCGATCTTTGCACGTTTCAAGATTCGAAATCCTTGTCAATGTCTTGATGGTGTCGCAAACACTTAATTTGAAACCTCAAAGCGTCCCTGTCATGACTCCATTTCTTAAAAAAGAAACGAAAAAGCCTTGCGAGAACCTCGAAACTGATAAAATATAAAAAACATTAAATTTCGCTTGCACGAAAAACTTTTCCTTTTTATTAGGTTTTCGGATCTTACTTCGATATTCATTAATTTAATTTCGGAATCAGTACGAATAAATACATAAGACGAATCCAATTTGATTAAACGAGGAGAACTGAGACGATTAAAATAAAAGAAGAATTATGTTACAGTAGATGGAATCTCACTAAAAAAATTTTAAGCACGTCTTTAAGACATTCAGGAAATTAGTAAAAGCCGTTAAAGCTGTCTGATCAAGAAATTTATTGCACGATAGTCTATTTATTGAAGGTTTCATCTCATAAAACTGAATTTATGATCTAGCAAACTGATAAATATTCTCTTTTTATCAAGAAAAATGAAAATTGTGTGTTTTCGCAAAATTTATAGAAGCTTCTTTTTCTTATCATTCAAATGAAAATAAATCTTTTATTTAAGCTAAACATTAACATGATGAAAAGTTATTTCAAATGTTTTTCTTTGAAGCTATGAAGAGACGAGAGAAATTCTGTGAATATTGATCAAGTCATAGAGTAAAAGTGACTCAATTCTTCTTAATTATACTGAACTTAAGATAAATAAAGAAGAGTTTTCTTTATTAATTTAATAATGAGATTCTTACCACTATAATTTCAAACATTAATGTGTCCGCAGAGCCATTAATTCCAAAAGGAAACTAAGAAGAATTTGTTAGTTGAGACAAATTGCCAACATCATAAAATCCCATTAATAAATGCAACAAACACATAAATTTCGCTTGAAATTCATGATAACTTAGCGCGAAAATATATTTTCCCTCAAGGCTTAAAGATTTTTGTGCAACAAGAAAACATCGAACGTCAAAACAAATCCATAAACTTCTATCTCCACCTCATTCGGTTTTTCTGTACACGAATTCTTTTTACGCTGAAATTATAAATTTCATCGCGAATTCGCGACGAAGAAGACGACGATCTCAATCTGGATGAAAATGTAGAAAAAAATTTACGATTCACGATTTTATACTTTTTTTGCTTTCTGCAAAACAGAGTTTCTGTGAGAAAACAAAAATGACGATTGAATATTGATTTCTTTACATTTTCCTTCACTTCAAATTCATCACGAAGCATCGTCGTTGGTTCAACCATTAATTTTGATAGATTTTATGTTACCAGCCAGTCGCATGAAGAAGGGAAAGAATTTTCATGAGGCTCATTTTCCATGACCTCATATTTTATACCTTGTAACAATCGCTTGGCATTTACAATTTAATTTATTACATTAAGCATAATTATGATTTCTTTCATGCCTCGTTTTCCATTCTCCAGTCCTCATCTATAGTCAAAGCATAGCGTAAAGACAGCGAACAACGCACCTTACACAATAACAATCAATTTCCCACTTGCATCGTTGAGTTTTGCGCGCAAGTCTAGGCGGGTTCATAAGCTTTGTGCTCGTTCGTAATGGAAACTTACTCAGATATTCCTGTACAATCCCGGTGAACATACAATTAATAATGGCTCATAATTCATGTTGAGGAAAATATGTAAAAGAAACCATAAAGTAATTTTTTCCTTACTTATTAAAAATGAAAAGTGAGTGGAACATTTCGCACATTACAGAACGCATACCAATTAAATGCTTAGTTATCTCATATTAGTTTAACAATAAATACGATTTAAAACTCTCAGTGAATCATAGCGTGTGGTCTAATTCATGCTCCGTTTACCAGAGAAAATTAATGAAAAGTAAACGTGCAATCGAATATGTAAATTAGCAACTACAACCAATCGATGTAATCTACGCTAATGCTCAGAGTTTAAACGCCAATTTTACACACTATCAAATTTTATGTCAAGAAAAATCACCTGCAATTTTAATGCTGAGTGAAACACATATCAAAGATTTTTTCTCTGCTGAATTATCCATCGAAGGTTATAAACATATCAGTTGTGATTCTGACAGCAAGCATACAGGCGGTGTAATAATGTATGTTAGAGACGATTTATGCTTCAATGTAGTAAAAAAATATCAAAAAAGTAGGACGTGGATTCTAGCTGTAAAAATATCTGATAGCCTAATAAATGGACTTTATACGATAATTTACAAATCACCAAAAGAAAAAATATGCGACTTTTTATCAATAATTGACGAATTTATGGAAGAATGTATAGATGACGACGTCCTAAACGTTATTGTTGGAGATATGAACATTGATGTAAGCAAATCGAGTAAAAATACAAAAAAATATTTATCAACCATACAAGACCACAATTTAAAACAAATTGTAGACGACTTTACGAGGGTGCAGATACGAAGAAAAAGAAATCAAGAAGAAAAAGTATCTAAATCAATTATTGATCACATATTGACAAACAACGATAATATTTCATGTGCTGTGAATAAAACTAATCTGGTGTCAGATCATTTCATGCTAGAGTTAAAAATAAATAACAGAAAAATATCAGTGAAAAAACAGCAAGAAAAAATTTTAAAAAATTGCTGGAAAAAATACTCCAAGAAAAATTTAAATGAAAGATTGAAAGAAATTGATTGGGAACATGGAAGCGAACTGAATTATGACGACAACGTTGAGTCAACGATTAAGAACCTAAAAAATAGTGTAAATAAATTAGTTGTGCAAAAATCTAAATTCAAAAACAAAAATGAGTGGTTTAATGAAAAGATAAAAAAGTTGAAAGAAGAAAAAAAAATTATGATGATGAAATATGAGTTCTCCAAAAATATGAACGATAAAAAGTGCTTGATGAAATCTGTAAAAAAATATAAAGAAGCCATTAAAGAAGAAAAATGCAAAGATATACAAAACAAAATAAATAATAACAAAAGTGATCCAAAAAAATTATGGAAAATATTAAAATCTATGTACAGTGAAAAGAAGAGTGAAATAAAAGTTATACAAATCGACGGTGCGCTCGTAAATGAATCATCGGAAATAGCAGAGAGCCTTAATAAATTCTTCATTGAGAGTGTTGAAAAAATTGTTGAAAAGATTCCTAAATCAAAAAAAAATAATTACATTGAAAACATAAACATAAATGAATGCAAATTTTCGATAAGAACAATTGATGAAGAAGAGCTTTGTAACATCTTAAAAATATTAAAGGACAAGAGTTATTGTGATAATTTAAATGGGAAAGTTTTAATCGATGCTATTTCCAATGATTCATTCGCCACCAAGTTGCTCAATATAGTGAACGAGTCAGTGACATCTGGAGTAGTTCCAAGATGTCTTAAAACGTCAACTGTAACGCCAATCCCGAAAATAACAAATGCCAGCGCACCAGAAGATTTCCGCCCCATAAACAACCTTCCAGTTAGATCGGAAGAGCGTCGTGTAGGGNCACAAGTCCCGCTATGATTTTCCAATTGGTTTAATTAATTTTTAATTGAATACTTCACTGCTTTTTGTCTGATGAAAGAAGATTTAGAGAATAATTTCACTTGCACAGAAAGCAAAAACGATACTCATTATGACACGGCACGCTCGTATCTGCCGACAGTTTTTGAGACTTTCCGTTGCTGCTTCCCCGCTGGCGAGGATTTCGTTCGAGTCAAGACTATGATAAAACATTCGGATAAAATGCTCGTTCTGTTGAGAATTCATTCAATATTCTTTATTGCGCACGCCCGAAATGGCAGACTCGAAATATTTTAAGACTAGTCGAAAACCTTTTCCATTCTTCTAGGACGATAAACGATTTTCTTTATTTCATTCTACTTCCATCTACATACTCAGATGTTCTTCACTTTGTTTCCTTTCATTTGCTTCTGCAACATCTTTTTTTTTCATGCAGCACCTGATTCACAAAGGGAAGAAAAGGAACATAAAATGACACAAAAAAAGAAGTCACACATTTTAAAATAGGCTAGAATAACATTCGGGATTATGTGGAGAAAATATTTATAAAGCTATTTCCATTTGCTTTTCCTTTTTTTCTTATTTTCTTGGCATCAAGTGTGAGTACAATCACATATATTTATATAGCTTTAGACTAAAGGATGAAGCATCGGAGCGAAATGAAATGTGCAATTATGAGGCTTTTGGTGCTGAAAGCCGTCATAAGTGCGATTATTTTTTTATCTTTTTCCATCATTGATGGGGGATTTATTTGAATGAACAAGGCGACAGAATATGTTACTCCAATACAGTAGTTCCAAGATGTCTTAAAACGTCAACTGTAACGCCAATCCCGAAAATAACAAATGCCAGCGCACCAGAAGATTTCCGCCCCATAAACAACCTTCCAGTTATCGAAAAGATAATTGAAACTGTTGTTAATGATCAACTGCGACAATATTTAGAAGACAACAACATCTTATGCGTGCAACAATCTGGTTTTCGGCCAGGTCATTCGACAGAAACAGCTGTAAACGATATCTTAGCATATTGGATGGAAGAAGTTGAAGAGAACAACGAAATTGTTTCTGTCTTTCTTGATTTCAAGAGGGCATTTGAGACAATTGATCGCGAAATATTATTTGAAAAGATGATGAGATATGGATTCGACGAAACTGCTTTAAAATGGTTTAAGAGCTACCTCAACGAGCGAAGACAAGTAACAAACATCAACGGAGTGTATTCACCAGAAAAACAGGTGAATGTTGGGCTTCCACAAGGTTCAAAATTATCAAACTTGCTTTTCATATTGTACATCAACGATCTACCGAAGATAATCAATGAAGCGAAAATAAGTATTTATGCTGACGACACGATGCTATCAATTTCGAGAAAAACAGTAGAAGAAGCAGTGACTGAAATAAACAAAGAGCTTGAAAATGTATCTGATTGGTTAAAATTCAATCGACTAGCTGTGAACGTGAAGAAAACTCAATGTATGATAACTAGCAAAAAAAGAAATGAAGAAGCAGTTGTGAAAATCGATGACCAAAAAGTTGAAACAACGACGAAAGTGAAATATTTGGGAGTTATGTTGGACAACCAGTTATCAATGCGGCAGCACCACGAGTATGTAATGAAGAAGATGAAGAAAAAGCTGGGATTACTGAGAAGAATTCAAAATAAAATGACTCAAGAAAGCAAACTAACGTTCCTGAAGTCTCTGGTAATGCCTCATATCGACTACTGCTCGACGATCCTATTCACGATGGACACAAATCGAATCAAAGAATTCCAGAAAATTCAAAATAAATATATGAGAATAATCCTAAAAGCTAAATATGACACAAGCTCGAAATTAATGTTAGAAAGATTAAAGTTACAAAATGTTAGTGAGAGAATAAATTTAAACACGATAAAGTTTATATATAAGTTAGATAGAGGCCAATTGCCAAAGTATTTCGATAATAGATTGAAGACTAGAAACGATGAACATCAAAGATCATTAAGAAATAACTCCGATTATTCAATTCCAAATTTTAAGAAAGCCATAACCCAGAACTCTCTCTTCTATAAGGGTTTAAAAACATTCAATGAATTTAAAAAATCTTTTGTTAAATCGAGTCAAAGTTTTAAAATGTTTGTAAACGAATATGTAAAAAACATAAATCAATGAAAAACGAAACCAATTGATATTGGTAAATAAAACACTACATTACATTATTACATAAACTCGTCTGGGAGTAAAAGTAAAAGCTCTTAATCCTGGTGGAAGAATATGCAATTTCAGGGGGTCAATCGATTGTGCGTTGGAAATTTCCGTTATTTCCGAAAGTATGGCGCAACGATTAAATTTAAAGACCTCAAATTCAGAAGTAGACTTTGTTGTAATTACAGGTTTTGCAAACCACAAAATCAGTTCTGAGTGCCAACAGAACATTGTAAACAGTGAAATTGTTCAGACGGCCAAATGAAAATTTCCATAAGCCGTCTGAGGGTGACGAATAGGCCAGACAAGGAATGAGTCAAATGATCCCTCTTCCTGATTTCTCCGAATCTTCATCACCAGCAGCTCCATAAAACCCTTGAGCCATAAAACTTCTGTTATGACTCAACGGTTTTTTCTTAACAATCTCAGACTAATTATGACCGAGGTCTGGAAGATAAGGGATGAGGTTCGATAATCCTCATTTCTGTCTTCTCTGAACATTAGTCATTAATTCATAAAATCCCTTTTTCCAAGAATTCCTAATTATGGAATTTTCCCGAGACCAAGAAGCCCTGATTGGCTTTCAAGTCTCTGAGGCTCTCTCACAGAACCAAGTCCTCTCATTTCCTTCCCCCTCTCCATTTCATTCTTTTCCTATTTAAATTAAGGTTTCAAGGTTTCAACATTATAAGTTCAGTTTCAATTTAAAACTCCAAGAATAAAATTATTAGAAAAGAAAAATTATTTCAAGTGTTTTAATATCTTCTTGAAGCTATTAAGCTTCAACAAAGTGGCGATCCAACCAGAATGATGGAAAAATAGAACGAATAGTGGAAAAAATAAGAGGAATAGTGAAAATAAAAAACAAACTGAAAGTTCTTCGCTTCTTAGCTAAGAACTGTGTGAAAAAAAATTTTAAAAGTTAGCTTATCAGTTAACNTGAAAAGTTATTTCAAATGTTTTTCTTTGAAGCTATGAAGAGACGAGAGAAATTCTGTGAATATTGATCAAGTCATAGAGTAAAAGTGACTCAATTCTTCTTAATTATACTGAACTTAAGATAAATAAAGAAGAGTTTTCTTTATTAATTTAATAATGAGATTCTTACCACTATAATTTCAAACATTAATGTGTCCGCAGAGCCATTAATTCCAAAAGGAAACTAAGAAGAATTTGTTAGTTGAGACAAATTGCCAACATCATAAAATCCCATTAATAAATGCAACAAACACATAAATTTCGCTTGAAATTCATGATAACTTAGCGCGAAAATATATTTTCCCTCAAGGCTTAAAGATTTTTGTGCAACAAGAAAACATCGAACGTCAAAACAAATCCATAAACTTCTATCTCCACCTCATTCGGTTTTTCTGTACACGAATTCTTTTTACGCTGAAATTATAAATTTCATCGCGAATTCGCGACGAAGAAGACGACGATCTCAATCTGGATGAAAATGTAGAAAAAAATTTACGATTCACGATTTTATACTTTTTTTGCTTTCTGCAAAACAGAGTTTCTGTGAGAAAACAAAAATGACGATTGAATATTGATTTCTTTACATTTTCCTTCACTTCAAATTCATCACGAAGCATCGTCGTTGGTTCAACCATTAATTTTGATAGATTTTATGTTACCAGCCAGTCGCATGAAGAAGGGAAAGAATTTTCATGAGGCTCATTTTCCATGACCTCATATTTTATACCTTGTAACAATCGCTTGGCATTTACAATTTAATTTATTACATTAAGCATAATTATGATTTCTTTCATGCCTCGTTTTCCATTCTCCAGTCCTCATCTATAGTCAAAGCATAGCGTAAAGACAGCGAACAACGCACCTTACACAATAACAATCAATTTCCCACTTGCATCGTTGAGTTTTGCGCGCAAGTCTAGGCGGGTTCATAAGCTTTGTGCTCGTTCGTAATGGAAACTTACTCAGATATTCCTGTACAATCCCGGTGAACATACAATTAATAATGGCTCATAATTCATGTTGAGGAAAATATGTAAAAGAAACCATAAAGTAATTTTTTCCTTACTTATTAAAAATGAAAAGTGAGTGGAACATTTCGCACATTACAGAACGCATACCAATTAAATGCTTAGTTATCTCATATCTATGTCATTTGCGACATCACATCACATTTTGATGTTTCATAAAATTATTTTCTCTTTGACTTCTTCTTAAAAGTTATGTTGCAATTTTATGTGTCAGAAAGTTATTAATATAAAACGATGGAAGAGAGAAAAAAAAATAATAAAATTGCAATTACAAGAACTTTCGCAACCTCATTGCTTTATGTTTATTACACTCTTCACTAGAGATATCATAAGTTGTGATTGCAGGAAGCAAAAAGGTTTGCTAATCATTTAAGAAATAGATTCTGATTTTGAATTGAATTGTGCAATTTAATTTATCATCATGCAAACTTATTATGACTTCTTGAAGCTTTGCTTTTCTTTTTGAAGAATGCAGAAATTCTCTTTGATTGAACAGACTTGAGTTTCTTTCATTAATTTAAATAGCTGAATGAATTTATGCGGATTTATACTACAAACGCTACTGCAATATATGAAAACTGTTGAGCATAAAAGAATAATCCAAATGCAGGTTTTACATTTAGCACTAATTGTAAATGTTCCGGATCATGTGAATGATAGATCGCTTTGAAAGAAGTTAAAGGAAATGACTGAATGCATAAAGCCACTTAAAAAATTCAAAATGTTAATTGCTTTATGGAACTGGTTTGAGACTTCAATCTTGACTTCCACTTCTGATTCAATTTTATTCACTTTTTAACAGTTGCATGCATTTATTTTTATCTTTTTGCTTTATGTTTGAATGCTGAAGTTTTGATATATTTTGTGGCTAGATATCTGACAAAATTCCGGTGACCGAAAATAAAATTCTTCTCACTGAAAAAACCTTTCGTTTGCCTTTTTTCCAACCACAAAAATCCATGAAAATGTTACAAAACTATGATTGAATTATGATGGAAAATCACTAAACTTCCGTTCCAACATTTCCGACGTGGAAAAACTTTTCAATTTTGATTCTCATGGAAGCATTCAGACAGTTATTGAATTATGACGTTGTGTTCATTTCGTACCGTGCTAATGATTTAATCAGATTCAAATTCAAAGTTTTACGAAAATCTGGTAAATTTCCCGCTCAATGAATTTTCTATTTTAAGCATTTCCGAAGCGATTGATCAGAAAATTGACAGAAGGCAATCGTAAAAGGGGATTTTCTCTTAATTTATTTATTCTTCCAGTTGTTTTGTTTCAATTTCATGCCCACGACAATCGTGCTCGATTGTTTGTCAATTAAGATGAAATCGATTGGAAATCATTTGAAGGAACGAAACAGTAGACAAGCAGAAGATGAAACTGTCTGGATAAAGAAATGGAAGTGTTGGAATGCTTAACGTCATGCTTGTCCCATTGAAAGTATGCTCAAGTCATTTTGCTATTGTTTCTCGTATAATTTTATCAGCTAACAGAACCCCAAAAGAAATACTAATTAGATGGGATAACGATAAGAATCTGTATTAAGGAATATTATGTCGACTTGGAAACGAGAGGAAGGGGGGACGAGAGAAAACAAGAGAACGAAAAAGCAATTAGATGAAACTGATGTTCTAGAAAGAAGGAATATCTGAAAGATAAATTTGCGGTTATTTATTTTCCACAAAATCTTAAAAGACGCTTTTGTAGTGTCCTTATCCTTTATGGTAAAAGTTTCTTTTGATCCTCTCCCGATAAAATTGCTTACACACTTCTTCGCACATTCCGACGTTTAAGTAAGATAGAAATCCTGAGTGGAATCTCGATTGTTTCCTTTCGTGACTTTTCTCCTTCTTCGAAACACAAGCAACGTCCACTTAAACTTTTATTTTTCAATTCCAACCAACGCCTAATCCTTGTAATTATCCTTTTCATGTTATGAAGAGAATACAGAAAAAGGAGCTCAAAATTCTTCTCCGCTTTATAAGAAAGAAACTTATTCTTGCTTAATGTTGTTTCCCTTTTCTTTCTTTTTTTTGTATCAGATTTCAACCCTCATTGACTTTGACTTTCAAGTGGTCAAAGAGTTGTAACATTTCATCTCTTTTTCTTTTCTCCTTCAACAAATTTGATTTCTTTTGTTGATGAAACATTAAGAAGGAAAAAACGACGCAGAAATACTGAAAAAGAACATAGAAATGGCCAAGTTTCACAAAGATTTTTCTTTTGTGATGTTCAAAGTTGAAAAATTTTATGCTTCATAAACACAATTAATTTTTCTCTCTCTCTCTTTTTCTCTTTAAATAAAGTTTTAAAAATATGCCTTCTTAGAGCTCTAGGGATTCTTTCTTTTCATCATTTTAAAAAATAAGAAGGAAAAAAGGCAATTGTGTAGGATTTTTTGAAGCGCCCATCACAAGAGGCTCGTTTCGTTTCATTAGAAACCTTACACAAAAGAAACAGAAAATTATGGCCCATGCACCATATTTCTTATTTATCGTTGCACGGTCCGAATCGGTATAAAAGTTGCAGAATAAAAGTCGAACACAATGAAGCGAGTGTCTAGTCTGCAGACTTCATATGATTTCAATAAGTAAAATTCTCCTTGTTGGATGATTAAATCATCCTTTTTATGTGTTGGTTGGAGGCTTCTTTTCTTTAGTTGAAGCAAATTCTTCATAATGCATTGTAAAGATGTTTCTGAGCACAATTTGTGACATGTGACGAAGGTTGTAAAAGGCGCTTTAGTTATAGAAATAATTATCATTAAAAATTATCTAAACATACAATGCCTAAGTTATTCAATGGATTGTCTCATGAAAACATGTACATTAAAAGAACATTAAGTGCAACATAATTATTGACCATTTCTGTGCTCCATTAATGGAATGTTCAACGATGTATGAGAAAGTCAAGAAGCGTATGCTTGCTTTTAAGAAGAATTTGAAGAAACGAAAAGCAAAAGAAGCTCTGTCATGTGGAAAATAATCGATTTCTCTGACTGACTTTGACCAAAAATTACACGAACATAAAAAGGGAAAATATTTAGAATAAATATATTCGGGGAGACGTTTCGACATCGTCTCACAAAACTCCTTAGCCCATAAACATAAACATGTTTTTATGATTCATTTCTAAGTCATTCAACATGCCCATTTATTGTCGTTCTCTTATACATCCTGTTAAGAAATCATTTCTAAATCAATGTAAGACAAGTTTTTATCCTTTAATTCTAATAATGTTTTTCAAAGTCATTAGGTTTGTGTTTCTTTCAATTCTTTTCTTTCTTTTCTCTCCTGTCTATCCATCCATCCATTTCATATGATAATTTATGCTCACAAATTAAATATTTTGTGTGTTGTCATTTTTCTGTTCTTCATTTCTCAAGTCACGGTGTGGATACAAAACAACTCATCTTATTTTATTTCTGTTGTCAAATTAAAGACTTTTAATTTCATCAAAGTATCCACGTGAAAGTATAAAACTTTTTTCTTCTTCTTTTCTTAATGACGCTTTTTTGTAATTAATGAGATGTTTCTTTCTTTCTACTTAATGAGACGACAAATCAAGTTCGGACGACTTCTTTTTATAAATTAAATTTCCCAAGCGGACTCAGATGTGCTTTTTTTAAAGGAATGAGATAATTGTGTTTGCGTTATTATGACTTAAAAATTCATAACTTCGTTTATAGTTTTACGATTCCAAAAATAATATTTTGATGTTTTATTACTTGACAGAGAAGATTTTTTATTTTATGTTGCTCACTAAATATAAGCTTGAGCAAACATCATAAACTAATAAGGTTTTAAACTATCCTATTTTAAATCCTTCAAAGATTCATTTTTTCATTGTTTGAAGTTTTGCTATCATCCAGAAATTCCCAACAATGTTTTAAACATAAATCCATAATGTTTTCTTTTTCAAGGCAAACTGCTTGCCATTCTCGAATATATAAAGCAAAGTTTTATGATTTTTTCAGCTTTATAGCAATTTATGTTATTGGCAATAATGTATTATTGGGAAATTTCTTTTACGTCTGTTGCTGCTAAGAAAAAATACTGATTTTATATGAAACAAGGGAAAGAAGCAAACTTCAACGATGCTTTCATTCATTTACGATTATGTGTCGCAATAATAATTCTTGATGTATAAACTTTCGCTTAACAGTGATAACAATCAAAACTGACGCGCAAAAACATGTCATTGTAATAAAAATAAATGTCGAGAAAGAAATTGAGATGTCACAGTGACAATTTTAAGCTAGAAACAAAAGAAGAAGTTTGAAAGGATGAAAGGTTTGATTTCCATTAAATGTCTTACATTATTCAAAAGAAAATCATTTCTCAACTTATCATCAATCTAATGAAAATAGTTGAAGCTGCTATCGAAACGTCAATCCAAATTCAACCTTCAATCAATACCTGCATTGAAGTAAATATTTTGATCTTCATCACGTTTATATCATCGAGTTTTTGTCATTTGAGAAAAGACTTTGAAACATTTTGACAACTCATTAGAGATTTAGGAATTATGTTGGACATGAATCTTTCGATACGAGATATTTTGAACGACACATCCACGCTAACAGTGCTTAGTTGACTATTTTCATTTCATAAATTTCTCGGATTTCATTGATCGGCTAAGGTGATTTTGGAACTGTTGATGATGTGTCACGCTTTGTCAGAAATGATGATTGGTATGAAACCTCGTTAGGGCTTAAGCATTGAAAGATTTTTCATGAAATTGATGACTGATCGACATTAATAACGAAAATATTCTTATACTTTATACCCAAACTGTGAAACATGTCAGAATTTCGTTTTTCTCACTCTCTTCCTCTATTTCGTGGGTTTTGATAAATTATTTACGATCGTCTTAAGCGCATGCGAGTGATAAGCTGCTTAAAGCCATTCCTCTTCTTTTCAAAGGTCTCGTTTTACAAAATCTTGCTTTCTTCTGCCCAGGGCAGATTTTTATCAGTAGTGGGGCTTTTATCTATGAAAGAATGACTTCAATGTGATTCCGGGTTAATCTGGTGGGATCCTATTGATGTTTTTAATATAAAAGAAGTTTCAGAAACTTATTTATATGAAATTTATGTAATTTACTTCAAATCTTCTCGACATATGGCGAGTTTTCAATCGAAAAGACGATTCAAGTGTTCAACGCAACACAGCAAAATGTCATTCAAAGCAATAAACATCTGTGACAACTGAAATGCGGACAACTCTTGCTTTGTTGCCTCAAATTGACTGTAATAAAGCGCAATAAAATATTGTTAATGAAATTAATGGAACAAGATGTAAGAATAACGAAGAAAACAATTTGATATATTTATTTACGTTCACTTGTAAATATCTTGTAATAATAAAGTGAAATATCAAAATTAAAGCTTGTAACTTTACAAGCACAACACACAATTGACCATAATTTTAAATTGAGAAAAACTATTAGAATTAAATGGAATAATTGCAGAAATCAGTGATTCGTATGCGGTCAGGAGACTTACACGACTTGTCTTATCGTTTGTTCTCAATCACTTTGCTACTGCTGCAACCGTATCATTTACAAACACACACAAAAACGAACAACATACCAACGCGTTACTCATTCTGTCATTAAATTGTTGTGAAAACAGTAAATAAATCACGTCGACTCTGCCCAACAATTTTTTTTTCTTTCACTAAAATAAACAAAACAGAAAAAATTAACAAGAAATAATCGTGTTAAAAAAATATATGCTTTGCTCGCTTAATACGTCTTGCATTAGGATTTAACATTCCCGCATTAATGTGCTTAGTTAGGTTTGAATTTAGAGCTTAGTGGTCAATGTTTCATGCGCTGATGACCTTCGTGATTATGAGGGTGTTGTCGCATATTAATTTCCTTCTCGAAGTCGTAAATCGTATTAAAAAATTAAACAAAGGATTTCAAGCTAATGCTTAGTTGTTGAAGTTTAATTAAAGTAAGCTAAGTAAGAACAAGGAAGACAAACACTTCGTATATCGAGAAGTTCTTTTTTGACTTTGAAATGTCAGGTCCTAATAAAATAAGTCGAAGACGAATACGTCAATTTGCAATTTTCTATAGTTTTGTGCAAACACTAATTGAGCGTGATATTTTGTTGATGTTTCCGCGAAATTCGATTCCATTTCAATTAGAATCCAAACAAAGGCCACCAGAAAAGATTTGTAAGACACAACAAATTATTCGCTGGAATGAATATGAAAATAAACTTATGATAATTAGATTTACGTGACATGGAATGAGTTTTGTGGCTATGAAATTCCTAAATTATTCGTCTCAGTCGTAACGTTATAAATTAAGGAGTTTCTTTCCTTTAATTTGAATTGTATTGCTTTGTTGAAGCTACTGCTTCTCTCCGGATATGAAAAATTTAAATAAAACTTCAAAAGTTTTCTCTTGATAGCTACGAACCCATGTCAAATAAATAATTATCATTATTGTTGTCGTCTTGCCAGAAAGCATTGAGAATCGCATGTTTTTTCTCAAAACGCATGTCAATGTCTACGCAAAAATAACATAAAAAATCTTAGTTAAAGCAACGCTAATGACTTAAGAGGGAACCCGAAAAACAAGTCACAGAACTTCGTGTCATTGATTGATGAATTTTATGTTATTTTTTGAAGAGGTGAAGCTCCCTGAAGGTGTGTGTTGTTGTTGATCAGAAAATTGAATGTAATAAAAAGAAGAGTTTTGTGAAAGAGAGAAAAAAAGTTAATTCAATGTAATAAAGTCATCAACACGATATTTCTAAGAAGCCTATTATTCTCAGCTGACGACTTTTGTTTTATGATTTCTCTAAAAGGAAAAAAAATGAAGAAGACAGCCGAAAACATTTGCAAACAACGGCTTCAAAAATGTTGATAGATTGTGTCACGTTTTATGACTTGAGTGAAACCTTTTAAACTTCTGTTTGATTATGAAAAGTTAATTTAGGGTTTTTCTTCATCTTCTTAGATTTGGTTTCCTTTTTTACTTCCATGAAATATTTACGTCAATGAATTTTTTCTCAACTCTTTCACATTTACTGGTGTGAAAGAAATTTCTATTCATTCATCACAGATTTTCTGTTTGAATAAGCAAATGAGACGGCATATTTAAACTTTATGAATATATAAAAATTAACCCTCCAAATGCGTCTTGCAGTTTTTTTTTAAACCGTCAAATTTAACAATCAAACGTCTTGCAACTTCATTTCTCCCCATTTACAGTTTTATTTCATTCTTCTTCAAGGCCCTGAACAACTTGATTAAAGCTAATTAAGAGGTTTTATGAGAAGAAAAAATCTGTTATTTATGCTTCTGTTATGTTTTATTCTCTGCAATATGCATCCAAAAACATTTTATTACTCTTAGTTTATATCTAAAAATACTTGCAACGGTAATGATACGATTTCATGTGCAGACAAATTTTTTGGCTGGTTTGTTATGAAAATGAACAAGACCAGAATCAAATGTTTTCATAAAAGCAACAGTCAGTGAAACATCTCTTTTTTTATAGACGCTAACGATGATTAACAAGCGAAATGTAGGGGCATAGAAGAACTCAATTAGGAGGAAAGAATGTTTTATTTATTAATATTTATTGAGCTTCCCTTCGCTACTGACAAACAATTGAACGATTGCTATGATATTTTCATGTTTTTGATACTTTAAATTGTGCGTTCGATTTCTTAACGACATTTAATTTATTTTTAAAGTCAGCTCAGTAATTTTATTTTTTCTGAGAAGCTTGAATTGATATTAAAAGCCGTAACTCATCTTGAAACTAAATATTAAACACAAATTCACAATACAAAATAAAAGGAAAAATCCAATCAAGTTTATTTTTTTATAAAATGAAATGGAAGAATGAAATTCAATCCATTTAATGTCGACTCACTCATAGTCAAAGCTTAGTTGTAATTTGATCATAATTAGAATAGAAAAACAATCTAAATTCAAAATGAAATATTTATTGGTAGATGATGGAGGGAAGAAAGGGTTAGAAGGTCGGCATAGAAACGAGATCAGGGACGAGATTTTGTAATTTTGAAGCATTTGAGATTGAAGCGTTTCTCATCTTTTTCATCCAAAATGCTATCAATAATCCCTGAAATGTGTGTGTGTGTTGGTTTAACTCGATTAAATTAGATATTTCTCCACTCTAAAATGTTCTTCTGTTTTTTCAAGAGTTTATTAATCCACTACATCCGGAATTGGAATTATGTGAAGAATTTTCCCATAACAGATTTATCTGTCATTCCTTCACCAAAAAAATTTATTTAAGTCTACTCGATGTTGACAAATTATCGAGGGGAAATTTTCCTTTCGTGTTTCAAGAAACCTTTCCACAGATTCAAGTGAATGTTAATTTAATTGCTCAAGTTGTAAGATAACTTCCAAGGTTTATTTCAATTCTTTTCTTAAACATCATTCTTAATCCTAGTTGAAGTATGCAAAATTATTCTCCCTAAATCCAATGATTGAGTTCCTTAAATTTAATTAAAGGTAATAAAATACAAGTTCGAGCAATTGTACTTCCACACACAAATCTGTCGAAGTTTGCTTTTCAAGTTACCCATAGAGAACATTTGCACATTTCATTTACAATTATCATGAACATTGAAATCTCAACGCCTTGGAATGTGAAATGAATGAAGACAAATTAGATTTTATCTTCAATTGTTGTCAAAATATAATTCACAAAGAAACTTTTTCGATAAATAGACAGGGATTTGGAACAGTGAATGAAAAGAAATTGCAATCTATTGTTATTGTTCACTTAGCAGTTCAGATCCTTAACGAAGTTGAAAAGAAAACTCCTTATATTCTCCTGTGCCAATCTGTCAATGCTATGCTATTAAGAATACTACCAATATGTGTTATTTAAAGTTTCTCTTTGCTTTTATCTCCTAAGCACGTTGCCGTTCGTTCGCTCACTCGCAATTTATGATGATAGAATTTTTATATCTCTTCCCAAATCCCAAATGTAACATTTTCAACGGAGAATAAATAAAAGTTTTCCTCTTTTTTTTCTTATCCAATTCGGATATACATACCGACAGACAATATATATCCAATTAGGTATTCAGGGCACATAGGAGCGGGCTCTGAGTGTATCTTCATCCATGTCTCTGCGTGTCTTTCTCATTTCCCAAGATCTACTTCTTCAATATTCGCTCTTTTCTTTCATTTTTTAAAGACTCTTCGGTCTTTTTGTGGCATTTGCTGAATGATGATGACGATGTTGCTGCATGTCTGATGAATGTATAACTTTATGTACTTTTTTTTTCTGCTGACTCAATAAGAAGCGAAAAAAAATTGAATAGAAAAATTTTCTGGTTTTTTCTTTGTAAATTTTACCGCATCTTCCCGAGAGATTTTCTCAACCAAACCAGGATTGGTGCAATTATGTGGAAAAGCTATTCTCCTTCTTGTTCATCTCCTTTTCTTATTTACTTCCAATGCAGTGAGTTGTGTGCTATGCATGTAATGTTAGGAAAACATTTGATCCTCTTAATGCACAAATATTGTTACGATCAATCCTCATTCGTTCTAATTCCATTTGAAGAATATCACACATTTACCTGTTTGCAAATTTCGATTGTCTGCAATCTTCTATCCCTCAACTTCAACCCAAATAAGTTTAATGAACTAAAGGTATAAAGTAATGCAATAAAGAGATCGGTTACTTTACCTGAAAGAAAACAGTAATTGTAAATAGTAAGTTAATATTATTCGAATTGTAAAGCCGGAACTATGCACAATGGTTGGAATTACTAAGCATATGACGATAGGGTTCATAGACGTTAAATCCAGAAATAATGACTGCATCCTTCACTGCACCGAAGGTTGAATATGAAATTTAAATTTTTAAACCTTTAAGAATTAAATTCTACTAATATGTTATTAATAGATGAAACTCACACAACCAGTAATTTAAAAAAAATCTCAAGTCTTAAATGTTAGTTAGGGCACGCATCATAGGTATCAAAAGATGCGAGACAATAAAACACAATTTAATTATAGAAAATTAAAAATTGTATACACAGATCATAAATCAACCAACTTAGTGATCTATCACGCACAAGACATTAAATATTTATTTCAATAAAAAGAAAACAAAATCCAAAAAAAACATTGACTTAATAAGCTCAGCAGATGTGGCCACAAAAGAGAGATGAATGACGTTAGATTGCTTAATAAAATACGTGCAAAAAGCAAACACTATCAACAACGCAACATATTTCCATCAAGATATTAATTTTCGAATTTAATCTCTTCGATTTCAATAATTAATCTATTGATGATTGTTTTAAATAGGTTTTTGATTTGCAAATCTCATCAACGACCGGTTTAATAAATTAATTCGAAGTTTCTCCACGTTTTCGCTGCTTCGGACCTTTGAAAGTCAATTAATTCCTTGTTGATATCGGATTGCTTCTTATAATGAATTTCTGCTGTCTCATGACAAATAACGTCGTAAGAGTCGTGTTATTAATACTTGGATAATTAAAAAATTAATTTATAAAATTAATTTCATGTTCTCTTTTTCTCTTTTCATTTCAGATATTTGTTCAGAAGACTGCGAGTGTTTCTCTGTCAGCAACGCTTTGCTTAATCATCAATATTCAATAGAGCAGCTAGCAAAGCATCAAAAGCATTTATCATCTCCATGAACGCTATAACATAAAATATTAATTAAACACTCTATCAGTATCAAAATTAATTAAATTACTTCTTTATCATTGTTGATGTGAAAAAAAAAGAATCAAGGAAAATTTTTGTGACATATCAAGTGAAAAGAAAATAACGAAAAATTCCATCAAACATTTTTGATTTTATTATTGTTCCTTCGAAGCAAAATTCAAGTTTCATCACCACAAACGCTACAATTTTATGACCGGTGAAAATGAAGAAAAATTAGCATAAACATCGTAAACTCGGCTATAATAATTTCGGCGAAAAGGAATATTAAATTTGTTAGCCTGACAGGTCATATAAAAAATTACAGAAATATTTTTTGTCTCATCATCAAATTGATGTTAGGAAGGAACGAGTTAAAGTGTTGATAAGATAAATAAGGAAGTAAATAAACTCTTTCGACCGCAAAACTAATATCAAGCCGAATGTTAAATGAATGATTTATCATGTATCGATTGCTATTTTATAACCACAACAAGATGTTATTAATAGCGAATGTGCTGTTGCTGATAGCGACAACCGTGCCCATAACATGTGGTGAACCGTTTACGGGATATTATGGATCGAGTCTCAATGTTAATGGAGGCTTTGGTGGCGGTAGTGGCGGAGATATTTTGACACCAAAGTGTCCACGTCTCTGCACCTGTACAGGTCATACCGTTGACTGTTCGCATCGTGGATTGTCATCAGTGCCAAGAAAGATTCCACTGGAAACTGAAAGATTGTAAGTAATCGCAACATAATCCATCTTTTCGCATTCCAAGAAACAATTTACATTATATTTTAATATTAACAAATTTGCTTCAAACACCACAAGAGTCACCTTGTGCTTGCGCACATCTTATCACAAAAGCATAATCTTGGGTATATTTTATTTTATTATGATTTATATTTATTAGCGTTTTGCGACATAAAATTTGCATTAAAACCTCTCTTCGTCGGATTAAGAAAGGAAAAAAGGCCACGAGGAGAATAAAACACAACACAACACGTTTCGCTCCGTGAAATCCGCGAAAATTTTTCGAAGAAACGTGAAACGAAGAAATTAAGAAATTAATTGAAGTGCGAAATATCGCAGTCGTGAAATCAACTGAATATCTGAAATGCTGGAATGTTCGAATGCCAATTAGCAATTAGCTTGAAACTGTTTTTTTTCTCGCCTTTTTGCTGCTGTTTTCTTCTATTCAACCGGCCTATCAACATAGTGAAGGAAGTAGAAGACGTAATCTTGTAATTGATCATTCTATGATTAACAAAAAAAGCAAGAGAAGTAAAATACGAGTTTTCTTTATTGAAACAATTTCAAGTTGCCGCAAGGCAAGATTTCCGAGATAATTTTCTCCCCAACAATTTTCACCTTAGTGACTTAAAGACATTTAAAATAAAATAAGAAGTGTGATGGGGAAGAGAGAAAATTTATCTGAATGCGAGGAAATGATAATTTTCCTCGGGATTTAAACGACAAAAGCCGTTTTGCTTCTTTTCAGGGTATTCATAATCATCACCGTACCGACATACTGCACAGTACACAAATTCAAGAAACTTTCTTATCTCGCAAAACAATAAAATAACATTTGAAACTCGCGTAATATAACGAAATTGTATTTGTTTGCATGAAATAAATCGTATTGCTATCGTATCCCTCTGATCTTGTCAGCATCTTGAGACAATTTGCTGAGTTGAAAACTTCTAGTAAAGTTCGCACTTGAGGGAAATTTTGAAATGTGAAATTTCACAGAAAGTCGCCTTGTAGTATTTCCGAGCGATGAAATCGATGTATCTGGGGATTAAATAAGCGAGAAAGTGAGAATTTAGCTTTTCAACACTCATAGCTAAGTTGTGAATAGTCGAACCGTACTTCAAATTTGAAATTACTGCTTGCTCGGGTCTTCTTTTGTGGGGTGAGAACTTGTCAATCAAGAGGAAGAATATTGAAACCTTTTCCAGCATTCATTTCGAAAAATGCTGGGTTAGTGGAAATGACAGACGGTAACTTTCCTTTGACCTGATTCTTAAAATCCGTCACATAACAAATTCTTATAATGTTACGAAGTTTAAATGACAATGTTCTCTCATGAACTCTCTTCAACATATCTGAAAGTTGAGGGAAAATTTATATGCTTCTTGATGAAAGAAAATATGTCAAGAAGTTTTCCCTTCATTCGCTGTTATGTTATGTCATGTGTTTGAAGCCATGTAATTAACTGAAATAATAATGAAAAAGTTGCTTCAACATAAAACATTTGTGTCACATGAAAGTGAGTAGGAAATCAGAAGAAATGATTTAATTATAGTTACAAGCGCGATCTAATTGAGAGTCGCGTGTAAACTAATAAAAAACTGAATTAGCTTTGTATGTTGAAAGATATTTTTAATAATATTAAATTATATGCCAGCATAAAGAACATCATTAAAATGGCAAATTGATAGAACAGAAGTGAAACTGACATCTCTTCCTTTTTTTTTGCTGTTTTGTCAACTTCTTTAATGATTTCAGTTAATTTATAAACGCGAAGTTATTTCCCGCTTTTCACAATTAAGCGATGAATTTCTGGATAATTATATTATCTTTTTATATTTATATTCTTGCTACAAAAATCCTACAGAACAACATTGTCAAATACAAGGAAATGAATTGCGTAGTGAGGAAATATTTACTGCGACTTCATAAAAAGAAGCAAAGAAACGAAAGCGAGAACATTAAAATAAAGATTATTGCGCAATTTATTAAGAAACTGAATGTGTTCTTTTGTGTTTGCAAGCCGTTTAATGTTGAACGACAGACTTGCTATCCTCGAGCTTTGAACGTAATCAAGCTTTGCTTTACAATTGTTGATGAAGTCATGACGAGACAAAATCGAAAGGAAAACCATTAGGAAATCCACTTATCATAAATTTCAATTTTTTTTCTTCAATAATTTTCTTAGCTTTACTGCAAACCATACATTTGTGGAATTATATTTATGAACTCTTGCAAGTTAACAATGTTGTTAAATACGTACATAAATATGCATATAAATGCCTATCACGGCCGATTCAATTACTTTTCCAGGTTGAAGTAAATGATAAATGTTACTTAAACTTTATTTTTTCTCTTGAACAAGCACATAAACTTGTTTTCATCTTTTAAATTGATTTGTTTGCTAATAAATAAATATATCTTACATCTATTTTTAATCATTTACTTATCTACTTCGTTTAAAAACCTTCACACGAGAGTTTACAAATTATCACAATCTATTGATGAGATGTCTATTGGTCGCAAGTTGCTGTTCAATTATCAACACATAAATTATGTTGAACAGGTGTTATCAAGGCGGTGTTGATAATTGTGCGAATTGAGGTTGATCCGAGCCTGCCTTTAATGCTACCCAAAATGGAAATGCTTTTCTGTTGTTTATGCTAATAGAAATTAAAATATTGCGGTAACAAATTAACCTCTACCGTGATTATTCGCACTTGGTTACAAGCTGGCGCGCGAAGAATGAGTGAAAAAAAAGTTGAGAAACATATTATCATGTCATTTGAATAAAACAGACTCCAAAGCAAAGCAAAAAAATGTTAACTTAATGGAATTCAATTCAATTTAGCAGTATTGTACGACAAACAAGATACCAATAGTTACAAGAGAGAAAAAAAAGTTATTCAAAGTTGAGTTGCGCAAGGTGCTGAAGATAAAATGTGGATTTTAACGATACGACTTTCAATTAACGTGTTGAATATTGAGATAAATTTAAAAAAATATCTCGTACCACTCATTAAAACCTAAAGCAAGATACTTTTGTTGCTAATAATTTACTCTCCGTTTAACAGAGAAGTCTTACGGGAACATTTCAAAGAATATAAATTTATGCAAATTAAATGAAAATATTGAAAGCATTTGGCATAACTTTTATGCTTCAATGAATAGCAAAGTATTAGATGTTAAGAACGATTTGAAAGTAGATAAAAAAGAACTATAATTGCCCTTTGCGTCCTTCAAAGCAACATAATCGCATTGCAATCAAAAGGGAAAAAATGTTTTTGCATCGATTATTAAATTGCAACGAAGTGGATGAACAAGTTCTTATGCAGAAAACGAAAAATGCATAATTAATAGCTTTTAAGTTATATTTTTGTGTTTAAAATCGACGCTGGTGGTTGCGGTGGACTATAAATCTTGATTAGAGCGTAAAGGTGATGTTTTGCGGTGTCTGCTATCGACCACCCATACAGAGTTCTTTCAGAATATTTGCACTCTGATCTGAAATCTTTCTTTTATATTATAAAGAACTTCATTTCCTAGCATGACACAGTTCACTAACATTGGCAACATGAAGAGAAGCATAGAATAAAATTAAATGATCTCAAATTGAAGGAAATTTAATGAAATTTTCCTCAACCATATTTTCTAACTTCCTTCGATTTCTGAACTCGACTCAATTGATAAAATTAAAAGTTATACCGAACATGTCGTATGAAACAGTGAGTGAGTCTAAAATTAAGAGAAACATCTATGTTAGTCGAAAGATAAAAGCTTTTTGCCAGAACGCTTGAAAATTGTGTAATTAAATTGTACGAAAAAGTTTCAAATTTTCAAACCCCAAAGGAGGTGGAAAATAGAAAAGAATGGCAAACAGCATACCATTACAATCTCGGCTCATGGAAAATTCTGAGTTTCGATATTGTTCGTTAAACTTCCATTGCTATGGTTTTATTAATTATAAAAATACGAGCAAGTATCAATTCATTTTGTTAGCTATCGACCAGAAAGTAGAAAGACCAAGAACAGCGAGCATCGTAATTGAATCTCCGGCCAATTCTCTCCTTCTTTTTTCATCTGAAATAAATTATGTTAGATTAAAAGGAATGTTCTTCTCAGACACAAAGTTCACTTTAATGATATTCCGCACTAATTACATCATTTGGTGCCTAATGACAATTTGATGTACCGCGCTCGACACGATAGGGGAAAATATAGACATGGCAATGAATGAAGCTATAAAAAAGTAAAGGTAAATTATTCAATTTGTCATTTTCCATCCCAACTCTCACTTCTCCACTCAGCTGTGTTCTCAGTGTGACAAATTTTTCATGCAATGTTACAAATAATAAAACACGAGACATTTCCCGTAAAAATTTTCACTTTTCCCCTTTTTTCTTTCGTTTCCTTTCCAAACTATAATAGCATTGTTTGAATGTGATCTCCACCTCAATTGCTACGCTCTGAATTGTATATGAAGCGATGAATTCAACTCATAAAAGAGTTATACAAAATATTCTTTCTGTCAAACAGAAGATGGAAGAAGAGAAAAGCTTTCTTTTTATGACTTCACGAGATTTTCCTCCCTTGCTCGCTCATATAAATACATTTCGACTCGTTTTGCAGTGAATAAAACTTTTTGTTATTTTTTCTCTTTATACATTTATTGTCCCACTTTGAAGGCGGCTGTGTGGTGACTAGAAAACATTTCCCACTGTTAAGGAGTCATTGGGAAAGAGTTGTCACCCTAAAGAGAAAATGGGAAACTTGCACTGCCGACCTTTTCACAATATTTCTATCATTCTTATCTGAACTTGAATGGAATAAAAGAGGAAAAGATTCTTCAACAGTTTGGGGGAATGAAAAATGTTATTAGACGATCCCAAGAAAGGCAAAAAAAAGAGGAAGAAATTGGGGAAAAGACGACGATAATCATAATGTAACGGTGCGTGTTGTAGCAAAATGTTTCTTCCATTCTTCTAACTTCAACAATCTTTCATCAGTTTAATATTCAAAAAATGTCGTCGATTTTTTGTGCTTTCTTTTTTCTTCCGTCGTCGTTTTGGTTGCTGTTTGTATGTATTTTCATAGGTAATTTAATTTCACTTCATTTCGTTCCCTACCATGCCATCTATGCTTCATCTCGTTTTATGAAATGTCTCGAATGGAAATGCGAGAAGCGGATCGACTGAAGCAAGATGTTTATGCAAACTTTTCGTGTTTCTTGCTTTGGATCAGTGATGAAGTAGCAGGGGGAAGGCGGCAAGCAAATTTATCAAATACAAATTTATACGCATTCCACGAAAAAAAGAAATTAATTTTCACAAATTTGAATCGCAAATAAAATTAAGAGAAGAAAAACACTCTCGCGGGGTCGTGTGCTGCTTCTGCTGCCGCTAGAAACCTTATACATGCCGTGCCTTCGCCTGTCATCTTATGGCTTTTGCTTCTGCTTTTGAGGTTTGCGTGTTTGTATGAAGGAAAAGAGAGAAAAGAAAAAATTGCTCGGAACAATAATTTTGCATATTTTAGCGTGGAATATGAAATGAAAATTAGGAAGTGTGCAAAGTTAATGTTTTGTTTGAAGACTCAAGAAAACATTTCTGTTAATAATTCATAAGCTCACGTCACAAAATTTGTTATCCATGCCATAAAATTAAAAGTCTTTTCCTTTCTCGTCTAAGTAATTTCTCATCATAAACTCATCTCAAAATTTAATGAAAATTTTATTCATAAGTTGTGCTAGCTCATTTGTAATGTGCATCTGGCATTTGTTATTCCTATCATTAATCGCACTCTTTTCCTTGTAAGAATTTTCTTTTTATTTCAAGAATTCTCGTAACTATCGTTAAATAAAATTCAACCTCAACAAATGCATTTTCATAAATATTCGACTTAAGTACTTGGAACTGATTTTCTATTTTATTGTAAGTTCTTTCAGATCAAACGAGTGGTAAATAATTTTTCTTCCGAAAATTAAATCCGATACTTAATGAAGTAGTGATGTACCATAAACAGATTCTAAAGATTCTTCGAGTCAAAGCTATTTATGTTCGTTCATTCGTTGGGAAGTTGAAGAAAAGTCGTAAACATTAATGTGCGATGAATAGCGAGTGTTTGTGTTTAAGCATTGAATCCCATAAAATTTTCTTTTCCAAGCAAACTTAAGCTTCATAGCAATTAACAACGCCAGACTCAGCAATAATTTTGCTTGCTTTTTTGTTCAATATCCATCTATCGATAGAATTGAAGTAAATAAATAGTGAATGAAAGAGCTCCTTCGTCGTAAAAGTAATTTACTTGGACGATTGCACAAGGAACTATGAAATAATCAATGATGGGAAAAAGAGCCAAATAATGATTGATTAATTAAATTGCCGCTTGTAATGGTGAGACTATTCAAGCTAGCAACTGCCAGAAAGGAAAAATAAAAACAGGCAGCTCGAAAATCCATTAAGTAATACAAAAACCATGACATTGCACGATATGTTGAGATACAATCCGATCCAAGCCAACACCACACACTACCTAGTCGTCAAGTTTCCGAGGAGAAATTAAATGTTTATGGAAAATGAAACGATTACGAAAAAAGTTTCTTTCATTCCTCACAACCGATTGTTATTGTAATTGGTTCGAAGACCAGTGGGATGAATATCTAAAATATTAATGAAGACTACGGAAGAGAGAAAGGTTGATTATTGTGGCAACTGTTTACTGGGATAATAGAAATACAAAATCGCTTGAGCCCATTTCATCATCTGGAGGGAAAGAAAATTGTTGCAAAGTCATGCTTGACTATTATGTTTTCCGTCCCACACTTCAATATCTACGGTAGATATTTATTTATGTGTGGAAACAGAAATTGTTAGCTTCATATATGTGATTGATCAGAACGGAAGTTAACGATGAGTGCTGGTAAATGCATTAATATGATAAAACTTGCTACAATGAAGAAGAAGAAGAATAAACATTCATTGTCGAATTCTTTTGATTTAAAGACCTTAAAGCTTGTTTTCTTCTCTCATGCAGTTGACTGTTGTTCCTTCATCGTCGTGATAACACAAAAAAAAATAATTTTTTATTGTTATGACTTGGCCATTGTATGGGAAGTCAGAAAGAAAGAAAAGAATGTTTTTCTTACTTAAGTATTATTCTGGGGCTTATCTCTAAAAAGAAAGACCTTGCTTTAGACATTTAATGGCTTTGAGATTTGGTCAGCATTGAACTATTTCCAACGGGAACTGGAGAGTTAATTTCGTTTTATTTTTACCACACGGTAAATGTGTGTAAGAGCCACATGGGGATTGCCTTTTGCTTCTAGTAAGGGGGAAGTTGAAAGAAATAAAATGAAATGTATTGGAATACGAAACTGTTGGAGTTATTCGAAATAATTTTGATGTCTTCTATTCATGCACATGAAAACGTCATGAGTCCAACTGACGACAGGTAGTTGAAAAATAGTATGGAGAAAGGCAGTCAAACATATCTGTTTCTGAAGTTTCCTTTTGCTGTTCTCTTCTCTTTTTTGGGATTTACACAATCTGCCTCCAACAACCGCAATAAAGTCATGAATTTTCTTTTACTTCTTCGTTCTTCTGCAAAACATTTCATTTCTTCTTTGTAACTTTTTCTTAGAATTTTGTTTTATCCTTGCATGTGAGAAGGGACCTGAATCTTTTTCTTAACAACTCAGCAAAAAAGAGAAAAGTCTTACACATGTCCTCTCAAATTCCCGAAGTTTTCTTTGTAAATCTTTCTTCTTATTAACGCCACGCCACTGGCACGTCGTAAAATAGTTTTGTTTAAGGGGCGAAGACAAAATCTCTTTTCTTCTAATCTCTCCAAAAGCACATTACGTATCAAAACAAATTATATTTTACGGCAGGTGCATCCAAATGTTGATGGAATGCCTTTCAATCCACTTACGAAAGCCACGACCCTGAAAATTAGAAACAAAAGAAAAACAACATAAAAGGGAATGAATGTTGATTTTATGATTGTGATAACGAAAGAAGAATTTTGTTATTGTTATGAGGTTGTAGCTGCATTCACGTAGAGCTCGTTAAAATTTTGTGGTTTTAAATCATTTTGGACAAAGCCATTGAGCATGAATTTCGTTATCTTCCCTCCCTAACCTAGTGACATAAAATTATAATTTTACATATTAAGGGACGTTCTTGATGAACACTACAAGAATGAAATGTTCAGCTCTACCTATGTTCACGCTAGGTGGTATTTCTCAGAAATTTTATCAGCTGTTTTGTCTGTTTAAGTTCTGAATGATTCATGACAGTCAAACAATAAAATAATGACGATAATTTAGAGTTTTAAATTAATTTAATGGCTTACCTTTGTTTCATGACGATTGACGAAGAGAATTTTTATTCATTATTTGTTAGAAGCTCTTCCAACTCGATATTGTGAATTGAATTCATTTTTTCATCATAAAAAATTATAATTGTTAAGTTTTTCTTCATCGTGGATTTTGTCTTTTCAACTCGTTAAAACTTGTCTGTAAAATTTTCCATCTCTGCGTGCTGTTTAATGCTATAAAAAGTTTTTCTCTTCGATTAATGCTCCACTTCACTCTCATTGCAATGATTTTTCTTGCATAAACGTGCAGGTTTTAATAAATGAGAACAAGAAAAAAGTCATTTAACTGTGATAATTGAAAAAAAAAATGCTCATAATCATAGTTTTGAACATCAGAGTTTAAATGGCTTTAATTCCATCATTATCCGCTTTCGTAACAACATGCAATCATCAAACAACTGATGCAACATGCTTTTCTCAAGACTCGACTCGCTATCTAGAATTAAAGTTTTAAAACTAATTCACTTGATTCGTACAAATTCAATTACATGAAACGAATTGAAGTATCAAAGCTTTGATAAAGAAATTTGGAAAAAACCACAAGATTTCTGTGTCAATTCGATACGTCTAATTTAGATTAAATTTAATTAAAACGAAATCAGAAGAACGAAAACATCAAGAATTATAATTTAAAATCTCTTTCAAAAGAAGCTTCATTTAGCCGCCAGCAACCACAACTTGGTGCAAGATTTTATTTTATAAATTGACTTCAATTTGTTCCACAAATAATCAAACTGAGCTGATGCTTTCGACCAGCATGTGAATTGCTTTTCTTTTTAACTTATAAAAATATCTAATCTAAGAATACTCGGAGGAAAAATCGTAAATTAAATTTAAATCTGATCTCGAGTTCCCGTCGTGACCACATCTTTTATAAGTAAGCGTGAAAAATTAATTTCATAGTGAAAACTTCTTTAAATAAATCTAATTGAGAATTCTATAACATTCAGATGACATGAAAAGAAAGAGATTATCAGGAAGTGACGAGAAATTTAAATAAAAATTAAACTTTTTTGATTTGCTGGCGTGTGTTGGACAGAAACTGATTATCACCCAATAATTTTATCCGTAGATGTCATGGAGACCTTTTACAAATTGCTTTCACTTGAATTCAAGACCCATTAGCTGGGATCATTTAAATAATTGCCTCAACCCAAGGAAGCTGACAACAAATTTTGTCCAGACATTGTCACGCTCATAAATAAATAACTTGAGTGAAATTTCCCTCGTGATTTTGATTGACTCTCTTGACGCGCCCAAATATTTTTCAACCCATTTCACTGACTAATTAAGTCGTAATTTTCCCATGAATATTTTCCGTGTTGTTTTTTCTTTCAATCTTCAACAAAAAATTCTCTTAGAAATCGAAACGAGCGAAAATGTGGCACAACATAAAGTTGAATTGAATGAAAAAGAGAAATATCCAAGCTAATTATCATTTGCTAGCTTGTTTTTGCTGACTAAAGTCGCTCGTTAAAATATTTTTCTCGCTTTAAAGCATCGTTATTTGGTATATTTCTACATGCCTAGAATTTTACGGTACATACATCATCAGTGAGTGTATGACATTTTGGAATTCAGCGGTTAACATTTGCCGCAATTCTTTCAAAGAAGTTCGAAAAAAATAATGATTTAAACCACTTTCGGCGTTAATAAGAGATCCTTTGCAGACACTTTAAACTCAGATCTATGTTAATTTGCATTTATGGATCATTCAAAGTAATTGAAAATTTTTTCAACTTCATTTCCTAGCCTCATTTCTCTTCGCACACTGACGATAGCGTTCACAAATGCGAATACGTTTCCCTTTTATCTTTGGTGCCTTTGTAGAAAAACTTTCAAAGCAAAAAGCGAAAGAAAAAAATTCTTAATAATTTTCTTTCCTTAATGTTTCATCGTTGAACGCAAAAAATTTAGCACAAAGCAATGTAAGAAATCTGTTTTTCTTCAATAAATCATTCTTGTGTGTACAATGTCAGATATTCATTCGCAATTGGCAGAGAACAGCACAGAAATGTTTGAAGAAAATTATTTCCAACACGCTTGTCAATTTAAAATAATTTTTCAGAAGATGCCGCAATTCCATGTTTAAGCCACAAAACTGAAGTAGAGAAGTAGATAATTGAATTTCATCCTTTCTTGATTTATTTCCGAAACGAGTGATAAACAACAAGCGAGATTTTTGTGACTAATCTTAAAAAACAGTTAAAAGAAAAGTTGAAGAAGATAATTCAGAAAAGGAAAAATCAATTTTCACTTCTCTCGATGTTTTCTTTCTTCCGGTTAGAATTTTTCAAGACAAAAAAAAAGTTTAAGAATGAATAATATTTTTGAGATGTTTTCAAGAGAATTATATTCAAAAAAAATTGCCGATATTTTAATCACCGATGAATAAACAAGATTTATTCTCCGAATGAATATAAAGCAACCAAAGGCATTATTGAGAACGGAAGCAATTCAACGATTGTTGATGATTTTCTTACTCTTCAAGTTCATTCTTCTTATGCAATTGAAAATCGATCTATTTGATAGCAAATATTTGCGTAAAATCTCTCAAGCCTTAAAAATGTTCTGACGTTTATTCAGATTGTATTCCTCCATATGAAATGTCTCTAAAATAATTCCAAGCCGTTTTTCAATAAAAAAATCTTGCACATAGATTCAAGCGTAAGAGAAACATGAATACTTTGAAGCGGAAAATGGAGGAAAATTGATTTTTTTTCTTTCTTCATTCCCTTTCAGAGCTTAGTATTAAGAATCAGATCCCTTAACTACTGCACACTTACAAATTTTTTTCACTTTTCACTCCATTGCGGAATAGAATAAACTCTTGAATTTTCAGATAATTTGAAAAAAATTGCACTTAAGCAGTTTCTAAACTTTCTCAATATTATAAGGAAAGTTTCTTATGTTGTCAAGAAGCATTTGAAGGACATTCAATGTAAAGTAGCATGAGTGGAGATTAAAGTATCACAAATTTCGTTCCTTTCATGAATTGGCTTCTTGCTTGTATCGAAATAATGAAAAAATGATGAGATAAACGAGGCATGGAAGCATATAAAAAAGTGTATTAACACCCAGTTGGAATTTTCTTTCATTTCCTTCGAATTCTGCAACATCTTCGTGTCAAACTTTCCTTCAACTTTAAGTTCCATACTGGGTTCGAAATGAAAAAAGCGTCCATAAAAAATTTTCTTTCTTATTTATGGAGACCTAAAGGAAAGTGGGGAAAAATTGAGAAGGATATTCAGGAAAATTTTCTCATTTTTCGCGATGTAGACATGAAGTTTAAGTGAATATTTTCTTTTTATTATACTTTATGCTACTTCATTTCCGAGAGAAATTTCCTCCTGATCTTTCTTTTTCATTTAATCGTCTCGTGGGGATAATTTCTCAATATATTTCCAACATTTTACCCCCAAAAACAATTTTATATTGCATGTAATGCTGAATTGAATGGATCTTTTATTAAAGCCGAAACCTTTTACTGGACGTCAGACAAAATTCAATTTTCTTCCATCAGAAATTTTCGTATGAAAATGGGCTCATAAACTTTTCCCCTTTTTCCTTCTTCAAATTTGTTTTAAAAACATTTTTTAAGGCATAAAAAAATCGAATTTATACTTTTCTTAAAAGCACACTTGAGTAAATCAAATCAGCTCGAATGCAACCCAAGACTTAACTTTATCTTTTTAAATTCCTTTTGTGGCTTTCGTTTTGATGTTTTCTTTACTAAATCCTTCTACATAATTGAATCGAATTTGAGGAAAGAAAATCAGTCAAACTCAGAGTCGAAGGCCCTTTAATCTGCTTTTATGATTGTTATTATAAAAACATCAAAAGATTAATAAATCTAAGGCAAGCGCATAAAGATTGTTATTAACATTAAATGAAGTGCTTTCAACGCAGTCAAAACTCTTAAAGGTTTTAATAATGCCAGAATCTGTACGAGCCATCGAGTCGAGACTGTTAAGAGATTTGAATCTTAAGACTTCACCATGACTATGTAGAAACTATATTGATACTTATTTAACGTCCGACGCACTCAATTTGTTATTTACTGGAATCTTTAATAAGTTTCTTAAAAGGTACAAAATGCTGATAATCTCTTGGGACTTGATGAGAGGGACGATAATTGCTTCTTATACACGGCCTGGCCTTTAATGATGATGTTTTTGATGTCTGATATGAAGAAGTTTTTACATCATCAAAAGGAGATTACAAAAAATTGAACAGATTCGCTGCAGATCAAAACTTATAAACAAAAGTCAACACTTAATTGAATAATTTTTTCGATTATACGTCCATGAAATGTGTTTATGCGGACATTTATTTTGTAAGAATAATTTATAGACGTCCACTTAACCACAAACTCTCTATTATCATCCGTCGTAAACGATCAACATCTTTACGGTTTTAACAACTCTAATTGAACGTCTTCTAAGATTTCCTTCTTCTTCTTCATTTTCTGGAGCTTTGTCTCACCTACTGCAGTATAATCTCAACTCTAATTATGTGAGTGATGGCTTAAATCGCCTTAAAAAGACTCTTAATGGATATTTAATATTAATAAAAGAAAGCGATGTGGAGATCGCGACTAAAGTATAGAAAAAATGCTGGAATGAAACGTTTAAAATGCGAGGAATGAGGGATAATGATAATTATCATACGTGCTTCTGAATAAATAGTTTACGACTCGAGAACAACATCTTCAGTAGAGTCGAGCTAACAGCATCACTGTACAATAGAAGAGATTTAATTTTCTGATTCTCTTGGGAAATGGAATCCAGTTAAAAAATGATGATAAATGATTTAAGCTATTCACAAGAAAAAAAAAGTTTTTCTTTGCTGTTTTGTTATAAAATTTAACTCATTTTTATATTTACCAGGAAGGCTTCACAATGTTTGTTAATGAAAGAATAGTTTCGAATTTTAATTCCTGGTCATTCACCAGGACTTAAATTCTTAGAATTAAAATTAATAAATGTTTTATGTGTCATCACATCCCAGCTCTAGAAGATTTAAGAACGAAACTTACTTTTATTTGCTGAAAAATGATTAAAGACTGGTTGGGTGCTGGTAGAGTCAAATTCCATTCACCGCTTAGCATCAGAACGAGCGGTGTTTTGTTAAGAAATTATGAGAATAATATTAAATATCACATTTTTGTTCTGAATGTTATTCAACAACTTTCCTTTCAGCCTTAGAACGAACTTAATACATAACAATACGCCATGGCAGCTTGATTTAAGTTTTTAAAATGTTCATGTCTTCATATCATTTCTTTTAAGAACATTTTTGAAAGGATTACTTCTTTTATTTCTTCCTTCTTCTTCAATTCACTTCAAACTTCTTTGTTTGCATTTCCCTTCTTTCCATTCTTAAGTAAATAATCTGCGATGTATTTGATACAAGAACAGGGGGAACGATAATATTTGCTTTCAGTGTTTTTTGTTTATTTTTATTTCTCCTTTTTCTGATTGATATGAATAATTATTATCGCTTTTTTTCTCTTCATTCTTAACATTCTCATGCTGTTTGTTATGCTTTCCTTTCAACATGTTTTGTGAGAACACAGAAAAAATAAAGAAAACTGTTATTCAATTTAATCAAAGTGATTCATAATCATCATCAAACATCACTCGTTTTTGCCTTTTTTACGAGTCGTTATTCACGCCTTGATTCATGTTAAAATCGAAGTCGTATTTGTTGCCGTTGCTATAGCTTATCAGAATCTCAACTCAACTTCGGGGTTGTATTTCATTACGACTTCTAACATATCGACGAGAAATTCCAATTAGAGTCCAAAAGTGGAGCGAAAGCGAAAAAAATGTTGATTTATTTACGCAATAATTATCATCAATCGATTTTCTTTCCTGTGGTTGAGTCAACGGTTCGACGCTCGCTCCATGTGACTGATATGAAACGACAAACGACTCAAAAAGAGAGTTTATACATTTTCATTTCATTGGTAATTACGAAGCGGAAGAAATGATTAATATTTTATACTTTTCAGCCTGCGATAACGTTGTGGGAATATGAGAGACATTTACATACTTTAACTCCACATCGCGCCCAAACCTCGAACCGTAATTATGTTAAAGTTGGGGCTTCTGACTTGGTTTCATATACGAAAGTAAAAAATATTCAATGGCAATAACATTGCGCGTTATGGAAAATTATAATCCCTCGTGTAGGAAAAACACGGAAAATATTTTTGTGAGTTTCCGGGTGTTGAAATATCAAATCCTTGTCGCGTGGTGTTGTCGGTCGAAATGATTCCCCTTAACAGCAACAGCACCTCTGCTTTGAACTGAAAGTGAGAGTAGTCTGGCAATGGCATAAGCATAGATATTTTTTAACTGCTGCAGTACTCAGACCAGATATTATTTTATACCCTCAAGGTGCAGAGCATAAACACCGACAATTCTGACAAATGCAGAGGAAAAATTCGTTGTAGGATGCAAAATAACGATTAAACTCATATGCAAGTCACTTGGAAAATCAAAGCAACAAAATATATCAACCACAAAGCAAAACAGATCCCTTTCTCTGTAAAATTAATGTTCCGCATCGTATGATGGCTTTGGCATTAAAGTTTTCCCGTCTCGTTAAAATTGAAAAAGCAGAAAAAGGCAAAAAAGCATTTATCGATTTTCATGTTACAATTCCCTGTCGAGAAAGACATTGCAAGAGTTGGATACTCAATTTCAACAATTTCTTGCTTCAGATTATGAAATTGCAAAAATTCAGTTGATTTAATCATAAATTCGCTCAACATATGAGACTCAATGTTATTATTTGTACATTTAAAAGCTTATCGAAGTAATTTTTAGTTCACTGCTAGTTGAACAAGTGCTTGCACATGAAATGAGTTTTAACTTAAAACTTCCGAGACATCAACCAACGTCATTAAAAATATGTTCCTTGTTTGTCTGCGCTCTATTTGAACATTTAAGCAAAGTCAAACTCACTTTTCAACAAACTTATCGACTTCTCAATCAGCGATGTTGTTGAAAAATTTAACTTGAAACCAGCGAGATTGTTTGTGCTTAAACAATCTTGGGTGGCGATTAATTTACTAGAAAAAATGAACATTAAAGTTGTTTGAAGAGCCAAACTTTTCAAGTTATTTGTTGGGGAATATTCGAAAGTGATGACGAAAAACCTTAAGAAAACATTGGAAGAAGAGAACAAAATTCTATTCTAGTAAATGAACACGTTTGAGAGTGAAATCGACAAATGCGGAAAGCATAAATTTTAAATTTTTCCAAACTTCTTTTTACTCTCTTCTGCCACATTCACTCGCCATTACAGTGATTCATGAACAGAAATTCTCGAAAGTCTACTTGTGAGCTACGGAAAATAAGAAGTGAAAACTAAACATTAGTGTTTTGAAAATAAACACCAAAAGCGCCAGCAATTAACGACTACCAAGAGAGAAAAACATTGATGCCATGAAATGACTTAGAAGCGATTCTATTTTTTCCCTCTGGCTCGTTGGTAAACGTCAGTGAAATGATGAATGTCTGTGCAAAGATTTGCAAAACAGTAATAACTTTTGTAGTAAGTTTTCGACACATCGGAAGGACGATAGTTTGAAGCAACAGAAAGGAGTTAAGTAGAATTGCAAACATGGTCACATTCGTTCTATAAGATTTTAACGAATTGCTGTATGATGTCGGAGGGAAAGGATCAAACAATAAACAACCATTAGATGTCAAAAATTTACGCTTCAACGAGATGTCCTTTTCTATTTTCAATTCCGTCGGTCTTCATAGAACTTTAGTAGGGCATCGAGTGGCTTGAATTGCTTTGTAGTCTCCCCTTCACCCTTGCTTCATTAATACTTCCCATAAATTGAAACTCAATTGTTTTGTTAACGACTCTTGAACACGTGAAAACACATGTTGGTTTACTTTTCATTCACCTCTTTGTTTTTGATTGCAAATATTTCTTTTATAGCTGTCAATCTATGAGAATCATTTTAACATTCCCGATTTATTAAGACTTTCGTTCATTTGTTGATTCGCAATTGTTAAAATGAGAAACTCAATTGAAGTGTAACAAAAATAATTGACCTCCATTGAACGCCGGAAAAGAATTAGTTACGGGTCTGTAGCAGTGAATGAATCGAATTTATGAAAATAATCCATTAATTCACCTAAGCGATGTATTATTCTTTTTTTTGCCGACATAAAGAACATATCTAATCATCTTGTGAGCGTAGCAATAAATAATCAAATGAATGCTCAAAGTGACTCCGCAATGATTTGAATTTTTTGCTTTTTGTTCTTTTCGTACGATCTTCATCCGTTGCACAAAATCGTCGACGTTTGAAAAGAAGAAGACAAAAAGAATGACTCGAGACCGATTATCGTTATTTATATTATGATTTGCATATCGCCGCTCGCCCACGAACATAATTAAAAGCTAAAACTGCATTAATATGAAGCTCAAGTTACGTGAGAAAGAAGTTTCTGTTGAGGGTTCATTAAATTTTCAAATATTTATCACGAAAACTTGCGATTTCCTTGTCGTGTTTATTTAATTTAATTGCATCGTTGCGTTAAGAAGTTTCATGACAAATGCTTGAAGCAACCACATAAACATATAAAAGTTTTCCATTTCACCGAGACATTTTCAACTCTTATGTCGACGTCATTTGTGAATTGACAAAATTTGCATTTCGCGTTTTTACTTTTTACGGATAATTTAAAGCGTCACATGCAATGAAGTCATATCTCACAATATCATGCGATATAAATATGAACGACAATGAAGTGTGACTCGTGAAAGTATTACGTTATATAAAAAGATCATCGATGAAAGCATTAGCAATTATTCGGTGGATCAATTTTCACTTGCTGAAGAAACCCAATTAATTTCATCCACCTCTTAAGTTCATTTATCGTTTTCTCGGAAAAGTTTTTGAAGCATGCTGAAAATGCACAACTAAAAAAACATCAAAATCAATCAGAAACTTTGCCTGAAGAATATTATAGAATGAGACTACCAACAAACATATAAACATACACTCGAGGATGTTGATGAATGGGGAAGGAAGTAAGAAAGTTCAACATGTTCAGTAATTACAAAAGTTTCTCAAAGCAATTATGTCGAACTTTAAGAAGCTCAACTCAATCAATAGTTGTTCTTTGTTATCGTTTAACTGAGATCAGAAACAGCTTTTCCTTTATTCGATAATTTTATAGGGCAAATAATCAATGGATTATGATTAGTTTGTGAGTTTGTTCAAGTGAGGCCAAAGCCAACCAAAAAGAAGATTTCATAAAGTTTTATGTTGATATCAAAAAGAAAAAGAAGATATGCGGTGAGAAGCTCCGCATGATTTCACAGCATCGAGATAACAGCACACAAAAACAAACAGCAGAAAGTTACAAAATAGCTGGAAGGAAAAGAACAAAAAGTTGAGAAGCAACAAGTTTCATATACGCGAGCCAAGTAAAAATTGAAAGCGATAAATTTTACTTCATTCTTCTTCTCTTTGATTCTTTACAAAAAATAAGAAAAAAAGAACTTTCCAAAAATGTTTTTGTCGTTTTTATAAAAGTCTCAGTTAGTGTTCTGGTGTTTGAGGCAATTTATCCTAAAATTATTATTTCCTAAATAGTAGAAAAGTAAAATTGTCAAAAGCAATGTTAAAGTTATAAATTTTAATTGGTTTTTTTTCTCTTTTCTCTTTTTCTTCTAGGTAAGTAATTTAATTTGAAGTTTGAGTGTGGTTATGGAGCTGTCAACCCCAAAACTTTAATGTCTGGTAAAGACCAAGAAAATGATTTTCTCGAGAAAAGGTAAAATGTATAAAATTAAATTGGATTTAGAGAGTAGCGGGCTGAGCATACAATAAAGCTAATGAACATGTAACAAAACATCAAATTTCAATGACAAGTTGGATAAATTGCTATAATTAAAGTTGATATGATGCGTTATTAAATTTCCACTTGTGGTTTTTGGGAAAATATAAACTTCAGATTTCATCTCATCTAATCATCTTATGCATATTCTGATCTAAATTGGGGGAGAAGAAATAAATAATAAAAAACATTGAAATTCAGTATCCATCACCACAGCCAACCCACAACCCATCTTGAGCTGTATTAGGAGATCAATTTCAAGGAGATTTACACAAACACTCTTTGAATTTGAGACTCTAGTCTGTAGTCTGTGAGATATCATTCAAAAGAAGAAGAGAACTTGAAGGTTTGATTGATGGAAATTAATCATTTTCCCATTTCTCTTTCACATACATAAATACATCTCATGGGAGAGATATCAAATTTTCGTGCCATTCATTTCATCCCATTTCAGTAAAGACCACCCAAACTGAGTGCGTTGCGTAAGCAAGCTGAAAATTTATTGTAAATCTATGAAGTATTGCAAAAAGGCTGATCATCTCCTACATAGTAGACATCAATTTTATTATGAAATTTATTACAAATTTCTAGTCATCCAAAACACAAAAAAGTGCACTCAGAAACCGCTCACGTCCCTCATGTGTTTGGTGGAAATAATTTGAAGCAATCACGCGATCAAACATGTTTCGTCTTACACGTTCAACAAGATTCAGTTATGAATCGAAAAAAAATTATGTTGATGGCAGTTCAAAGCGAGAATCGAATTGAATATAAAAAAATCAACTTCGTATTAAATTTACTGCAGATGGGATTTTCGAGTGTGAAGAAAAGAACAAGAATAATAAAAACATAAATCTATAAAATCAAATAATGCGCAGTACTTCAAGAGAAATGTGTTTGAATAAAACTTTTAATCGTAAAACTCAACATAAGTGAGAACACTTCGATCGGAAATTGTAACAATGAAAATCCACTTAAGTTAGCAACTGCATTAAAATCGCACTTCTCTTTCCATGATAAATAAATTTGTGTGTGTGTTTGTGGAAGGCAAAGAAATATCGTGGCAACCCCTCCATTAAAATGAAATCTAATGAATAACAAAACTCTTCTGTGCCTTTACTTTTAAGGAAACAATTAAATATCGATTTTCATTTCATAAGAGACAACAACAAGGAAAATTGTGTGTAGAAGCGCTTAACATATCCTTCCTACATTCTCCACCCACGCAATATTCATGTTTAAGAAGAGAAGAATTAGTGATGCATGAAACCGCAATTTCTTGAGACAATGTAAATTCAATTTGACACTCATCAGATTATTGTCTCATAAATGTCACATTAGCTTTAATGTCATGCAACCGCGTCGTTTCGCATTTACATATCGCGAGCGAACGAAGAAAAATTACAGGAAGTGCAAAAGATTCAATTTTCTCGTGCAATCTTAATATCCATTAAATATCTATTTTTAATATGTTTTATTGCTTTTGACATGCACAAGTATTTTCCCTTCCAGTAAGTGAGCGTTTGTTTGTTCAACAGACATTCAACTGGCACATTTTTCATCTCATAATTCATACTTGGCATTAAAGAACTGAAGTAAAATGTGTTTTAAGAGTGCAAGATAATCTGTAATGAAAGTGAGAGTTGCAACGCCCAACACTGTCATTTCATTTTACACAAAACGAGCCGTTAAATACATTGATGACGCGAGATTGAAATAGTTGGTTGCGATAGGTTTAGTGAATAAGCATTTAAATGTCAATTATAATATTTTGAGTTAGACTAAATATACAATTATGATTAATTACTTTGACTTAGATTTCATAATGTGTAACGACACAACAGTTTCTGAGTTGTAGCAGATGAAGATCATTTTCACGATGAAACGAATTTTCAAAGATGCTCGACGAACATTAAAATGAAAGAAAATATTTCGTTAAAGTTTAACATGATGAGAAATGATGACATCGTTAGCTCATCTATTTTGATTTATGAAATTAAATTTAAATAGATTGTGTGGGTGAATGTTGTGGTTATGCGTATTTAAGGAGCAGTGGAAGTGTTGTAAAAGAAACTTTTTTAAATGAATTTACATCTGATAGAAGACGCATGTGATGATGAACAGTTAAAGTTACAAAACCGATAGATCATAGCCTTCATCTATTTAATACTTTGGAGAAAGAGATTTGAGTTGCCGCAGAGTCTCTCAATCTTGTTCCAACTTTGTTTTATTTAACTGCGCCTTTTTGACGTTGATAAAATATGATTGAATCTTGAATGTTGCTGCTTCATTTAACATCATTTCTGGGTGTGAAATGAAGAAGAAGTAAGAAAGTTATTCATTCATTCACGTCTTTGAAAGATTCCAACAAATTAATATCTCAGGCTTTTCGGCTTTCATCGGATAATCACAATAAATTAAAGTTGCAGACGTTGTAACGTAAATATTTCCATTTTTCGAAATCATTGTTGTCCTTTTTAAGATGACGAACGTACAAACATCATCAAATATAAATCCAATGTACCAACAATCGACTGACCAGATTTAGTTTAGTTGAGTTAATAAAAACAACGTTGTATGTCCATTTATATCAGTTTTGTTTGTTAGTTACGACGAGAACAAAAGATACAAAGCAGAAAAAAAGAAACTGCAAATCCTCAAACAAAGAAAATCCATCACAGCATTAAAAGAGCTCGAGATTCAAGATAGAAGGCGATTGTGGGTGCAACGAGCGAAATAATAAAACTTTTATTATTTTCCTTTTTTTATTTCGGTAATCTCATTCTTTTTCTGCTAGTTTGCGATTTATTACTGGTGCAAGTTTGATTTATATGGTTCAGAAGAATCAGTTGAAATAAATATTTTCATTTCCACAAACTCTTCAAGAAATTTATTTGCTTAACGACGGACAGAACAACAAAAAGTTTATTTATTTATTTTTGCGGATGTCAGGCTTTTTGACATGAACTTTAAATAATTTACAAAATTAGTTTTTCCTACACTTCCAGCATGCTTGGAGAAGAGAGGGTCGAGAAAGTAAATTAATGAATGTAATTGTCAGTCGCCCACCAGCAAAGCCATTTAAAATGATTTTCTCGTTTTCGGTTGCGCAAATTTGTTAAGAATATTCCATTTCGTAACGTTATGTTGAGCTTGAGAGAAAGAGATTAATATTTAATGTAAAGTAAATTATTTGTAGCTAATAATCGTAAAGTAGATGATTTATAGCTTTGTTCCTTGTAGCATCGTATTTTAAATTAATCATTTTCTTTATGGATCTGGAGAGTTTAGAAGAAGACGAGTTTAGACGTTCTCTTTAGCTAGGTTATTGAAGAAACGAGGGGAGAAATTATATCACGATTTATTGTTAATGCATCCCATAGCTGCAAGCATGAATCTCGATTATTTATATTTTATTATGAAACTTTTTTGGGCCTTAATAATGTCATCATTGTTCCATTGTTCCATTGCTTTAAGAAAATCTCTTTTCATTGATTTTTCTTTCGTTCGTTTTAAAACGAGATGAGAACAACAATGACAAGGGAACGGGTATGAGCGACAGGCAGTTGAGGAAGATAAGATGAGTTCATTAAACTGCATGTTTCCCCAAATAATGTGGCCAAAGCTGTTTGATGAGAGAAGAGAGAAGACAAAAGTTTTATGGATCAATTTTATAAAACATTCTGGATGAAGAATTTTTATCTTCATTGGAACAAAAGATAGAGCTGAAGTTGAAAAAAAGTTTTATGTAAGTCATCGTATGGATTCCCTTTGGTAACATTATAGAAGATTTCAAGCACAATTTAAGTTAAAAAAGATTTTTTAAAGAACCCAAACAAAAGTGCTGCTTTTCAACAATGACAAACATTGCATGTTTCATACATAAAGTTTCCATTTCTCTTGATGCTTTTGTTTTTCATCACAAGCTATGCAAGCTAACAATGAGTTATCCAATGAAACTTTTCGTCGTCTGTTGATTCTTCTGAATTAATGTATATGAAAAAGCTTTGTTGCTCTTTTCGTTAAATCTCATAAGCACATATTTCATGTTCAACAGATTTTCCTTGTTTTGTTTTATTCTTCAAGAGATTCTCAAAAAACAAAAACAATTGAAACAACGTCGTTGTCTCTCGTTGTCATGGATACATAAATAATTGGATGGAGAAAGAAAGAAAATGCTAAATTTTATGATTGATGATCGTAAACTATAATCATGCAACTCATTCAATACCGGCAGCATCATTCATGAAAATAGGACTAACAAAATGCCTTCGAGATCTAAACGAAATGCGATTTTATCTGAGTCATGCTTTTCAGTAGCTACCGCAACATATCTATCGAATGAAATCAGTAAAAGCGTTTAAAAAGTTTGATGGAAGTTTAAAAGCCATCATCAAAAAGTTGCTTACAGGGCGAGAGGGAATAAGTTAAGTTTATTGTTATTTTCTTAAGCCTCGGGTAAAGAATAAGCAATGCAGTAATAGAACAACAACGAAAGCTGCCGACAGTTTCTGATCAAGATAACGACACGACATTTCTTTCTTCGCATTATTTTGTTTTGTTTTCAGTAACAACAACAATAATTGGACATTTTGTTATTTTATGTGTCCCTGGTCTGTGTATAGAAGTGTAAAGATAATGATGACCAGTGCGATAAATGAACTAAAGCTGTCAGTTCAGAGCAAAATATTTGTTATTATAGTTGAAGTGTCCCCTCTGTGCAGAATAAAAATGGGGAGAAACCTGATAGAAAAGAAAGAAAGAATGGAACTCAAACAAAACAAATTAACATTAAACAAGACGAAAAAGTAAACAGGAAATTCAATTTCATCCTGAAAAGCATAAACGTCCAATTTCATATCAAGTATCGACAGCCATCATCAGAGAGTAAAAGAAAAATAAAAATACAAACTTATCGATTATCGACTTAAAAACAGAAGTGGTGCAGTTTACTCGTTCACAAACATTGACGAGATGTATCGGGTTCAATGGTTGAGAGTAGTACGAGATATTTACGACTCAACATCCTGTTAATCAAACACCCACCCATCGGGGGATCAACAAAACTTCTTTTTTCTTCATCCTGTTTATTTTGGGATTCAATCAATTTTGTTATAATTTAATTGATTTAAGTCACAAAGCCATCACATAGCCATCGAAAATGATGATGATTTATTTGAATTATGAAAATCAACAAACATGTATATGACCCGCTGGCAATGCAAATGAAGGCTTTAAAAAAAATGAGTAAAATTTATTTATTATTGCAAAAATCAGCTTTCATCGCCCACTTCTATATTTGCGAATATTAATGTACTGAAAATAGTAAATCGCCGAGCTTTAGGAGTTTCTTCTCGCGTCACGCTCACTCGAATCTCCAAGCTTGTGTAAATCACAGTTCTCCACTTCATCTATGGTTATTGGTTACGCAATATTGTGAAGCGATAAAGCGATTGAGCTCATATGTCGTCATTCAAACCCGAATGCGAGAAAATCAGTCAATCAAAAAATCAACACATTAAACATCAACAATAATAAATCATCGGCAAGGCAGAATCCCATCAATCAATTTTCATAGTGATGAAATATTTTCTACTGTTTCGGAAAATTGGTTTATTGGAAAATTGTTTTTCATTACAATGCATGGAAATTTCTTCTGTTTCTTCTGTAGCTGAGAGAATGAGAAAAAAAAGAAGAATTTCGCGGATCATGTTGGTCGATGGAATGTAAATTTTCCACTTTCATCATGTTCGATTTCGCTTTGTTCGTTCTTTTAATTGTTCGCATATGCATTCGTACGGAAATGGCGGTTTTTCTACATTCACCCACACCAAATAAATCGATCAATTTAATTTCCATGACAAAGACCACGAAATTGTTCCATCCAGCAAGCAAGCAAATGAGTAAGAGACTAAATAATGGAGTTGAAACATAAATTTCGTGATTTGTTTGCGTTTATAAATGAAACTGGAGATAAAACAAATTGCAAAATATTTATTAATGGACCATCCAATCCAGAAATGCATATTGCATGTTATAACCCGCGAAACAAATAAAAATTGTCTGCATGCAGAGCCTTTTCGTGTATTTATTACACAGTGGAACTGATAGCAAATAAAGTCGATGACACATGCTGGTATCAAGTTTTTATTTTATTTTATTATTTTTTTCCAAGCAATGCATTGCAATGCTGATAATTACATTTTCAATCTTGTCAATTATTAAATGATATGATTTTGATGGAACGAATTATCAATGATTCACCATTTAATCGATTTATAATTGATGATTCCGAGGTTGATGTCAAAGACATGCTGTGTGACATTATCGTTTGATTGAAATCTTCTAAAAAACTGCTATCTTAATGAAATATAAATGACTTCTAAATATCTTCAAGTTCAATGACATCTCATCGTGTGAAGCATTGAAATTTATTGAATGTGCTTCTAAAACAAATAAGAAGAAAACGTTAAATAATTTATTGTTATGATGGCAAGGTTTTCTGGGGATATTCAATTTATCGCGATAATTAAGTTAATGTTCCATTCATCTCCACACGCATAGTAAAGTCAATTCAAAGTCAGACATCAATAGAATCATGTGCATGTCGGTAATTTTGACTGATCGTGGGTGAAAATAATTTATTTGTTATCTTTCATTCTTCCACTTATTGATCAGCATCTTCCATTAACGTTTGAGACTTCATCGTCTCTTTCTTTTTTTTGGCTTGCAGCCACCAAGGTCTTGTCAATAAAAAGTTAAACAATGGTTGAGTCATTTATAATGGTTTGTTTGCAAAAATAACAGTGAGCGTCTTACGTTTTTAAAATGGAATAAAATTTATGATGCATTCAAATGCAGACTCAGTTGGTAAAACGGCAATTTAGTGCATTAGCATATTTTTTACTACATTTTTATTTTTTTGGTAATTCTACAATGATAAATTTGATATTTATGTTCACCTCCCACGACAAAACGACATACGGCTTCCCGCATTTGCCAAATAGATTCGCCACACGAAGTAATGGAAAACATTAAATGATCTCTGTCGTATCCAACTGATTTCCGTTTACTTTTCCAACTAAACTTTTTGTATTTGTTTAGAATGTGTATAGAGAATCACGAATTGTGTGCTTCTCAGGAGATTCAAATGAAAACATAAAGAAACAAATCTCCAACAACTTCAACTTCGAAGATTGAAACGAATCGAGGCAATTTGCATTTTAAAATTACACGAAAATTCAAGAAAATATAAAAAATGTTTTAGTTCTTTGGTGCAAAGCATATTTTGTAATGTTTATCGCGTGCACTGCAGCGTCTTGACACGTACATAAGAGAAGGAGAGAAACATGATTGATGGCAATGTGGCTTTGCACTGTGTGGCGTTACTCTACCATATGTGCTGAACTTTTTTTGTGTTATTGGGTTGACTTCAGCATGCGAGTATGTGAAAAGTGATCCCCAGACATCAACAGACGAGCATAAAAAATCGTTCTCATAACTCATGTTCTGATTTAGCTTTTCTTTTCTTTCTTCATTCTATATTGAAAACATTCTTCATCATTTTTTAGTTTTTCAATCAAAACAAAAGCAGCGCGTTAAACAGCGAAAAGTACATGTGTACAAGACTGATATTTGGTGAAGAAACACATGTTCGACGATAGCATGAACATTTATTTACTATTCCTTCCTTTACTTTGCTTTTCTTAACGTCTTTGTTTAGAATTTCGACGTCTTGCAAACTGCGCCAGAGCAAAGAATGAAGAATTGGGTGTATACCAAGTAACGATGCAAGCCGCTGTTTATTTTGTAATTAAAACAATATCTTTAAGATTATCTTAACAACATTCTCCTCCTTCTGACTTTATCCAACCACTTTCGTTCAAGCACTCACTGTTACCTTCTTGTTAAAGAGAAAAAGAGGAAAAAAAAACAGCAAAAGAGAAATCAATAACAATTCCGAGTTAATTTCATGACTGTCATCAGCTGATGAGTCGAAAAGCAATGAAAGACAACAACACATAGTGAAAACCATCAGCATATGAAGCGTTAAAAGGTAGAAATATCTTGTGTAAACAGCCTTGTAAGTGCCTAAAGAGCATTGAGTTGTGTCAACAATTTTACAACTTGTGACTCGATATTTCTTGAAACTTAAGCAGTCATTGGACAATGTAAATTTCACCGATCACCTAACGTCGTAACGCTCTTGTTATCCAAAGCTGCTTTCAGTTTAAATATTGACTCACGGGCAGTTAAAGGCTTGTTTCAACACGACTTGTTTCGAATGTTTCAAACGCTGTTACTTATTTATTATGTTAAAATCTTTCTTTAAAAACCAACGTCGGAAATGAAAAATTCGAAATTTATTCTGATAAAATTTCTTATAAAGATAATTTTAAAGAACTTCTCTTACATAATGTTGTTATTTGAAAAAGAAAAAGTTCAACGAAATCATTCCGAGAGAGAGAGAATGGAAATATTTGAAGCAAATTTATGAAAGAAGAAAAAAAAAGCAAAAGACAAATATTTGAGTTGATAGCACAGCAAGTAAAAGTAACGTCAGATTATTTCAGTTTGTCTCCGGGAAGTATTTCGTCCAATTTGGAGTTCTCTTATCAAACAATCAACATTGAAAATTGTCTTCAGATAGAATAATTTTGTTGAAAAAGCAAAGCTGAATTGGAAAGAATAAGAAATGTGATGAAAGTTTCATGAGAACTTTCTGAAGAACGTTGAAGATGCAAGAGAAATTATTCCGCAGTTTCCTTCAGCAACAAGCAAATCTCAATCTGAATGCTGAAGGCTAATCAAAATCATTTATCAGAAGCTTTCTTATTGGCTTCTTCGAAAACTTTTGAATTCATATTTTAAGAAGTTCTTGTTCGTGAATATTCCTGAAAACAAAAGCTTAGAAAGCAAAATCGCAAAGATCTTACAATGATTTTTGAATATTAATTTCATTCTATTATTTAGTTTCAATATTGTTTCACCAAAAGAGGAAGTTAGAGAAAAGTTCGCCTTCATTTTCTGCTCGAATTTTAATACAACTTCCTCCCCCTCTTCATGAAAAAGACAAATAACAAACTTTTAATATCGGAAAATGTATAAATCAAATATTTACAGAAAAGCAAACACGATAACGGAATAATAGAAGGGAAAATTGATACTGAATGGATTTTTACTCTCTCCGCTGTTCTTCTGCTTTCTATGCTTTTTCGATTATTTCTGAAATATTTTTTTTTGCTGGGAAACAGAAAGGTCGATATCCTGCAGCGCTTTAAATATGCTCTCAATATATTAAATGCTTTTTCATTCCTTTCTTATCGGCATTTTATCAACGAAAAAAAAAGGAATAAAAAACTGTTTCAATGATTTATCAACCAGACGATGCTTATTTCTCATGTATCATAAACCGCCAGTTGAAACCGCTCTTTGAAGCTCATATTGCATCGATTTTTGTTATTAAAAACGTAAGCGAAATTGAAGTTGAAAGTGAATGTGAAGAGTATTAGGCTAAACCAGTTAGTTATGCATTTTTCGCGAATGTAAATTTGCCAATCTCAATTATTTGAGAGGTTTTGATTAATAAAATATTTATTGCAAGCTGCAACAAAACATATTTATTCTAATTTCAAAATTTCTGCTTCAAACTTTATATTAATAATGGGTTGCATTGCTAGGCAGCGAGTGAGGGACGATGCGAAGCGGCAAAACCATTTGTTGATAAATTTGCAAATTTTTTCGACTTGAAGGAAAATTTGTTATGCATAATTTATGTTTCAAAAAATAACTAAATAAAAAAGATTGCCAATTATTGAACATTGCAGTACATCAATGGGGATCGGGACTAAGAGCGAATATTTGCAAAAAAGAGAATGAAATAAACAACAGAAAACCGAGCCCTTTTCGCATCGATTAGTGTTGAAATCGCAAACAGGTGCCGATAATTTTTAACGATGCTGTTAACTGCCAATGCTAAAGTGAATTTTCAACACTTTGATATTAATTAATTACCAATAAAACCCAAGCTGTGGATCATAATACAATAAACTATCAATTTTGTGTTTTACAAAAACAAAAAAAAGAATTTGAAATTGCGACGAGCCTTTTTGGTTATTATTTATGATGGCAAACACAGAAGCCGCCGACGACGACTACGACGACGTCAGTCTGCCATTAACTAAATTGAAAATAGCACCATGAAAATGAACTTAAATGTTTATTTGATAGCAAGGTGTGCACGCTTTACTTCGACTACAGTCTATACAAATTAAGTAAAAAATGAATGAAAGAAGCTTCCGAAAGCAAAAACATAAACAGAAAAAATTTGTCATTCAACGAAAAAATACCTATAATAATAATAATGATAAAAAGCAGAAAGACTAGTGAAAGCACAAGCTCATGATTTCAATATAATCCACGACAGAAAATACACGAAATTTTATGTGAGTTGAATATGAAATTAAGTTAAACTCATATTAAGGCATGACATGCGTTTACAAATGATTCTCTCGCGCGACACATTGTACGGTAAATTATTCATTTTTCATAATGCATTTTACAGTCGGAATTTATCATAGCTTTTTCATTTACAATTTACAATTTACGATTACATGGGGGTACGCGAATATCTGGGAGAACAGCAAAAAGACGTGCTTAGGAAGAAATCAAATGTTACGTAACATTCTCATTGTCTGTTCCTTCCTTATTCTTAAACCACTAACAAATGGTACAAAACTGATTGATGATTTATTTAAATTTAAATTTCTATTGAAATTCACATTAAAGTCTTCTCTCCAAGGTAGAAATATAATCACAAAAGTTGTGAAATAATGGGGAAGACTTACAAGAGGAATGTTTAGTTGAATGAAATAACAAAAATATGTTAAATCCGCTGGTTTAAAGTGACAGAATACTTATTAATTTCAGTGTGTCGCTGGAAGCCTTTTTGTCACAACAAATGTGTTAATATTTCAAAAGACTACTACGTTAGTGTCCCAAGAGAATTGTAATAAACATTTTCAGAACTTCTATTAAGAACTTCAAAAGCGAGAGGGTTGTTTGAGGGGAGAAGCGTTGCCAATAATTTATGCCTCGATAAATAAAATGTCAATATAAATATGTAGATATGTGTTGTAAATCGCAATGTTTAAATTTCATGAAACCATTTTGACGACAAAATGTAGTTGATTAAACAATAAGAGATAATAATTGTGTAAACAATCAGATAAATTACTTGCAACTTCGTATAGTATGGTCGAATAACGTTCATTGGTGCCATTTATGTGTAAACAAACGAGCAAACTTACCGTATGAAACACAAACATCATCTAAAAGCAGTAGCGCCAATGAATCATCGTGTTCATAAAAGCACGAACATGATTTATGAAATTAATATTCATGGGACATTGAAACTGCCCCGACACTTAATTCAAAATCCGCACTTTATTTTGCAGTAAACGAAATTAAATTTATTCAAATGTGCTTCGCTTATTCTCGAGCGCTTATTTTTTGGTCTCGAAGGGGGATATTGAACATTATACAAATAAGATTTTAATTCGATTTAATGTAGAGTCGTTTGCTGATATCAGCTTTAATAATTATAAATAGATTGAAATTCTTTCATATCTGTAAAAGTGAATCTGCAAACCCTTTCCATTCATTCATTCAATCTTCATCAAAAACGCGTGTTCTAATCATGAAACGTGCGCTCAACAACAGCAGCAATCTGATGCTGTAAGACAATTGAAAACATAAATAAAAGTTTCTAATGCACAAAACTCCTGAAACATCACGTTTGTGTGCTTTTTGGGAAAGTGAGTTGGAGAAACATTTAATCTAATACATGCATTCATGTAACAACGTCTCGTTACATTGTGTACACAGAAATGAATGCTTTTCTCGTATTTTTTTTCTGTTGTTTGTTGACATTAATAATTTGCATATCCTGAATGATTTAAGATTTCCTTCCCTCTTCCTTCCTTCTTTAATGTTCATTTCAGATTTTCACTCAGAGCGAGAACTTCATTAAATTTCTTTGATAATCAAAAATATTTTTATTTACAAAAATATTTTCTGACAAGTTGACCGCGGATGCTCCATAAAGTTAAAAACATCTCGCCCAATTAATGTGTTGACTGTGAAGAATTTTTTTTTCGACTAGACTCTGTTTGAACCTAAAACGACACATGAGTAAACACAGACAGTCATTCCATCCAACATCGTGGAAAACTAATTAGGTTTTCTTTTTTTTCCTTTCGACCCAACGGCTCTTGCCATGATTTGTTTGTCAAAAAACAAGAAAAATCACTGTTTACGTTTAGTAGGTTTGAGGATTTAATATATCCAGAGATTGTAGCTTCTGGCATTCCAATTATTGTTAGAAATAAAAAAAGACGAAGAAAGGAAAACTTCTCATCTCGATATGTATCACTGCTAAAAAGGAGATCATCACAGACAACATTTCTCTTCTCTTTTCTTGTTTTGTTTATTTCCATGTTCATTCAAGTATCAGGTATCATCCCATTTCTATCTCAACAATCTGATTTGTTACCTGGAGATGACTTCATTCGAATTTTCTGATTTTGCTACTGAACATTCATCGTCGCTGAAGCTGAAAATGCCAAAATCATTTTTCTCCAAATTGGCTTTTCAACAACTTGACCCGACTCCAAAGCAAACAATAAACACGACTCATCCGCGCGATGGATCCGATACATGTTTTTTATTATGATCGTTCTTCTGTTGCTTAGGACACCCACGGTGAAGAATATTTAAATTTCAATTGAATAACAGCAGGTTTTACATGCTTCACGAACATCATACATTTCCGAAAATCCATCCACACCATATTGTTGACTTATGTACTTCGTTCTTCGATTAAACTTTTTTCTTCTTTCATATCCATCGTTCGATTCATCCCGTTCTCTTCCGTCCCGTGCCGTGTCATGATCTGAATAAATTTTCCAATAACTCTTCATTTTATGAAAGGCATCACAACCAGAGATTGTAATCATCATCAATTGCAGTTCTTTCATGAACGAAAGTTTTTTTACCATTTTAAAATTTTCGCGTTTTTTCTCTGCTGTCGTCGTCATCTCTTAAATCAAATTTTTTATATTTTAGAGCAGAAGAATTTCATTTTCCCATGAAGAATGTAATAAGCAGAAATATGAGATAACGATGCTGAATATTATCAGTCAATAACCACTCAGTCGTTTCAAATTTTCCCATGCACACGTCGAGAGTGAGAACGAAAATTGAGTGAAGGAAGCCGGAAGAAATAACAAATCGTGCTGAAAGCAGAACGTGATTTCATCGGTAAACACATTAGATGGAATCTCCGATTTTTATTGTTTGATTTGTTGTTTTTGTTTGTGTCTCATCGCATCATTTCAAGTAGCTTACAAATATCGTTATGGAATCCCAAATGTCTTCTCAACATTTAACAAGAAAGGCTCTTAACTTCTTCTTATCTTCTTCTTAGAATTGACGGAATCGCATGACGTTAAATAAAAATCTTGAGAAACAGAAAAAAAAGTCACAAGACATTCTTAATAAATTATGAATTGCGATACCGTTTGTAATCAAGATTCAAGATGAGATGCTTCTGTATCAAATTCTGAAATTGTTGTCTTTACTTTCACAGCACAGATGCTTGCAACTGGATCTGCTTTATGAGTGAAATCTAAATATTTGAGCGGCCTTCATAAGACCGCTTCTTTGTTTACTTTAAGGATATTTAATACGAAAAGCATTCTGCTCTTCATTCTTTCATCATCATTCTCTAATATCCTTAATGTTTGAGCCATTAGCATCATCTCTGTGTGTTTGATCATCACAACGAGATAAACACAAACTTAAACAAATCCTAAAATTGATTGGTAAATATTTCTTTTGAACAGAAAGTAGTTTTTTGAATGTTTGGCATAATTTTGAGTGCCGACACATTTCAAACTCAGAAAAAGTTTTTCTTGCATTTGTAATTGAAGTAGCAAACATCATTTGTGATTTATTTCACAACATCTTTTCACATGGCTCAGAGTTTTGAGCAGAAGAAATGCAATAAAAGTAAAACTTAAAACAAAAATAGAGATGAATGAAGAGTCGAAACAGAATGTTTGGTGAGTTTGAAACAAAAATATGAGAATGAAGAAAACATCTGCTGAAAGATATTTGAGAACAGTTTCACCGAAAGCAAATCATAAATTTAGTTCGGTTTAATTAGACACACATGAACGTATCTAACAAGTCATCACTCAACGATGAAATGGCGAAACAGGAAGTCAACGTTTCCACAACCACACTTTTTACATTTCCACTTCAATTTTTCTCTTCTTTCAAAAATATCCAGTAGAATATTAATGGACTTCAGTCAGCACATAATTAAGATCAATTGGCTCAGTTACTTACTAAATGAATGTGATTGTTTGTCATCCTAATACCAACTTCAGCTTCATCCTTTCGTTTCAACTTTCCGTTTAAAGTCCCAAAATTCTTTCCATGACTTCATTTATAAAAGGAGCTCAGGATGTTTTTAGCATTAGTGGTTGGTGAACGAATTTATAGAGTTATATTTATGTATGAAAAGTATCATTTCCCCAACCACCCAAGTGTACATTTTTGAGGGTGGACATGAGAGCTTACCCAATGAAATCCCTGTTCAGTTGATTTTCCTGCTATTACCATTAACTCTCAGCATTTTTACTTAAATGGTCACCAGTGGGAATACATCAGACTGTCACCACATAAGCTCTCTTTCTCACCAGGCCAAAAATGTCCTCCTTCCATCAACGAATTTTTCCACAAAATTTATGATCCTTGCTTATGTCGAGGCATCAACTACATTATATTAAAGCGAAAAATGCTGTTTGCTATTCTTGCACATATGAGAACAAATTGAATCTCTGCTGGAATTTATTTCATTTCTCCGCAAAGTTATGAAAATAAGAAGCGTAAGAAGAAAATCTCTTCTCGTACAGAAATGCATTAGCTTTCTGAGTCATGTTTGACGTGTATATATGTATGTGGATGTTGGGGGAGATGGGGAGATGATATCTAAAGGAAAGTGTAATAGAAAAAGGAAAAAAAGAAGAGAGAGAGTAACTTTGTCGAAGAATTCATCATTTCGGTGAAGATGGAATTACCTGATGATAGTCTTACATAAGCTACAACTGCTGCAACCATAGAATGAAATAGATTGAAGAATAAATCTGTGGTGGTTTTTCCTAGCTGAGAAATCGTACACATTTTATTGAAACTTTTGTAAGGTGAAAAGAAATCGCAAACAATAACAGAATTTATCATTTTTGTGTAAAGTTATTCATGCTGACTATGTTTGAAATCATCTTTTGTTGTTTATTTTTCTTTTCATATTGAAAATTTATATTGTGGAATTTTATTAATGATTTCCATGGTGGAAAGTATTTATGATTTAATCAGATTTATTACTTTTCACTTTATGAGAAAGAATCTTCAACAATGAGGCTTTTGCTTCAAACTTTGAATGAAGTGTTGAAGAGAAAAAACAATAAACAATTTTTCACTCTTATAGAAGTGAAATAAGAAGGAAATTACTAAACAATTCTAATTGAAGTCTCTTCATTATTTTGGGTTAATTCGATTAAAAAATTTTTAAATTATATTCCACTCTGACTAATTTACTTCAGTAATTGAATTACAAATTTTCACGACGCAAATTGAAAGCGACTCGATAAAAAATTCTAAACTAAATTCAATTGCTTCTGCAAATTATCAAATTCTGAATAGAAATTTTGCATATTTGAATTCATGTGAAGAATGTAAAGTGAATGGCAACATAATCGCACATTTCAATGAAAGTATTTTGGAAATAGTGGAAACGTTCGAAAGTTTTGACCTAGAAATTTAAATTTTAATGATGCATGACTAACAACAAAAGTAATTTAATTCAATTATGTTGTTTCATATTTTAGTCGTCACTATTTGGATTAACGTCGTGTTGTAATGTGACCTGGTTATGTCCGTTGACTCTCCTGGATCCCCTAATGAAACTTTCGTGTCTGTATTCATCAGACAACCCTATAAGAAGAATGATCTCAATGTTTCTGTTTACGTTTAAAAAAATTCTTTTTGTTTTGGGAATTTCTCTTCGCTTCTAGTTTTGCCTTTCACGGCATGAGAAAAATATTTTAAATATTTTTTGTTTTGTTCCTTTCATGTTGTTTCAGCAACATAGTTGGAACTGTCTAAAGCGATTATCTTTCTTCGAAAGAACAGTGAGAAGGCAAAAATTAAAACAATATTTGAATTCGTAGTTTACGTTTACACGATGAAGTCGTCGACGTTAGTAGAAGACAGAAATAAAAAATGTTTTCTCCCTTTCTCCATCTTCCAGTAATCCAGCCTGATATTAAATTAATTATTCTCTTGTGAATCCACTGAACTAACGTTGGTGATAGCCAACAATGATTCGAAGCAGAAAAAGGAAGAAAAAAAAACCTAAACTTTAGCGATAAATTAAAAACAGAGAAGAGAGAAAAATGATAGTTTCATATATGGCAAAGAATTGTTATTGTTGTGCAAAGAACAACAAAAAGAATTAATTAAGACATTAATAAAATATGAGGAAAATTTACAAGTCAAGCCGACTCCCTTTTCCACTATTTATCCCCAAGCTGAAAGCAAAAGAGATCCCAAAGCGACTCGAATGATGCTCAAAATGTCGGCAATAAATTCTCATCTTTTCATTTTCATTCGTATGAAACTGAAACAACAATCAACTTTGGAACTTTGTTGTCTCGAAATAAATTTCGTTCTGTTTACACGTGAAGGGCAATTAATGAGCGATCCTTTCGTTACAAAAATATCTAATATTGCATGCTATTCATGAGCTCCCCTGTTTGTAGTATTTACGAGCAAAATACTTTATTTGTTAGCTTCTAGGTAGCTCCATTTATCAATCATTTGACTTTTACGTTAAACAAATAGGAAACGACAGAAGAAAGTAAATTTTCCTCGTTCACAGTCGAGTAAAACTCAGAAGTAAATTATTAATTGTTAGCCATTTTCCGCTCTTACTCGCTTCTCTTTATAAAGTTATCTGGTAAGACAAATGGACAACAAACAATGAAATGATACGCAGTTGAATAGAATTTCTTAACTTGAACTGAAGCAAAGTGTTGGTAATTAATTAAATCTTGTAAACGAAGCATAAGACAATGGAAAACGAGAAAATTTCCAGTTGATGATTTTCTCCTCATACCGTTGCTGCTTCTGTCGCGTTGTGTTTTTTTTTTTGCGATTCACGAGAACTGTAAATATGTTAAAAGCATAAGAAATGAACAAACACAAAAAAAGGAAAATGTAAGCAATTTGTTAAACGACAGAAAAAAACATTAAAGTTCTGATGACAATGTCGATGAAGGGACTAATTATTTTCCTTTTCGTTCTTCCTATTGTCGAGGGAATTTCATGCACAATGGAGAGTTCATAAATTGAGTAACTTCCTTTATCTTTATGTTCGTAATTTCTTCTGACATTCTTTATAACCGTAGCCTGGCAAAAACTGCCTTCAGCCTTTCTCGAGAAACATGACAATCAAGTGGTCTACAAGACATTACTTCAACCAGCAATTTTATGCATCGAATCATTAACTTAAATCAGCATAATTACTAATCTTTATCTTTTTTTCCTTCTTTTCAGGGATCTACAAGGAAACAACATCACAATTATCTACGAGACAGATTTTATAAATTTGCCGAAACTTAGGATTTTGTAAGTAACATTTTTATGCTTTTTTCACTTCGAACATTAACCACATAATCGCCAGCCTGCTGTTTGCGGTTTTCAGTTGATGAATAAAACATTAATATCAGTATAATAATCTCTTTATTGTGTCAAAGTGGGGAGAATTTTCCGGAAGATTTATAGCCGTACAGAGCCCGGCAACGTTCTCAGTCTCATGTTACCTATTTTTAATTATTTCCGTTTTTCTCACTTCACGCCCTCGTCAAATATCTTCGTTTTCAGTTCCCATGCCATCCAGTCGTCCAATAAATTCTCATTTGTGATACATTTCAAAACTCCCCTTGTACATTTACAATTTTACCATTCATTCATCTATCTTTACTTCTTTACGTGTTGTTCTTGTTTTTCCCTTCGACATCATCCCACGCAAAATGACACGGGAGAAAAAAAAAGAAGAAAAATAGTCAACTCAAGGGGCAAAAGCCATTACATTACTTTTTATGGACATTCTTTTACCGCACACTTTTTTATATTCAACCACCATCACCATTCAAACCGAAACAGAAACATATAAAATTATAAACTTTTGATGGTTTACCATTAAGCCTTCAGGATAAATGAGAGAAGGGGATGAAAATTGTCTTTATTTTCTATATTCTTATCCATTTCTTGTCTGCATCAGTAGAATTCAACAAAACATTTCTCTGCAATTCTTAAGACATTGAAAATATTTTTTGAAATTTCACAGGAATGAAAAATATTTCCACTTGAGATTCTTTGTTTGTACTCAGTCTTGTCATTTCATTTCTATGGTCGTTTTGTCATCACACAACAGATAATAAAACGAATGAAGAAGAGAAGGAAAAAAATTATCAATACTACAATTTTTCACCGAATTATATGATTCCATCTCGTGCATGTGTCGTTCGTTCTATGGCAACGAGAAAATATCCAATTTTATTTTTCTGCTGGTGTTGGCAAGAAATGTTTTTCTTACATTCTTTTTTTTAAGGGGAAGGATGACAAAACACCAAGAAGATGAAAAGGGAAATGAAATATATGATTATGGGCTGAAATTGTAAGAAGATCTCTTGACTCTTGTTCTGCTACGATTTGTGATTCTTATCCTTTCGTTTCTCGTTCACAATGCAAGTTATCGTTTCTTGTTGAGTGAGAAATGGAAAAGTATTCATCATTATTATTATTTGTTGCCATCGTGTGTGAGTAGCACTTGATTATATGAAAGGAAAAAGCATATTTCATGGATCGACACAGTCTCGATACTTGTTAAAATTACCATTGTGATGCTACATAAATGAAATATTGGAAAATTTTCCAAGTTCTTGCACATTCTCTTATTTCCTCTTTGTATGTATACATTGTATACATGTACATACTGGAACTCCGAAGGAAATATATCTCTAAACAGTTTTTGTGACACAAATTGATAATCAATGGTCCCCACCATCGATAAACTTTTTCTCTTCTACTCAACTCCACCGTCAGATGAAACCGGATAACAAATGGCTCCAATCAATTTTAGATCGCATTTTCGCCATGGGTCTATGGGTAATTTTTCAGTATCCAGTATATCGGGATCATAGCATTGGGAATAAAAGAAGGAATTGAAGCAACAAACCGCACTAATGAGAAAACAACATTCCCCTTCTACTTTAGTTAACTCAACTTGAAAGTGTCTCACAAATTCGAAATTAATTGGAGCTGATCTTTTCATCGGGACTCGTGCTGGTTTCTATGTGATTATCTCTAAAATCTTAACTAATGTAGAAAAGCAAATTAGAGACATGAACAAAGAAGTTTTGGAATATTTAGTCGAATGAATTATGAGACCACGACGTTTCAAAAGAATCAGTGTTGCTTATTAGCTTCATAAATATTCATACATTGAAAATAATTGCCCCGATTTCATTCGATCCTTCACTCTTGGAGTCTTGTGACCNTTGTGGACGAAATTGTGGACGAAATTGTGGACGGAAATTCGAATTATATGCTGGTCGAGGCTGACCATAATTTTGATTATTAGTTATTTTTGCCATGTCAGGATTTTTAAAATTAGGAGTAAAATTGTTTGAAGTGAAATTACTTTTATCAGAGTATCTGATACCTGAATTGCCGGGCAAACGATAAGAATTATAAGATTGAGCTGGTTTAGAGGAGTCTGAAAATTTCTTCGCGAGAGTGTTCTTTGACCTGATACGCGCATCGGCCATAAACTGTGTTTCCGCAGCTCGAAAAGCAGCAACTAGTGTTGCTGGATTCGCATTTCTAGTTAATGCTGAGTATGGGTAATTCAACCCATCAATAAATGCGTTCTTTGTTAATTGAGAAGCGAAATGTGTGACCGCGTTGGTATGCCCTTCGTACCGGGGTTCAGCAGAAATTTTCTGATTAATTTGTGCCGTTAATTCTGACACCTCTTTATAGAAATCCAGTACAGACCGGTAACCTTGTTTTAAATAGGGAATGCCTTGACATAAGGTCGACAAATCTCTAGGGTCTTGGAAGTATTCTCTCAATGTTTCACGAATATCATCCCAGTTGTTCGCCGTGTTATTCTGATTAAGCGCGTCACTTGCTTTGCCGATAATTTTATTCCTGATTTTTCGAAGCCAGTCTCGCCAAAAAGGTTCCTGATGAAAGGCTCGAAAACCCTCAACGATGTCATCCACCTGGTCAATCCATTCCTTAAGCTTCTTTGAATCGCCATCAAATTCTGGCAACAACTTGATGTTGTCGGGGACCTTGTTTGCGCTGATTATTTGATTGATGTATTGTGCTCGTCGGAGCTCCATTTGTTCCATTTCCACTTGCTGAGCCTGCTGCCGCTGTCGAAGCTGTTCTTCAGCAATTCTCAATTCTTCATGAATGTTGTCTAAACTCATTATCTAAAATAAACTTCAAGTAACAGATCCCTAAAATGTTAATGAAAAATTTTATTGTTTATGTTAGTGAATGAAGCAATGTTATTGAGCCCAATGGAACAAATAAAACAAAGAAATTTCAAAGTGTCTTTTCAAGACGCAGAGAAAATCTCTGAAGTTATTTTCTTTGTAACTTTTTCCTTTCTGCTTATTTTTTTCCTTCAGCTCATTCGTAAAAGTGAATCTTATTTTAGAAAGGGAAAAAAAAATGCAGATGTAATTATTAATTTTATGTACTGAACGGAAAGTTTTATCTTTTTGCTGAAGACTCAAAAGTCAACGGAAAAAGGGCATCAAGTTTCGTCTGGAAGAGTGAAACTTGATAATTCTGTTTACACAAACTAAATTCTTCAACTACTTAGGTTTGATAAATTTTTCTTTCTATGCACACGTAAATCGTTTTCTGTTTTTTTTTTTTTTATCTTATAAAGATATTACGGAGGCCCCACCCTAGG